ATTATATGTACAGAGAATACGTAGTGGTATCGTTTTCATTTTTTTTCTTTTTTATTTTTAATTTTTTTGTTTTTTTTTTTTTATTTCATTCTGGATTCGCGTGTTTATTTTTTTTTATTTTGCACAAATTCTTAATTAAATCGATAACGCTACAAAGAACCAAGTTTTCATTTTTTTTTTTATTTTTTTTATTACTTTGTTAATAAACAAATCGCAAAAAACTATGGCAACTAACGTAATAATGGCAAGTATTTTGCTGACAAATAATGAAACAACTTCTTTCAATATATATATATGTGCTTCGACGTGGAATGAAGTGACGACGAAATTTTTTTTCGCTATCGTTTTATAACAATAATAATAATTAATAATAATAATAATAATAATATAATTAATTAATAATAATAATTAATAGTAATTAATGGACAATAAATACAATGCGCACGGGATTTTTTTTTTTGTATATATATATATACCTCATTAAATAATACACAATTTTTTTTTTTTATATGAACGAAGAAAGGAAAAAAAAAACAGAATCATTTAAAAAATATATAATATTTTTTAATATATATATACGGGACGTTACGTTGTTAATCTCAACTATATAAATGAATCGTTCTCAAGAGATGAAAATAAAATAATTGTATAATTGAAAAAATAAAATTCAGTTGAAAAAAATTATTTTTTTCTTTTTTTAAAAAAAATTTCCTTTACAAGGAGTATTTTTCAATTTAAAATTGAATTATTTTTTTTTGTAAGTAAAAGAAAAAAGAATTTTTTTTCAAAATTAAATTTTTCAATTAATTCAATTATTAAAATCTAATTTGTTCAATATGGTAATATATAATCGCTTAAAAAAAAATTTTTCTGCGAAAATAAAATTTTGCATAATGGAAGATTTTTTTTAAATGCTTCTTAAAATACATAATTACTTTTTTTAAGCAAAAAAAAATTGACAAAAACAGGAGAGAACAGTTTTACAAAAATTTATCAAAGTCCCAAGAAGAAAAATAACATTTGACATAAAAACAAACAAAAAAAAAATTGAGTCACGTCGCAGCCTTTGTTCCTCGTCATTTTTGTTTTAAAATTAATCTATACTGATAGAGTTTTTCCAGATTCGCAAGTTATGACAATTTTTTTTTTCGCAATTTTCTCAATTTTTTTTGAGAAAATGTAGAAAATAAAAATTATTTTGTATCCTGACTTGTAATAATGATTAATTAATTAATTAAAATTTTTATTACAATATTTTTTATTAACAATAAATTGTATCAAATAATTATTAATTATTATAAATAATTTGTTTAAAATAATTAATAATAATAATAATTTGTTATTAGAAATAATTATTTGTTATTTTAAATAATTATTTGTTAAAAATAATTATTACAAACATTAATCAATATTAATGTTCAAAAATGTAAATAATTTTATCATTAATATTCAATATTACTGACAATCATTATTATTATTATTATTATTCTCAATAAAATTGATTATAAATCAATGATTATTCATAATTAATTAATATTAATCATTATTTTCTTTTTCATTAATTAGAAATATAGTTAATTAATTATTAATAAAATCAATAATTAAAATTCTTGCGAGTTTACAAATCTTTGGAAAATAATTAAATATAATTTATTTATCGGAGACTGTGACGTGAGACAAAAATATTTATTAAAATCTTCTTTCATTCTCATAAACTCAAATAAAAAACAATTGAGACAAGGGAATTAATTAGAAAATATTTTTTAAAAAAATAATTTCTTTTCGAAATATTAAAAAAAAAATCAAGTCAATAAATAAAATTTGTTGATTCAAATTAATTTTTTTCAATTTTGAAAATTAATTTTTAATTAATTTTTTTATTTTTTTTTATTTTTTTTATTTTTTTTGTCTTGAAATTTCTATTTTAATTTCATAAAAAAAATTTCTTATTAAATATACAATTAACAGACATTTTAAACAGAAATTATCAAAAAAGTTTTTTTCCAGTTTTCTAAAATTTACCACTTAGTTTATTTTTTTTTTGACAAATTTACAAATACTTTGCCAAATTTTTACTTTTTAATCGAAAGCTTTCATAATATTGAAATAAAAGTTCCCTTATCTCATTTTTTTTTATAGAAATTTTTCATGGGGGTTTTTTTTCCCACTTTGAGTAATAAAAGACGATGTACAAATTAGTGAAAAAAAAAACAAATTTGCTTTTTTTTATAGAGAAAAGAAAAAGAGCGTGAGAAAATTGTCTTTTGATGCTTGATGTCGATATATTTCTATCTATTTTTTTTTTATTTGTTTAGTTTTTCATCACTCACACAAAACACGCGCACACACACATACCACGTGGTAAGCATATTTTTTTAAAAAAATCATTATAATATATATATAGTTTATACTATGTATAATATGACACTGTTGTGTATTTTTTTTTTTTTTATTTAATATATTTATACTTGTTTTTTTTATACTTATATATATTTATATTTATATATATATTTGTTATAAAGACCTTTAGGTCCAAGTATCAAAGACAATTTTCACTCGTTACTTTTTATTATTTTAAACAAAAAAACAACTTGGGAATCGATGACAAAAAAAAAAAACATAATATATATATACAAATTGTACTTAAGTATAAATATTTTTTTTTTTTTTCTTTTTTTCTTCAAAGTCGACGATAAAAGAAAAAACGAATAAATTCAGGAATTTATTATCATTAGCTTCTTTTTTTTCATTACTATATTGTCATTAAAATAATTATTTTCTAAAGACAAATTATTAAATTTTCATCATAATGAGAAAGTATTAAATTTGTGCGAATTTTCATTCTTTTTATTTACAATTCTAAGTTTTTGTTTTTTATTTTTCAAATTTTTTCATATTGAAAAATTTTGCACATTTCGTTAAAAACAGATTTGTTTTTTTCAATTTGAATTATGTTTTTTTTTTACAAATCTTGATATAAAAACTATTTTTATTAAAAAATATTTTCTCAACAAGAAATTTTTTTTTTTATTTCAGAAATTTTTCTATAAAATAAATTTTTTCAAAGAAATTTTTCTGTGAAATAATTTTTTCACAAATAAAATTTTTCAGTGAATTAATTTTTTCACAAATGAAATTTTTCACTGAAATAATTTTATTTAAAAAATGAAATTTTTCAGTAAATTAATTTTTTCATAAATGAAAATTTTCGATGAAATAATTCTTTAAAAAATGAAATTTTTCAATGAAATAAATTTTTTCACAAAAATTTGTTAATGAAGCAATTATTGTTTCAGAAATAATAATTTTTTTGTTTATGAAATAATTTTATTAGTGAAGTAAAATAATTTTTTCAAAATCGTTTTTTTTCGTCACAGGAAATAATTCTTTTTAGAAAGGAATTTTTTTTTTATATATAAATAAAATGTATTTTCTCGAAATAAAGGAATATAAATGTTTTAAGTAAAATAATTTCTTATTTTATATGAAACAAATTTTTTTCACAAAACATTTTTTTATGTATAAAAAAAATTTTTTCCAAAAAGATAATTTTTTATGAAACTATTTTGTTTTGGAGTAAGAAAATTTTTTTTTAATAAATTTTCTTTTTTTACTGTTTTTTTTTAAAAAAAAAGTACAAATTTTATATTAAATATAAAATTTTTGACATATATTTTAAATAAACTTTTTTTTCTTTTTCTTCAATAAGTATATAGCAAGAAACGTGAACGCACCAAAACCAAATTAGTGGAAAAAAAAGAAAATTTCCAAAATTGAGAAAATAAATTGAAATTTTCCAAATGAAATTAATTTTTCTTTTTTTGTAAAAGGAAATTAAAAATGATTTTTTTTTAACTGCAACTAATAGATAATAATTAATATCTATTTTGTTTACAAATAAATTGATGAATTCAATCATTGAAAAAAATTTGATTATTTAATTTTTTTTTTTTGCGTTAAAACACTTTTATTACATTTATTTATTTGATAGTAAATTATGTAATTAAATTATTTATAATTTAATATTTATAAAAATTAATGAATTACATTTTCATAATATGAAAAGATATTTGAAATTTCAATTCATTCAATCAATTAAATTAATTTTAATTTCCTTTCACAATATCAATATTAATTAAATGAAAAAAATAAAATTTCATGTAAAAGTAAATTGTAAAAATTTGAAATTGTCAAAAATCTGTTTTTAACTTCATTTTTTTTTTTTAAGTTTCTTTCAAATTTTACTCTCAAAATCAAAATAATTATTGGTGTTATTATTATTATTAATAATAAATTCCCAAAAATTATACGCTAATTAAATTAAAAATTCGTTATTACAAAATTTTTTTTTTTATATATATATGAAAGCTGCTTTTTTTCGATACATCATAAAAATTTGATTTCCTGTTTTTCACTCATTTTATAGAGTATATATATATATATATATAATTGTCTTATAAATTACGCTAGGTAGGCGGTTTTTTTTCCATATAAGATAGATATAGAAATAGATAGAGAGAGAGAGAGAGAGAGAGAGAGAGAAAGAGGGAGAGTGAGAGACGATAATTCTCTCCATGGATATACAAGTTTTAACTATTTATGTATATATGTATAATACGATTAAATGTTAGAGCACTAAAACGTAATATTTTTATAAGTTCAGATTACTTGAGAAACTCGAGATTCATTTTTTTTTTCATCTATAATAATAATAATAATTAACTGTATTGACAGTCTTTTTTTTTTAATTATTAAATTTTAATTGTTTTTTTTTTATCGCATCTTCACTGGTAAAACCACATCGAGTCTTATTTTAATTGTAAAATTTAAAAAAAAAAAACAATTTCTCTCTCGTTTTCAGAATTTTTTTTTTCTCCTAAATTAAATTTTTTTTAAAATCATTATTATGCACTTCGCCCTTGGGCTGATTTTTTTTCGGACCATCAAAATAGAGAAGAAAATCACTCTCCGAGTCATCCAATATCCAAAAAAAAAGTCCGTTCTTCTTTTTTTTTTTTTTTTTCTTATCACAATTTATTTTTTTTCTCCTCAAGACAAAGAGAAAGGAAAATTCATTTGATTTGGGAATTTATTTACAATTGTAAAAAAGTTTTTTTTTCTATTTTTAGGGTTTTTTTTTTACCCTTTATATTAGTTTGTATTTGAAAATTCTTTTTTTTTTTTAGAAATATCTTCTTCTTTGTAGAAATATTTTTTGCAAAAATTAAATTTTCTTTCTTCTTCTTCTTCTTAATCATCTATTTTTTTTTTTGAATTATTTTCCTCTTTTTAAAAATTTTAATCAAATTCTTTTGTTTTCTCTTCTCGAATTATTCACAATTTTTTCTATTTTCCTCTTCTTAAAAATTTTAATCAAATTTTTTTTTTCCTCTTCTCGAATTATTCGCAATTTTTTTTGTATTTTTCTCTTATTAAAAAAATTAATCAAAAAAAATTTTTTTCTTAAAAATTTCATTAAAAAAATTTTTTTTCCTCTTCTCAAATATTCAAAAAAAATTTTCCTTTCTCTTCTCGAAAGTTCACCAAATTTTTATTTCTTCTTCTCATTCACCAAATTTTTTTTTTTTTTTTTATTTCTTCTCATTCATCAAATAATTTTTTTTTACTTCCTCTTCCGGAATATTCACACAATTTTCTTCTCCTCGCAAACATTCACAAAAAATTTATTTCTTCCTCTTCTTCACGAAACAATTACAAAAAATTTATTCCTCTTCTCTGTATATATTCACAAAATTTATTTCTTCTTCTTCTCGAGTGGTCACACGTTTCTTCTTTTCTTTTTTTTAAACACTTAAACTTCACTTTTCCTCCCGGCAACTTTCTCTCGATTATGATGGTTGAATTTAGTTTTTTTTTTTTTAAAAAACAGTTCGAAGTAGAAAAAAGGATGTGATTTTCGGATTTAAATCGTGAGAGAGAGAGAGATGAGGGGAAAGGGAGACATAAGTGCAGAGCTCTTTATTAATAATAATTATTATTACTAGATTATAATCATAATAATAATAGTATCGTTATTGTAAAATGAATAAATTATGTACACAAGTAATGATATTAATCATTACATTAAATTTTTACTAGTTTTTTTTTCAGTATAGAACGTTCACGATTCTTGCTATATTCTTATTAAAAGAAAAAAAAAAAAAGAAAAAAAAAATCGATCGTGCATTTTAACTCAAGAATTTTATATTCTTTTATCATTACGATAAAAAATCTCTATTAAAAAAAATAAAAATAAATAAAATTCCTCTTCTCGAGTTTTTTCATTTACATAAAAAAAAAGAAATCAATTTCCAACCACAAAAAGAAAGAAAGACACAATTTAAAAAATAAAAAAAAAAAATCCGTACACGGCGAAAAATAAAATTCAAAAATGATTAAAATTCTTTTTTTACCATTTCTCCCTGAAAAAAAATTACAATTTTTTTCGGATAATTTCGGTAAATGCAAAAAGAGAGAATTAATTAATTCAATCAATTAATTAATTAATTAAAAGAGAAAAATATTTCGAATTAAAAAAAAAATTGTTCCTTTTATCTCACGCGGGATATAATATTTATAATTATAAATAGACAAATATTTATACATTTAAAAAAAATTGTTCTAGAGAATTTTCTTTTTTTTATCGTCTAAACGATAAAAAAAAAGAATAGATAACAAAGAACTCTGCAAGTATATATTTAGGAATTATAAACACAATAATTGGAAAAAAAAATATGATGTGTTTATAAAACAAAAACAAAAAAAAAAATGGAGAACTAAAAAAGAAAATGATGGACTTACGGATGAAAATGGGGATGTGGTGATAATTTGATTGATTCGTTTTTTTTTTGTTTTTAAATTTAAAAATTTATGTTAGATCCTAGTTGACCATGAGTGTGTGAGATTCTATTGGAGCTGCACTATCGTAAAGAGTGTCAGTGTCCTGAGTTGGTTCGCCCTGAAGTTGACACTGATTACTCAATGTGCCGGCTCCACAATCGCAAAAGAATCTATTAACAAAAATTTAAATAAAAAATTTCCAAATTATCCCCATTTATTGCAAGAATATCTAAATTATTTATTTAATTCTCAATGGCTTACTAATAAAAAAAAGAAAAAAAAACAATTTAATAAATTATTTATTTCTTTCAATAATTTATAATAATAAATAAAAATTTAAAAAAAAAATTGAGAATTATAAATAAAAATTATAAAAAAAAAAAAATTGAAAAACAATTTTGTTTTTAAATATGAAAGGAATTAAAAAATGACTTACCGATCGTGGCGAATAAATTCTACATCGTGTCCGGCGTGACAAACTTTTATACAATTAACGCAAATTGCGTTTCGATCGGTGGTGTTACAAGTTCTGCATCGATAAAAATCGTGCATTGGAAACGAGGTATACGAGGAAATTTTATAAAGACATTGACTGTTGGCCACCGCTTTTTCCACTGCATCTTGATTATTAAATATTTTGTTACCTGAAGCAGAAAAAAAAATGAAAATTAATTTTCCAAAAAAATTTTCTCCAATTCTTTTTTCAAATTTTTTTCATAAAATAGTTACAAAAAAATAAAAACAGAAAAAAGGGAAAATTTACCTCTCCTTGCAGGTTGAACGCCACTTGCGAGACAAAGGCCGCCAAATCGATTATTGAAAATATGATTAAATTCTAAAGTGGCAGTCGCATTATTCGTGACTTCAACTCCGGCCGCAAGTCCATCGAAAATTCTATTTCTTCTCAACACCGGATGCGATTGTGTCGATATAAGAACGCCAGCCTGTGCGTTTCTAAATATATCGTTTTCTTCTAGCATTCCTGTATTTTTCAAAAAGAAAATATTAATTTACAAATATTAATATTTCACATTAGTAATTATTACTAATAAACAAAATAATTTTTAAAAAACTGTAATAACAATACTAAGATAATAATACCTAACGATAAAAAAAAAAATTATAAAAATAATAAACTATAATAATTATAATAAAAAATTGGAATTTTAAAAATTAGAAAATAGAAAATTAGAATTGGAAATTAAAATAATTGAAAATTACTATTAGAATTTAAAATAATTGAAAATTACTATTAGAATTTAAAATAATGAAAAAAATTATTACAAATTAAAACTTAATTTGAATATTGTAATAATATATTGAAATTTTTGTTTTTCATTTAAAAAAAAAAATAAAATTACCTTTGCCACCATTAAATATACAAATCCCACCATCTCGACCGTCAAAAATTTTATTTCTCTTTAATGTTGGATTACTGTCTGTTTTTATCCAAACACCAGCCATTGCATTGTCGAAAATTTCATTTTGTTCCAACAATCCTAATCCACTATTATAAACCAATACACCACCATTTTGTCCACCCCAAATTTTATTTCCTCTAATCACAGGATTACTTCCGGTCCTAAAAGGCACAAAAAAAATTATATTTATTTATTTTCTTTAAAATTATTTTTACACAATTTTTCATTAAATTAATAAATTTATTAAATTTCAAAAAATTTTAACATAAATTAAAAATTAAGCAAAAAAGTTTAAAAATAAAATAAATGTTGGTTGAAATTTTAATTTTATGAATTCGAATGCTTTTTATTTTTTATTTTTTTTTTTGAAATATTATTTTTAAAAAATTTGGAATGAAAACACACCTGATTTGAACGCCCGAATAAAGATGATTGAAAATATCATTATCCTCAAGTTTTCCATGGCCATTATCGTAAAAATAAACGCCAACCTGTTTACCGCTGTGTATACGATTACGTCGTAAAATTGGCGTTGATCCTGTCGTAATCCAAACGCCGGCCAATGTATTTGCAAAAACTTCATTCTCCTCAATTAATCCCTGTCCTTTTTCATGGACATAAATACCGCCATGTTGACCATGATGTATTTTATTGTGTCGCACAATTGGATCTGAATTTGTTCTTATTTGAATGCCCGCCAATGCATTTCCATAAATGTCATTGTGCTCTATTAAACCTAAAATAAACAAAAAAAATTAAGACGAAAATTAGACCAAAAAATAGACAATTATAAAATTAGTTAACTTAATTAGCAAAAAAAAAGAAAAATAAATTATTTTTTAATAAATTAATTTAACAACAAATCAATTTATAAATGAAAAATCGGAAATTTCAAATTATTTCATTTATTGAGTAATTTCCAAAAAAAAAGAAAAAAAATGAATTCAGAATTAAGTCAAAAATTAAAAATTAATTTATTAATAATTAATTTTAAAAAAAAATTAATTCCGAAAGAATTTTTAATTTATTATAATTAAATATAATTATTTAGTTAAATAATAACTATTCGAAAATAGTCATTTTAGAAAATAATAATAATTACGATAATAATTATTTTTATAAAATTATTAATATTTACTTTTGTAAATAATTACTTTCAAGAGAATTTTTCTAATAAATTCTAATTCTAATAAATATAATAGACATTATTTTATTATTATTATTATTATTTATTACTACTATTTTTTTTCACTTTTTACTATTTTTATTATTATTTTTATTATTTCTTACTATTTTTTATTATTTTTAATTTTCTCTTTTTATTCGTTCAAAAAACTACAAATTATTTTATTATTTTAAAATTTTGTAATTATTTATTAATATAGTTATTATTTATATATATATATATATTATTACCTATATATTATTATTATTATTATTTATTACTACTATTTTTTTCACTTTTTACTATTTTTATTATTATTTTTAATTTTCTCTTTTTATTCGTTCAAAAAACTACAAATTATTTTATTATTTTAAAATTTTGTAATTATTTATTAATATAGTTATTATTTTTTTTCATATATATATTATTACCTATATATTATTATTATTATTTATTTAGTTAATTAAGGTTGTTTAAAAAACGACGAATTATTTTAATACAAGAAAAAATTAAAGAGCAAAAAAATTTTAAAATTAAAAAAAAAAAACCTAAAACGAACTAAATTTATTTAGTGAAAATTTTGAATAGATGAAAATCGAGGATCACACGAGATCTTTAAAAGAATCCTAACGGTACCCTCATCACAAAAGGATGATAGCCATAAAAAAAAAGGAAAAAAAAAAACGGAAAAAGTGAAAGTTCAAAAGGGGGGGAACAAAAAATATTCAAATATATCTCTGAATACCACAAATAATAAATACTTGACCGTGATAATGAAATCGAAAACTTTTAATCTCAATAGAAATTAAATCGAATCAATTATCTCGATCAAAAAATTAATCAAGATTTTTATCACAAATACCACAAAATTATAAAGACGTATTTTTACATTAAATTCTTAACAAACAATTATGTTTCTATATTAACATATTTAATAAATAAATTTGCAAAAAATTAAAATAATTACCTCTTCCTTCGCCGAATATATAAACACCTCCCTGATGTCCATTATAAATTTCATTACGTCGAATTGTTGGATTTGAATTTGATGTTATCCAAACGCCGGCAAAATTATTTGAATGAATTTTATTATCAATAAATTGACCCAATCCATTTTCATGTACATAAATACCACCGGTTTGTCCATGATGTATTTCACAATGTACAACTGTTGGATTTGCTCCTGCTTTCACTTCAAAACCGGCAATACGATTATTATGAATATCATTTGATTCAAAATAACCAAGACCATTGTCAAATGTAAATATACCAACGTCACGGCCATGATGAATATGATTACGTCGCATTATTGGATTCGCATAATTCTTCACCCATATACCAGCTAGTGCATTACGTGAAATTTCATTATCCTCATATGTACCTTGAGCATAATCAGTGACATAAAGGCCAACATTTTCACAATCTGAGATATCGCAATTTCTAATTATTGGATTTGCACCAACGCCCGAGACACAAACCGCCGCACCAACTGTAAATAGAGAGAGAAAAAAAATAAATAAATAACACAAATTAACAAGTTTAAAAAAAAAATAATTTCTTTTTTCTTCATTCAATTTAAATTAAATTTTTATATTCCAAGAATTACATATTTTAGACAAAATAATTGTTTTTCTAAATTCTAATAAATAAAATAATTTTAAATAATTATATAGAGAAAAAAAAAATTATATTAAAAATAACTCAATTGGATTAAAATTTTACTCATCCTTCCTCTTATTTTTAAAAATTATTTTTTTATTTTCATTTAATAATTTCTATTCTATTATTATTTCAAGTTACTTTAATATAATTATATAATTATATATTAATATAATTATTTTTATTTATCCACACCTTTTGGTTTTGGACGAACTTTCGGTTTTTTACAGTTATTTACATTTTCTTTAATTATTAACAATTATCAAATTAAAATTTAAATCTAGTATTAAAAAAAAAATTTAATTAAACAATTTCAACTCAATTGAATTAAGTTAAAAAATAACTTTTTAAACGAAGCATTTCAATTACATCGAAATAAAAAAATTTAATTCTACTTTAATAACATAAAAATTCTTATTAAAAATAATTTTTCATTATTAACATAAAAATTCTTATTAAAAATAACTTTTCATTATTAACATAAAAATTCTTATTAAAAATAATTTTTCATTATTAACATAAAAATTCTTATTAAAAATAATTTTTCATTATTAACATTTCAGTTAATTTTATTTATATACAAAAAGGATGGAGGTCCTATAATAATCTAAAAACTGAAAAATGTTTTTTTTTTTAAACAAAAATACAATAAAAAATTAATTTTAAACAATTTTCAAAAAATTTAGTTATTTTTTTCTTTGTTTTTTTTCAAAACAGACAAAAATTGCAATTTTTATTCAATTTTCAGGCCTCGGATCGACTTTAAGGCAAAAAAAAAAAAAAAAAAAAAAAAAAAAAGTCGATTTATATTCCACAAAAGAGTCGAAAAAGTCAATTTTTTTTATTTTAATAAAATTTAATTGGTTAATAAATATTTTACTTTAAATAACTAATGTTTTTAGATATTAAATTCATTTTATTAATTTTGTAATGAAAATAATTCTATAAAAATATTATCAAGAAAATTTATTTCGAATATTTAAAAATCGATAACTAATTGTAAGACAAATTTTTGAAAATTTTATTTAAATAGGACAAATTTCTAAAAGAAAAAATTCTTAAATTTCCATTTTTATAATTTTTTCAAGTCGTGATTTAAGCAATTTATTCGAATTAAAAATTTTTTCATAGTTTTGATGATCAAAAAAATTTCAGGCAATACTTAATCAAGTTTTACAGATTTTTAAATAAAATTTTTTTTTCAAATAATAATTTTGAAAGAGTTAAAATTGAAATTTTGAGAAATAATTGAATTTCAAAAAATTTTTGTTAATTTTCAGACAATAATATTAAATATTACAGAACTAAAAATAATTTATCAAAATAATTTTAAATAACACTTTTTTAAAAGTAATTTAATTTTCAATGATTTATAATTTTGATTTTTCAAATTAATTAAACTTCAAGTGATTTTTAATTCAAAATTTTTCATGATTTTACTAAAAAAAAATTTATTAAAAATTGCAGACAAAAATACAATAATTTGAAAACTTAAGCAAAAAATAGTTTCAAATATTTGAATTTTCAAAGGAAAATTATAAACAAACATTAAAAATAATTGAATTTAGTTATAATTGAAATTACTAAATTTCAAAAAATTTTAGATGAAAAATTTAAGAAATAATTAAATTTTAAAAGCTTTTAAATTAAAATTTTTGCAAATAATTAAATTTCAAAAAAATTGTATTAAATTGCAGACAATAATTATAATAAAAGAAATTTCTAGTGATTTCTGTTGATGAAGAATTTATTAGAAATCACATAAAAAAAAATGGAATTCCAAAATAGTTTTTAATTGAAAAATGTCTTTCAGATAATTGAATTTACGAAGAATATTATAAAAATCATTAAAAAAAAAATAATTTAAATTTTTGCAAATAATTAAATTTCAAGTGATTTTGAATTCAAAATTTTTTCTGTAATTTTATTTGCTAATTTTTTTTTTGAAATTATAAACAATTATTAAATTTTATAAAAACTTTAATTGAAAAATAGTTTAAGATAATTGAATTTGTGAAAAATTTCATTAATTTCATTAATTAGGTATTAAAAAAAATTAATTTTTTATTATTATTATTTATTTATTATTATTTAATAATTTTTTTTGGAATGTCTCTTAACACTTTCAAGAGCGTTATTAAAGATTATATCATTGCTCGACGTTAAGAATCTAGTTCATTAAATAATAGAATGTAATCGTGATTAGATCATTTTTCTTTCTTTTTTTATTCCTACGATCGATGAAATATTTTATTTTTGTTTATATATAAATCTCTAATTAAAATTAGGATCTTATTCTTTAATTTTGTTTTTCTCCAGAATAGAACAAATTTCTAAAAAAAAAAAATGTTTTCTGAATAATTAAAATTTTAAAGAAAATATTAAAATTATTAAAAATTAATAATTGAATTTTAAAAAAAAAAATATTGAAATTATTAAAAATAATTATTGAATTTTGTAAGAGTTACAGTTGAAATTTTTAGAAATAATTGAATTTCAAAATTTGTAAAATTTTAACAGAATTGAAAATAATTTATCAAATAATTTTAGATAACCTTTTTTTAAAAAAAATAATTGAATTTGTGAAAAAATTTCCTTAAAAATTATTAAAAATAATTAATTTAGTGAAGAATTTTAGTAGTAACCTTGCCTTCGACTTTTCTTTTGTTTAACAGATTTTTTTCCAACAACACAGAAATAGATTTCTAAATAGTTGTACAATACTCGAATTTAATAATACTAATAAATTTTAATAAAAAAAAATACTAAAATAAAGTATTAAAAGTTATTATTTAATTTGTAAAGAAATGTAAAAAAAAAAAGTCGCATTTTATTAAAATAAGTCGAAAAAATTGTATTTTTGAAAAAAAAGTCGTATAATCCGAGGCCTGTAATTTCAGTCTTGCTAAAATAACATAAAATTCGTTAAAATTTCAAAAAAAAAAAAATTAGAAAATAAAAAAGAAAAAACTTACCAACACTTGAACTGCGAATAATACAATGATCAATTGTTGGACTGCAATTCTCACCAACTTCAAGACAATAATGTTTATGATGTGGCACTGTACTAGCAACATCGGGTGTAAATTTCAATGTAAGATGTCCAACATATGCCTTCTTTGCACCCTCAATAAACATTACCGTTGATTCGCTTTCACGTTCCAATATAACTGATTCAGCAACATTACCTGACGCTGAACCAACTAATGCAACATCATGATCAATAACCAAAAATTCACCACGATAAGTACCCGCGTGTAAAAATACTAAATGCTGATACGTATCATCATTTGTATTACTATTATTATTTCCATTAGTTGTATTATTAGTTGTTGTTGTATTATTATTATTTCCAGTTGTATTATTTTGTGTATTATTACAACAATTATTGCCCGCACTGCTACTTGTTGAACTTGATGTACTACTGCTACTTGATGATGAACTACTGCTACTGCTATTACTTCGATATTCATCAGCGTAATCAATCGCACTTTGTATTGTATTAAAATAGGGAAGATTTTTGAATTTACTTCGATGATTATTTTGATAGCCTGGCCTCACATGTACGCCACGATATAATTGTCGAAAACTTTCCTTCCATGGATTTGCATAATCCGATTCATCAGGTGAAATAAATTCAAATTTACATGGTTCTGGATTAAATAGTGGAATATCGTATTCATAAATTTGTTGATAAAGCGATTTCCATAATTCAGTATCGTTTGCAATAACTTGAAATCGTTTACATACTTGTGCCACACGACACAAATCTTGTTCCATAAAATAATTGAATATTGTTAATAGAACCTCATCCGGTAATTCATATTGAAGATAATGGGCTGCCGTGTGTGTATATGTGCCTGTATTTTTAAAATTATTATTTTTTTAATAATTATTTCGGGGTAAATTTAATTTTTTGGAAATTTTTTAAATATAGGCAATAATATAACATTTTTATTCTAATTTTAAATATATTTTTTGTACATTTTACTTTTTGGAAATTTTATACTTTTGGATATTTGGGTTTTTGAAAATTTTATATTTTTGGACATTTTGGTCTTTGAAAATTTTATACTTTGGGACATTTTACTTTTGGAAATTTCGGTTTTTGAAAATTTTGGTTTTTGAAAATTTTATTCTTTGGTAGATTTTACTTTTGGTTTTTGAAAATTTTGGTCTTTGAAAATTGTACCAATACTTTGGAAAATTATACTTTTGAACATTTCGGTCTTTAAAAATTTTATACTTTGGGAAATTTTAATTTTGGAAATTTCGGTCTTTGAAAATTTTATAATTTTGGATATTTTGGTTTTTGGAAATTTTATTCTTTGGTACATTTTACTTTTGGATACTTAGGTTTTTGAAATTTTATACTTTAGAACATTTTAATTTTGGATATTTCGGTCTTTGGAAATTTTATAATTTCGGATATTTGGTTTTTTGAAAATTTTATATTTTTGGACATTTTGGTCTTTGAAAATTTTATACTTTGGGAAATTTCGGTTTTTAGAAATTTTATTCTTTGGAAAATTTTACATTTGGTTTTTGAAAATTTTGGTCTTTAAAAATTTTATACTTTGGAAAATTTTAATTTTGGAAATTTCGGTCTTTGAAAATTTTATAATTTTGGATATTTTGGTTTTTGGAAATTTTATTCTTTGGTATATTTTACTTTTGGTTTTTAAAAATTTTATACTTTTGGACATTTTGGTCTTTGAAAATTCTATACATTGGGAAATTTTACTTATGGAAATTTCGGTCTTTAAAAATTTTATATTTTGGGAAATTTTACTTTTGGAAATTTCGGTTTTTGAATATTTTGGTTTTTAGAAATTTTATTCTTTGGTACAATTTACTTTTGAAATATTTAGGTTTTTGAAAATTGTATACTTTGGAACATTTTAATTTTGGACATTTCGGTCTTTGGAAATTTTATACTTTCGAATATTTTGATTTTTGAAAATTTTATACTTTGGGAAATTTTACTTTTGGATATTTCGGTCTTCGAAAATTTTATACTTTGGGAAATTTTACTTTTGGAAATTTTGGTTTTTAGAAATTTTATTCTTTGGTACATTTTACTTTTGGTTTTTGAAAATTTTGGTCTGTAAAAATTTTATACTTTGGAAAATTTTGGTCTTTGAAAATTTTATAATAATGGATATTTTGGTTTTTGGAAATTTTATTCTTTGGTACATTTTACTTTTAGATACTTAGGTTTTTTGAAATTTTATACTTTAGAACATTTTAATTTTGGATATTTCGGTCTTTGGAAATTTTATACTTTCGGATATTTTGGTTTTTGAAAATTTTATAGTTTTGGACATTTAGATTTTTGAAAATTGTATACTTTGGGAAATTTTACTTTTGGAAATTTCGGTCTTTAAAAATTTTATATTTTGGGAAATTTTACTTTTGGAAATTTCGGTTTTTGAATATTTTGGTTTTTAGAAATTTTATTCTTTGGTACAATTTACTTTTGAAATATTTAGGTTTTTGAAAATTGTATACTTTGGAACATTTTAATTTTGGACATTTCGGTCTTTGGAAATTTTATACTTTCGAATATTTTGATTTTTGAAAATTTTATACTTTGGGAAATTTTACTTTTGGATATTTCGGTCTTCGAAAATTTTATACTTTGGGAAATTTTACTTTTGGAAATTTTGGTTTTTAGAAATTTTATTCTTTGGTACATTTTACTTTTGGTTTTTGAAAATTTTGGTCTGTAAAAATTTTATACTTTGGAAAATTTTGGTCTTTGAAAATTTCATAATAATGGATATTTTGATTTTTGGAAATTTTATTCTTTGGTACATTTTACTTTTAGATACTTAGGTTTTTTGAAATTTTATACTTTAGAACATTTTAATTTTGGATATTTCGGTCTTTGGAAATTTTATACTTTCGGATATTTTGGTTTTTGAAAATTTTATAGTTTTGGACATTTAGATTTTTGAAAATTGTATACTTTGGAAAATTATACTTTTGAACATTTCGGTCTTTAAAAATTTTATACTTTGGAAAAATTTACTTTTGGAAATTTCGGTCTTTGAAAATTTTATACTTTCGGATATTTTGATTTTTGAAAATTTTATATTTTTGGACATTTAGATTTTTGAAAATTGTATACTTTGGGAAATTTTACTTTTGGAATTACGGTTTTTGAAAATCTTATATTTTTGGAAACTTCGGTTTATGAAAATTTTATAATTTTTGATATTTTGGTTTTTGGAAATTTTATTTTTTGGTACATTTTACTTTTGGTTTTTGAATATTTTATACTTTTGGATTCTTTGATTTTTTGAATATATTTTTTTTACTTGGAAAAAATAAATTTTCAATCATTGAAAATTTTGGAACTATTGGTTTGAAATTCTTGTACCGCAAAATTCTAATTTTTTAATTTGAATTTCTATTATTTTTTGAAATAGAAAAAAAAAAAAATGAAAAATTACCATCGATGGATGGTAATTTAAATTCTAATTTTTGATTTGAATTCTGATTTTTTTTTTAAATAAAAAATAAAAAATGAAAAAAAAATGGAAAGTGGAAAATTACCATCGATGGATAATGAACATGCTCGTCGGGGTCGTTTTCTCGCCGGAAGTGAGGATGAGACAAATATGGCGGCGGCATAACTGCTGCCGCCTGCTGGAGGTAATGCAGAGCTGGTTCCGGGTGCCGGATCCGGATGAGGGGGACTTTTTCGTCTGAGGTCATATGGCGAGGAGTGCGACGACGAAGGCGCTGCGACCCCTGAAGTACTCGGAAAAGGTCCTCGACCTCCGCTTCCACCACTTACACCACCGCTGCTGCTGCTGCTGCTATTACCACCGCCGCCTCCGCTGCTTCCACCACTGCCTCCGCCGCCACCACCGCCTCCTAGTGCAATTTGATTCGATGCCGGGCATGGCAAATCGTATGCTTCATCTGCAAAAAGAAAAAAATTAAAAACTAATTTCACCTTTTAATTTACACATTGTATGATAATAACTCAAAAAAAATTGCCTTTGAAATTTAAATTAATTCAAAATTTTTACAAATTAAAATTCGGGTAATTAAACATTTCAAACAATTAAAATTTGCATCAATTGAAATTTAAATGAATTTGAATTTGAAAAATTTGAATTTTAAATAAATTAAAATTTTTATATAATTTTAAAATTAAATGAAATTAAAACTATGATAATTTTAAAATGAAAAATTAATTAAAATTTTCATAAATTAAAATTCGGATAATTTTAAACTTGAATCAATTAAAATTTTGATAATTTTAAAATTAAATCAATTAAAATTTTTGATAATATAAAACTTGATAAATTCTAAATTTTAATCGATAAAAATTTGAACAATTTAAAATATAAATTAATTATAATTTTTAAAAATTAAAATTCAAATAATTTTCCACCTAAATCAATAAAAATTTGGAAAAAATTGAAATTCATACATTTGAAAATTCGAAATTAATAAAAATTTAGACAAAAATTGAAATTCGGATATTTTGAAATTTAAAATCAATAAAATTGGGTTAATTTAAAATTCGTCTAATTTGAAACTTAAAATCAATTGAAATTTGGTAAATTTTAAATTTAAATCAATATTAACATTTTTATAACTTTCAACTTAAATTAATAAAAATTTTTGCAAATATTAAAATTGAAATAATTTAAATAAAAAATCAACAAAAAATTTGAACAAATTAAAATTGAGATAATTTTAATCCAAAAATCAATAAAAAAAAATTGAACAAATTAAAATTGGTATGTTTTGAAACTAGAAATCAATTAAAATTTTTGTAAATTAAAATTAAAATAATTTCTGATCGAAAAACAAAATAAAAATTTGGAAAAATAATTAAAATTCAAATAATTAAAAAATTTAAAACGATTAATCTTTAAATAAATTGAAATTTCATTAATTTTTAAGCTTAAATCAATTAAATTTGCATTTGAATTGAAATTTGAATCAATGAAAATACAAATTGATATATTAAAATTTAAATTAATTAAAATTTTTACATTATAAATTTAATTATATTGAAATTTGAATTAATTTTAAAATTATTTGCATATTGTAAATTTAATTATTATTTTTTTTTTAATATTAAATAATTAAAATCATGTGAAAAGTGGAAAATATAAGAAATATTTCTGGATTTTTCTACTCTGAAAATTATTGAAATAAAATTTTTAATTTAGAAAGAAATTTAAAAAAAAAAATTGAACAAAAAATAAAATAAATTAGAAAATTATTCAATTGGTTAAACTTTCAAAATTGAAAAATAAAAAAAAAATGGAATTGGAATTTTTTTTTAGTTGGAATGCATTCAAGTCAAAACGAATGAAATTAGAAAGTTTATATTCATATTCGAAATTTGGAAAGGATTCAAATTCAAAAGCACTAAGAGAGATGAAATAAATTCACATTTATGTATAAATTTAAATTGAAATTTTGTAAATTTTGGCAAATTTTTTTCTTTTTCACATCAATACAAAATTTATGTGTACTTTATTTCTGAATTTTTCAACTTGCTACATAAATAAAAAAAAATCTCTTTTTAAAAAATTGAAACAAAAATTTCGTATAAAAAATAATAAAAAAAAAAAAATAAAACTATTATAAATTTGTAAATATAAATCGAAAAATGTAAAAAAAAAAATAAAATCAAATCAAATAAAAAACGAAATAGTCTGAATTATTAATAATTGAATTTATGGGAGAGAGAAAGGAAGGGAGAAAAAACCAGAGAAGCGTGAATATGAGTGTCAATGAAAATCAGAATTAGAATTCCAATTGTCATGATTGTGAGAGAGCACAACAAAAAAAAAAAAAATAATAAATAAAATAAAAAAAAAAGGAAAGGAAGGAAATTCCACGACCTTGTATTTAAACAAGGATCCATAATACGATTTGAGTCACGATTTATATAATAATAAACTAAAAGAAATATGAGAAATTTTTTTTTTTTTTTGCAAAATTACATAATTTCGTATATTTTTCTAAATATTAGTAAAGAATTTTTAATCTATATGTTTATCCACATTTTTAACGCGAATTTCCACTTATTCGTTAAAAAAAAAAACTATTATTAGTAAAAAAAAAAAGAAAAAAAATACCTACTCGCGAGTGATATACATAATTAGATTTTTTCTAACAATTTTCTAATCAATTTTTTTAACGATAAATTAATTAATAAAATAAATTTCTATTTCAAATTTATTATTATAATAATTAATATTTATTATAAAAATAAATAAATAAATAAATAAAAATATTCGGTATTAAAAATTATAAAAACACAATGTGAATATTAATAAAAATAATAATAATAATAATAATAATAATATTAATAAAATGATAATTGAAAAAAATATAAAGATAAATAAAATTTATTATTATAAATAACAATGTTTTAACAAAAACAATTTTTTTTTTGTTATTTTTATTGCTTTTTTAAAATATTATTATTCTTGAAAATTTTCAAACTGTAATAAAGTATTTTTTTTTTCTTTCTAACGAAGGAAACAGTGAAATTTATTCTATACATTTATAATTTGAGTTTATCATTTAAATATTTACTGTAACTATAAAGATCAACTTTCTGATTGCCTTCCAAATTAACTAGAATATATTCTAATTCCGTTACTCATAAATCCCACGCTTTTAAGTGCGTTAATTTTTTAAAAAAAATTGCAGTGCACTCAGAAAACAAATTTTTTTTTTCTACGTGTAATTTATGCGAATATTACAAAATATTTTTTTTTAAATAAAATGAATTTAACAAAACTATTTTATTTTTATTTTAGGAAAAAATTTTCAATTTATAATTTTCAAAAAAATAATTAATTAAAAATCTAAGTATTTTTTTTGTAAATTAAAAAAAAAAGGAAAATTGTAAAAGAAAATAAAAAATAAGCGAATGACAAATTTTCGAATAATAAATTTTTAAAGAAAAAAAAAAAAGAGAGAAATCTCTTTAAAATAAAGGACAAACAATTTAAAAAAGAAAAAAAACAAAATAGAATTATTATTATTATTATTATTATTAATAGGCAATTCAATTTATTATAACAATAAAAAAAAATTCTTCCGAACCTCAAAATTCACTTGTCAAGAATCACAAAACTGTCAAATTATTATTATTTCCATTCACTTCAAAAATAATAAACTAATTTTGTCACTCTCAATTTTTATTATTCTCATTAATTTTCCCCTATTTATTATTATTTTAATTCCACTAAATTTTTTCTAATTATTTTTTTTTTCTTCCTGAAGATTCATTTTCATTTCGAAATCGAGAAAAATTAAAATTTCTCCAAATGTCATCGTTACTATATCATTTAACCTATCTTAATACGTCAAATTTTTTTTAACGAAAAAATATTTTCAACTATTATTATTATTCTCTAAAAAAATTTTTCCGAATAAAAAAAAAACCTCAACCTTTAGTCCTACACCATTTTCATTATATCAAAAAAACATCAGAAGATTAAAATTTCCTTCCTTCCCATCCATAAAACGAGATTCCGCGAAAGGGATATCGTGGAATTTGACACACAACACCCATATATATATAATATTCATATTGCAAAGGGAGGAGATGGAAAAATCACACACACACATACACACACAGACAGGACAAAGGAGAATGTAAATCGGAATTCGTTTTTTTCTTTTTTTTACTGCTGAAATTAATTTCTCCCAGGGAGAAAAAGGGTGAAAAAAATTGATTACCAATTGCGGCAGAGGCAAACAAAAAAAAATCAAATTTTTTTTTAAATAATGGAAATGGAAAAAAAATTGGTGCTCGGCAGGTGAAGGCGAAAAAAGAGTGTCTAAAAAAAAAATGTACAAGGGAAAAAGTAGTATATATGTGTGTTACTTACCAGAAGCTCTTGATGGTAATGGAATCCTATTTGCACCTTTTCTTCGCGATCGACGGACATAGCCGCGCCCAGAAAATGAGGCGCTTGGCATATTGGCGTCGTGAGCCCCCAGGTTGCGTGCGTGAATTTAAAAAAACAAAAAAAAAAAATTAACACAGAAAAACCCAGAGATAAAACACCCGAAACTAAACACTAAACAATGGCGACACTTCCACTGAGCACGGCAGCCATTTTGTCATTGACGGGGCCAAAAAGAGTGTGCGACTGCAGCGCCAATTGGATGTATGCGGTCGTTTTTCAACCACTCTCTCTCTTTCTCTTTCTTTCTCACTTGCTCCTATTTGATTTGATTGGTTCTCTTGTCCTTGTTTCCATAGGCATCAGGTACGTATTTTCCATTACCAGGTGCCCCCTTCACTCCAAAAACAGTCACCTGCGCAGGCGGAGTTTATTTTAAGGATGACCGGTCGGATTTATCAATTTTTTTTTTCTCTCTATATCGCGTTTGGCTTTGTAAAATTATACCACCACACACATATATACAAGAAAAAGAAAAATATTTATTCGATACGATCAATAGCTTTTCATTGTTTCATTTTCATATATATACACGATTTTTGTCAATATCAATTTCAAAAGAAAAAATAATTATCTTTTTGTGGAATTTTATTTTAAATTAGTTTCTTTGTAATTTGTCCTTGAAATTTAAATTTTATCGCAAAATGTAAATAAAAACAATTTCATTTTTTTCTACTGACAAAAATAGGTTACAAAATGTGAAATAGAAATGCTTTTTTCCATTGTAATTTTAGTTTATCAAAATAGGGGAAAAATTGTAACAAAAGATAATAACGCTACTAATTACGGTTTTATTTCATCAGTAACGGTTATCAAGGTTATATTGTTTGCTCGACCGGGAAAGAATTTCTATTATCAGATGGAAAGGAATTAATAAAAACATACCTCTTAAAAGATTAGAAATGATTTAAAAAAATATATATGTTATTAATTTCACTTAATATAGACTACGCTCCTGGGGTGGGGCCCCTCGCCCCGGTGCCCCGCTTCACTCATGGTAAAATTGGAACGCGAGACACAAGTAAGGGGATCGATGTCAGTATGGAGTTATGGAGACCGCGAACAACAGAAATTCCTATTTACCATGTATTTCCGCGATCAGCTCGTGTCTTATACTCTCAATTGTATACGTGGCCAGTTTATACGTATGGAATTCACCACACAACAGGTACGATCCACCGCCGCGAACAGTGCTCCGCTTTTTGGGAGTTTATCTCCGCCACGCACGTTTCCTACAATACACTATATACACACACACATGTATATGAATTTCCTCTTCTGCTGTCCACAATATCGAAATGCCGAAACTCGGCAACGTTGCACACCGCGATCTTCCCATGGAGAACATAAATCCAGGGGTGTAATAAGAAATATTCAAATTTAACCCATAAAAATAGTGTTTTCACCTCTCGCCTCGAAAAAATGCCGAATTGAGGTTAGGAAACTTTACCTACAGCGCCATGTGGAAAATTTTTAAATTTTTTTCCATTATTGATTTTTAAAAATATTTTTAAGTTTTCAAATTTTTAATTAATACTATTTTTTTGCGATTTTTAATTAGATAATATAAATTTTATTTATTATAAAAAAAAATTGTCAATATTTACAGATTAATAAATTTATATTGAAAAAAAAAAAAAATTATAGTTTGGTGTGGGATAATGTTTTAGTTGTTACGGCACTGGGTAGGATCATTTAATTCATGTAAGAGACATGAATGACTGCTGATTGGTCAATTTCAAGTGTAGTTGTACTATGTGTTACTATATAAATACTATTCACAATCACAAGTTACAACTTTCACTAAATCACCGCACGAGAGCGTGCATAAATTTTTTCAAAAAAACAAAATTCTTTTTTTTGAAAAATTGAATAAAATTTTTTGTTTTTTAACAAAAAAAAATTTTGTTTTAATTTTATAATAAAAAGGCCTTGTAACTTTTTTTTAATTCTTTTTTTTTTTTAATTAGGGAAAAAATAATTCTTTTTATACTCTTAAATATTAAAAATTTGTAAATAATAAAATAATAATAATAATAAATAATAATTAAATATTAATATTAATTTAATACTTTTAATATTTATAATTTATTAATTTAATCATTAATTATTGTTATTATTATTATTATTATTATTATTTTATTAATCATAGTTCATGCCTTTCGGCTTTAAACGAAATTTAATTATTAATTATTTATAGTTATTTAATTTAATTATTAATTATTTATAATTAATTAATTTAATTATTTATTAATTATTTATAGTTAATTAATTTAATTATTTGTTAATTATTTATAATTAATTAATTTAATTATTTGTTAATTATTTATAATTAATTAATTTAATTATTTGTTAATTATTTATAATTAATTTAATTATTAATTAATTATTTATAATTGATTAATTTAATTGTTAATTAATTATTTATTTATTTTAATATTAAATATCGATTAAAATTAAATATTTTACAAATTTTTTTTTTTTAAAAAAAAGGAGAAAAAGAAAGTTTTTTTTTTTTAAATAATTAATTTTCTTTTTTTAGGGAGCATCCAAGTACAATAAAAAAAAGATTTTTTAGTGTTTTTATTGTGACACTAATTTCACCAGCCTCTTTATATTTTGGCCTTAGTGAAAAAGTCTTTCAAACGGTAATTGTTAATAATTATAAATTTTTAAAACATAACTAATTATTTATTTTCAATTTAAAAAATTTTTTTTGTCTATTTTTAATTATATATTTTTTATTTTTTTTTTTCATTATTTTAAATAAATAATTATAGTAAAATAATATTTTTATATTTATGAAATAAATAAATAATTGTAAAATAATATCAGATAATATTTCAAATTTATAATATAAATAAATTATTTATTTATTTTGTATTTATTTATTACTTATTATTTATTTATTATTTATTATTGGTTGATTAAATAAATAAATAAATTATTTATTTATTATAATAATGTAACATAGATAGATAGAATAAATAAATAATTATAATATTATAAATATTAAAAATAAGTTAATTTTTTTTTTTTTTTTTTAATAAAATTTTTGAGTTTTCTTTTTTTTTATTTCAAGTGGAAATTATTTTTTGATAATTTTTGAAAAAACAAAAATATGAAATATATTTCTTTTTAGGCAACAATATGGGAATTATTGGGACTGAGGTGGCCTGGTTTTATTCAAGCAATCATCTTGCCTCTCTGTCTCACGATGATTTTATTTTTAGGACCTCTCAGCTTGCAAGTCATTAATGGAATTTGGAAATTATACGCAGGTTTTTTTATTATTATTATTATTATTATTATTATTATTATATATGACCTAATTCTTCATACATTAAAAAAAAAATTATTCTCTTATTGAAATAATTTTATATTTTTAAAAATATTTTTTTAAAATAAATAATAATAATAAATAAAAAATAAATATAAAATAAAAATATACTTTTTAAAATAAAAATATTTCTTATTAAAATAAAATATCTTTTTTTTTTATTAATAAGTAAAAAATTAGAAAAAAAAGAAGGAAAAAAATTAAATAGAATTTAAAAAAATTTGCCAATTGAGAATTATTTTATACCATGAAATTGAGTATAAATTTCAATTAATTTTAAAGACTCTATTTTTTTTTTCTAATTAGAACCAATGTACTGGTTGGAGAGTGCAAGGACATTAATTTGGTGGAGGAATCAAGTGATAGCGCCCCTATCAGAAGAATGGACTTTTAGGGCGTGTATGTTACCATTACTTTTACAATGTTTTTCACCAACGACAGCAATTTTTATATGTCCATTATTTTTTGGTGTTGCACATTTTCATCATATTCTTGAAAAAATAAAAATGGGAATGGAAATTAAACACGCCATCATTATATCCTGTAAGTTCAACATTATATTAATTTTTTTTGTTTTTTTTTTTTTTTATACAAAAATTGATTTAAAAAGAATAGAAAATAATAATAATTATAATACTTCCAAATAATAAAGAAAAAAAATTTTGTTTTCCTAATTAATTATTTTTTTTTCTTTTTTTTTACACACAGGTTTTCAATTTTCCTATACAACACTTTTTGGAGCTTACGCCGCATTTCTTTTCTTTAAAACTGGTAAATTTTCCATTAAATTAATTTTACTCAATTTAGTTATTAAGATTAAGAAATTTTAATTAATTAATTTTTAAAAAAAATAGTAATATTTTGCAAAAAAAATTTAATTCAAAATTTTGTGGATTAAAAATAAATTTACATCATGAGGAAAAGAAATTTGAAATTTATTCAGATTCAAATTAATTAATTATTTAATTATTGAAATTATAAAATTTTAATTTTTAATGAGAAAATTAATTTTCAATGGAAAAAATAAATTAATTTTGAATTAAAATTTAAATATTCAAATAATTTTTTTTGTATTTTCCTTTTTTTTTTTTTTTAAAGGACATTTTGTTGCGCCATTTGCCGCACATTCATTCTGCAATCACATGGGATTTCCGGATTTATCGGAAGTCGCAACTTACGAGGGTCCATGGAAACGGGCAGGACTTATGTCATTATTTGTATTAGGACTCATTGCATGGTGTTTTCTTTTAACGCCAATGACAAATCCATCTTTTTTTAGTAACAATTTATATTGGCACAAATAATTGTCAAAATATTCGTGTTTCTATATTTTGCACTTTTTTAAAGAAAAAAAATTGAAAATCAAATTTAGCATTTTTTTTTTTAATAATTAATATTAATTATAAAGATCGAAAAAAAATCGAAAATCTATAATTAATAATAGATAGATATCGTAATTTAAAGAAAAAAAATTCTTTTTTACTATTAATTTAAATTATAATTAAAAATTTTGTAATTCGAATAATTTTGTTTATTTAGACTAATTATTAATTAATTGACATGACTGACTATTTTTTTTTTACCATTATATTTTCAGCAATTAAGTAATTTTCATTTTTTTTATTAATTTGTAAATTTAAATTTGTTAAGTTAAGAAAAAAAAAGGGAAAATTTATTTCCTTTTTTTGTGCGATTTAAAATTTGGCAATTAACGAAAAAATGACAATATTTTTTTTTTTTAAATAAGAAACAAATTTTTTTTTTGTTGAATTTGAAAAATTATTTATTCAAAAGAGAATTTTTTTTAATTGAAAAATTTCTTTTAAACCATTGAGAACATTTTTTGTAATATGGAAAAATTTTCTATTTAGAAAATTCTTTTAATTTGCAAAAAAAATTTTGCAAGTAAAAAAATTATTTTAATTTAAAAAATTTTTCAGTTAAAAAAATTCTTTTCATTTTAGAAAATTTTTCAACCCAAAAAATTCATTTAATTTTAGAAAATTTTTCAACCGAAAAAATTCATTTAATTTAAATAAATGAATAATAATTAAATACAAAAAACCTCTTTCTCTCTCTGCCATTATTAAATAAAAAAAAAAAAAAATTATTGACTTTTTGTGATAGAATATTAAATACATACTCAATTGTACAAATTTCAAATAGAAAAAAAAAACATTCGTTTTTGTACAGAAAAAAAGAAAACGCTATCGAATTCTATTTGAAATTTAACGAAAATGACATCGCTCCATATTTGTGGTAAAACTAGTCCTTATCTACTTAATAAATAATATTAATATTGTAAAATAATAAAAAAAATTTATAAAGAACTAATTAAAAAATTGCAAAAAAAAAATTTCTAATCGTTAATTTTTAAATTTTTTCCTAAAATTTCAAAATTTATTATGTTCCAATAAATTAATTAAATAAAATTCGAATAGAAAAATTCACTTCTAAAAATAAATTCAAAACTGTTAATTTTTTTTTAACTCTTAAGAATCTATTTATTGATAATTTCAAATCACAGAGAAAACAGTTATTACAACGTTGTTACGATTTAAATATATTATATTATTTTATAATCACACATTCGAACGTATAACAAAAATATATACCGAGTTCTTTACGTAAATAACAACTGTCTCTTTTTAATTTTTTTTTTTTGCTTTTTTTTCCCATTATCACCAGGAGAATTATTTTTTACTTACTAATTATATTATAAAATACAAAAATTAAATCACAACAATTTTTCCCTCCAAAAAAAATAGAGGAAAAAATTAAATTACTTTTCTCTAGGAAAAAAAAAATATGTTTCATTTGGAAAACGTAAAAAATACTAAATAAAATAATAATAATAATAAAAAAATAAATGAAAAATAAAACCTAGTTGTAAGTTTTAATTCATTTAACAGAAAACAATAAAATTGCACTTTACAATATTCAACTAATTTTTTCTACATTGGTCTCCAGAGACATTAAAATTTGAGCAAATAATTTCTTTTTAGAGATAAAAAATTCCTCCTTCATATAAAATCAATTCTAAATCGAAACAAAATTAAATTATCGCATTTTTGTTATCAAAGGAAAATAATCTCAGGAACTTTTTTTTTTCCAAAAAAAAGAATAATAAATACTGAAAATTTTTTTTTCTAAAAGTAACTAGAAAATTAATAATTATAATAAAAATTAAAGAAAAAAAAATTATTCACGAAATAAAAATTATTTGTTAATTATAAATAAATAAATGCTTAAAAATGCTAGAGTAATTCAGATCGTGAGCCATTTTTTTTTTCGAAAAAATAAATTAAGAAATTTTTTGAATTTTTCTAAATTTGACTCGAACCTGAAGAAGATTCGACATTTTGTGATTGATTGAGAAATAAAACGTTGCTTGCCTTGATTCTTGGTCCAGTTGCCGCCATTGATGGACATGGACTAATACACGGTGTTGAACAATAGCTATTACTTAAATCGCATTGATCCAAAAGCTTCCATAATTCTTCTGGTGTTGGTCCACCGGAAAATTCTTTATCTGCACAAGTAAATATTTATCAAAAAAGTAAAAAAAAAAAAAATTATTATTTTTCTAATTATTTACTGTTATAAATTATTATTAATTATTATTATTTAATTGTTATTAATTATTTATATGAATTTTTGTTTTATTAAATATGAATTCAAATTTTCAGCGTGTAAAAAAAATAACTAATTAGAAATTAAATTAAATTTCAATATTTTTTTTTGAATATTTAATTATTTAATATATATAATTTTTTAAATTTTATTTAATTATACACGGGTTTACAAAATACCCTTTCTAATACAAAAAAGTAGTAATACTTTAATAATTACTTGAATATTTTTAAATTAAATTTATTATTATTACTTTAATATTTTTAATTTTACAAATTTAATAGAAGAAATGTTTTTTTTTTTAAACTTTGCTGTAAAATTTCTGTTTAAAATAAGTAGAATTTTTTTTTTTTTGATTAAAATAAAAAAGAAAAAATGTGACAAACCGGGAACGGCATTGAATGAGGGATCGAGGGCGGTTGTAAGGTCCCACATTTGAATAGCGCCGTTAGAATGACCAGTGAAAATAAATCTTCGTGGCCTGGAGCCCATTCGACTGGAACCTTCACATTCGTGAACGCAAAAAGAAGATATCACACTACCATCAACTGATTGTATCACACAGACTCTTTTTCCATTAGATGCTAATCGAACGAACAATTGATCCGTTTCGGGAACGACTTTTTGAACGAAAACCTGCTCGTCATCTTGCTCACCAAATGGACCTGAAATTTCAAAATTTTTTTTGTTTTCAATGTGGTATAAATTTTAATATCAAATAGAAGGAAAAAGAATTTAAATATCGAAATTTATTAAAATTAATAAATATCAATAAATAAAAATAAAAGAAAAAATATTAAAATTAAAAATTTACAACTAATAATTGTAAATTATTTATAATCGAAAATTAATTATCAAAAAAAAAATATTGAATTTTGATCTAATTTTATTAAAAATATAGAATAAAAAACTAAATATTTAAAAAAAGTAAATTTTTTTCAAATTACCGAAATCATTGCCAGCATTGTAACTAATGCAAGGATCAATGGCGTCCAATGAAACAATTTTAAAACTTGCTTCGGGCATAGAACCAGGTTGAGTTGAAATCATACCACGAAATCTTGTCACTGCCCAACTTCGTACATGATTATATTCCGAGCAAACCGAAACTAAATATTTTTCAGACAATGTAACCTGAAGAAAAAACATATTTACAATAAATAAATTTATTCTTTTTTAGTGTATTAAATATTTATTTTAATTTCGAAAAAAACATCTAAATAAATGAAAACTATAGGTAAATTATTTATTAATAAAATGAAAATAGTGGAATTTCAAAAATAGAAAATTTTAAAATAATTTTTATATTTTTTTTTAATTATTAAATATTTACGAATTTGAAGTTAATTTCCTAGTTTCGTTTATTGCAAATAAATATTTTTGCAAAAAAAAAAATAAAAAATAAATTGATACCTTGGTAACGCTGCTTTGATGTACCGTGAATGTTTGAAATAATTGTGGTCCATGTCCCACTGTTTCCGGATGCTGAACAATAACTCTTACACTTCCCGATTTTGTTCCATAAGCAATTTCAATCCAATTTCCACATAAACCTGTGACATTATCGTAATAATAAAAATTATTTTTCTTACATCAAAATTAAAAAAAAAATCACAACTCTTCTACGAAATAATGTATAATAATTATTTATTAAAAAAGAATTAAACGTGCAAAATATGACTTAAAATAGTTGATATCAAGTAAATCTTATTAAATAATTATTCTATTTAATTATTATTATTTATAATAATTTTATCAATCAATTACTAAACAATTAATGTGTATAATAAATATAAATCAAATTATAAATTATAAAAATAATTAATTAATTATTAATTATAAAATATAATTCCCTTCTTTTATTTATAAGTGACGTTAATGTGTAATATCGTCAATAATTTTTTAAATACTTTTATTTTGTTAATAAACATTCGAAATCAATTTCGTTTTTTTCCGAATTACTAAAATTAATTATAATCACAATTAATATTATAATTGTTAATAATAGTAATAAAATATATTTATTTTATAAATATAAAATATATATATATTAATTATAATAATGATTCGTAAAAATATAGAATTATGCGGTAATGAATAATTTTTATGAAATGACGTGTATAAATATAGTTAAAAAAAAAAAACATATGCGATGAAAAATATAAATTTTAAAAAAATTTCATGCGCAACGAAACATTGCATAAAAATAAAAAAAAATTCAATTCAAAAAGCAACTAAAGCTCTCTAAAGCTATATGGAAAGAAATTTCTTTTTTGCAGGCGAAAATTTTTCAGAAAAATTATTTTTTTTTCATTTCTTGAATTAAATGTTTGTTAGTTTTAAATATTTTTTTTTTTGTTTATAAATAAACTGTTAGTAAAAATTCAATAAATAATAATAATAATAATAATTTGGAAATTATATTGTTAAAGACAAATATATATAAATAAATAAAATAATAACAAAAAATTAAAATAATAACAAAATAATAAAAATATTAAAAATAATAACAAAAAAATGATAATAACAAATAATAATAATATTAAAAAATATTAAAATATAAAAAACAAAAGAAATATAAATGATAAATTATTTGAATCTTTATGAATTCAAAAATGAATAAACAAAATTAAATAAACTGTGAATTTTTTTTTTTGAAATTTAATTTCATAATTTTACAAAATTTATTTTTCTAATTTTTGAAGTTTATTTTTTTAATTTAAACAAAAAAATTCTAAATTCTAAATATTTATAAATAAGTTTTTAATTTAAAAAATTTCAAATATTAAAATTTTTTTAATATAATTAATTATTAAATTATTGTGAAAATAAAAATAATTACAATTTAAAAAATGTATTGTGTAGAAAAATTACTTTAATTATATTTTAATTAATTTAATTTTAATTAATTAAAATTGTGTAGGATTTAAAAAGAGAAATTTTTTTATTTTACTTTCTTGATAACAAATAATTTAAAAAAAAAGATCAAAAATACAATTTTGTTTTTCTATTACCTTCCCTCCCCCTCTCAGATGCTGGCATGGAACATAAGGCTATGAATATAGGGAGAGCAAGCAGGTAGCTCTAATAATAATAATAATAATAATAATAAAAAAATCAAACCAATTGAGAAAAATTTATTTAAAAATAAAAAAAATAATTATAACGTTATCATTTAACTCAATTTATATATGAAATGCATTTTTTTTTTTGCATTAATAAGTACAACTGGACACATGAGGATAGCAGGGTGCATTTCTAGAAACAATATTTTATAATTTTTACAGTGTCTGAAAAATCGAAGAATTATTTTTTTTTTACACATCTCAATCTCACAATCTTCTCTTTAAAAAAAAATTATTGCCATCGATTTTCGCTTTTTTTCTAACGTAAGGTTAATTAAAAATTTATTATAATTATTGTATTTTTAATTATTTTTAATTATTTTTAATTATATAAGTAATAATAATTTATATATTATTTAAATTATTGAATATTATGGTAATTATTATATTTCAGTACTATTATTAATTTTAGAAATTATTTTCGTTTTTATTAAATAATTAACTGATTAGAAAATTCAATTAGAAAATTTAGAAATTATTTTTATTTTAAATTTAATTTTTTAATTTTGCTATCTTTTTTTTTTAATTCAACAATTTTATTTATTTATTTATTTAGAATTACAGATTTAATTACTCAGCCCGTGTATTATTATAAATAAATAAATAATTATTTAATTTACATAAATTAATAAAATACAAACAAAATTGACTTCAAAAACTTCTTTTTAAAACAATAATTACTTTTTTTTTACTTCAAATATTAATAATTACAAAATTAAAAATTTGTTTTCAATTCAAAAATTGCTTCTATTTCAGAAATTATTTCTTTTTCAATTAAAAAAAATTAATCTCAAAATTAGAAATTTTAAACGTTAATAATAAAATAATTAAATTAAATTCAATAAAATTCCAGATTAAGAATTTTTTTTTTTTTTTTTTACTATTTACTATTTTTAAAATCTTCAAAAGTAAAAATTCCTCGAAAAATTCCCAAAATCCAAACAAAATTTTTCAATTCAGAAAAATCACATTTTTCAGAATTCTGTCACATTTTTCTTTATTTCGTTTTCAAACTGTAAAACCATAAATAATTTCAATAAAATTTTCTTCCTTTTTTTCTAAATTAAATAAAAAAAAATTAAATTCACATTCTATTTTCTAGAGGAGAAAATAAATTAAAAGTGTATTACTACAAAACGCATAATGCAACAACGTTTAAATATATATATAATATAAAAAATGCAAACGAGATGCGATGCAAGATAAATAACAATATATATATATTGCGTGAATCGATGACTGTGTGATAAATGATTGATTGATTGATTGATTGTTGAGACTATAAAAATGAATAATAATTATATGAATTATTATTAACCCATACTTGCCTTGCGCTATGTATCCAGTTGTACGGTACGAATTCGTGAAGCAAAAAAAAAAAAAAAGATATATGTATCATTAAAAGTTTTCTTCTATTAAAATTTCAATAACGAAAGAACAAAAAAAAAATAAATAAAATAATAATAACTATGATGATGATGATCATGATTTTGATAGAATGAAAATTAATTGAGCGCGAAAAATGATGATTCAAAAAGAAAAAAAATTTTTTTGTTAATGATCAATGGATTCCATGTACATTTTCATTTGCCAGCTTTTCAATAAAATTAAAATCTAAAATTAAAAACTCGAGGCTGTGAATGAAAAATATTTCAAATTAAAAATTCGATTTTCAAATTTTTTAATTTTTATAACTTATAAAATATTCTAATAAGTTTGATTTCATTTTCCATATTAATTTCTAGTGTTAAATAATAATTATTAATAATTTTAAATAAATAAATAAATTAATTAATTAATTATAAGTGATAATAATAATTATTCTTTTTAAATTTCAATTAAAACAACATTTTTTCAAAATTTTAAATACTAATTTCCGAATTAATCAAATTAAAATTATTTCCATTAAATCTATTTTCTCTTTTCCTGTTTATTATCAGAGCCTTCGAGTTTTTAATTTAAAAAAAAAGAAAAATTACACAACTTTCTACTAAATAAATTTAAACTCACTTGTTTTTGGTGTTAGATAAACAGAAATTGCTGTAATTGGATCGTGACTTGGATCTCGGTACAATTCCGTCACCAATAAATCGTTGTCTTTCATTCGTAGAGGAAATTTTTGCATATCTAAAAACAATACATTTTACATTTTTGTTTTTTTCGTATTCAAATTATTTTTATAAATAAATAAAAATAAATAATTTCTAAATAAAGAAATTTTTCTTTTTTTTCTTTTAATGTAAAAAGAAAATAATTCTCACCAATATAATAAATAGATCCATTATTACAGCCTAAAAGAAGAAAAGAACCAGCCGTATCGAATGATGATATTGGTACAACATCTTGTATTTGCCAATGATGTGTCATTGCATGCCAAACGCCAATTTTTCCAGTTGGCGACAATGCCACCAATTGGCTGCCAATAAAAAAAAGATATTCAACTCGTACATTTAAATTAAATGTACCCACATTTGTTTTAATTCCACCCTCTGATACACTCCAAAGACGTACTTGACTGCCAAATGAAATTGCCACCATTTTACCATCGGCACCACTTATTTTTGCATTAATTGCAACACGTTCAATGATAAATTCAATATGTGGACTTGTAAATGCATGCTGCCAACCAGATGAATCTTTGAGACGATAACACGTTATAAAATGAGCGTAAGCAATTACAATCCAATTGTGATGTGCTTTTATTATTTGTACACGTAATGGATCAACCCAACCTGAAACTTTAATTAATTAATTGATTAATTAATTTAATTAATTTAATTAAATTAATTCTTTTTTTCTGTACCAAAGAATACTAATAATAATTTTTATGTTATAAAAAATTTGGTTTTTTTTTCCTCTGCTGAAAATAAAATTATTCAAATGATCCACAATTATTATTATTATTACTATTTTAATAATTACCTATAATTATTATTGTAATATATTTGTATTAGAAATTTTTTCTAAATTGATTTTTTCAATTTCAATGAATTGAAAGTTTGAATTTCAAATTAAAATTTCCATTTACGTGCAGAACTATTCTCAATGAAAATTTAATTAAATTAAAATTTGAATAAATTTCCCTGATTTTTGGTTATCAAATTTGTATTAATTCAAATTTTTCTAATTCAAGCATTAATAGTTTAAAAATTTGGTTAAATTAAATTTTGATTTTATTGAAATTTAAATACATCAAAATTTCGATAAATTGAAATAATACAAATAATTTGAAACAAAAAATTACAATTAAAAATTTTAATAAATTAAAATTCGGTTAATTTGAAACTTAAATCGATAAAAAAAATTTGGACAAATTGAAATACGGACAATTTGAAACTTAAAATTTGGATAATTTAAAACTTAAATCAATTTAAAATTCAGATTAAAATTTTTACAAATTAAAATTCGGATAATTTTAGAATTGAAATCAATTAAAATTTGGATAATTTTAAACTTGAATCAAATAATAATTTTACAAATCGAAATTTTGATAATTTGAAATTTTAATCAATCAAAATTTGGATAAATTAAAATAAGAATAATTTAAAAATTAAATTATTTAAAATTTAGATAAATTAAAATTCGGATACTTAATTTAAAACTTAAATCAATTAAAATTTGGAAAATTTGAAATTTTAATCAATTTGATTTAAAAAATCAAGTTAAAATTTATTTCTTATTATTATTATTATTTAATTGTTTGTTTTATTACCTTATTTAAAAACGAAAAGAGAGAAGATTTTTTAAATTTGCTTTTAGTTCAAAAAAAAAAAAAATAATAATTGCAAGCGTAATTTTTATTTTACCTTGTTGGGGTCCAAAAACGAGGCTTATATCGTTCTTGAAAATTTTATTCAAATCAGCAGAACTATTTCGAGCATGTCGAAGATCAAGTGAAGGTGTTCGCGAATGAGGAAGTCCTCTTGAAACTCGATAATCTAGTGACGAATTTCTTGCATGAGTTGGTAATGATGCCCTGTGATTTTGTTGATCTAAATAATAAAAAAAAAAAAAAAAAAAGAAGCTTTAATTGACTTAATAATTGAAAAATAAATCACAATTAAAATTAATAGTAAATTAGAAATTAATAATTAATTAGTAGTAAATTTGTAATTAATTGTATCGCTAATTAATTTAAAGAATCTTAAAGAGAGAAAGAAATATTTAAAAAAAAAACGAGAATAAAAAAAAAATTTATTTACTGTTAGAGTTGCTGGGCTGATTAGATGAATTCGATGAAGATGCTGTGGATTGAGGTGCTGCAGCTGCCGTTGAATTTGCAGCTTCCGTTCGAGGAATTTGAGGTGTACCTCCTGCGGGTCTTCCATGAATAGAAACATCGCTTATGCTCGCTGAAACACTCGCTGGCTCTTGAAGTGGAACGTCTATAATTTTTAATTTATTTTTTTTTACAATAATTTATAGAATATTTTTTATATTTAAATCTAAAAATCTAGAGAATTTATCTCTAGAATTTTTACAAAATTCAAGAGAAAAAAATTTTACTAATAAATTTATTTAATTTATAGAAATTTAGAGAAAAAATTTACTAGTTTTACTTGGAAATTTTTTTTTCTATTTTCTTTAAATTACCGAGTGATAAATTTAATAATTTTTAAATAAATAATAATAATGAAAATAAATAATAATATCACTATTATTAAGTACTTTTTACGAAAGGGTTTATTTGAATCCCGTTTATATTTGAAATAAATAAATAACTAATAATAATATAAATAAATATTGATAATAGTTTATAATAATTATAATAATAATTAATATATTGTAATTATTATTATATAATAATAAAATGCTTGGTCTGTCCTTCTGTCCTAACTTGAAGTTGGCCTTTTCTGATTTCACGTGTTTTTTTGAATAGTAATCTTATGACGTGTCAAATTTTAAAAATTCTTTTTCTCATTTTTGCCAAAGTTGTATAATTGTGTTTCCAAATTTCGGAATAAGTTTCTTTAAAATTCCAAATTCGAAAATTCAATTCATGAAGCTAAAGTACACAACGTTTACCAACGAAATTTTTCTTAAAGTTGTATATTGATTCAAAAATTGTACAAAAAATTTATGATGAGAAAAAAGATGCGCCAGGAAATTTCGTACAAGATAGTAATTTGAAAAAAATTTATTTTTAAAAATTAATTTTTAAGGTACCAGGGGCCAACGAATACCTATTAAATATTAATTATAAAACCACAGGCCTCGAATCAACTTAAAGACACAAAAAAGTCGTTTTAGTCGATTTATATTCCAAAAAAAAGTGGATTTGTTTTTCATTTTAACAAAAATATTTTACAGATTTTTAAATAAAAATTTTTTTTTTTAATAATAATCCTTTTCGAAGGGTTAAAGTTGAAATTTTTAGAAATAATTAAATTTCAAAAGATATTATTCATTTTCAAACAATTATTAAATTTTACAGAACTAAAAATAATTTATCAAACAATTTTTGGAAAACATTTTTTAAATTTAATTGAATTTTCAAAGATTTAAAATTGAGATTTTTGAAATTAATTGAAACTTTAAGTGTTTTGTAATTAAAATTTTAGATGATTTCACTAAAAATTTATTAGAAAATGAGGACAAAATACAATAATTTGAAAATAATTTTTAATTGAAAAATGGTTTCAGATAGTTGAAATTTCAAAGAATATTATTAAAATAGTTAAAAATAATTGAATTTCCTTAGAGTTATAATTGAAATTATTAAATTTCAAAAAAAAATTTTTCGATGTAAAATTTTAGAAATAATTAAATTTTAGATGCTTTTAAATTCAAATTATTGAAAATTCAATTAATTATGAATTCAAATTTTTGAGAATAATGAAATTTTATTTTATTTTAAATTTGGAAAATAATTGAATTTCAGTTCATTTTGAATTGAAAATTTTGGGAAATAATTGAATTTTAATTGAAATTTTGGATAATAATTTAATTTAAGTTCATTTTTGATTGAAAATTTAAATAATTAATTTTGAATAGAAATTTTAGAAAATAATTGAATTTTATTTCATTTTAAATTGAAAACTTAGTAAATAATTAAATTTTAAATTGAAAAATTTTGATAATTATTCGATTTCAGTTCATTTTAAATTGAAAATTTTGGGAAATAATTTAATTTTAATTGAAATTTTGGATAATAATTTAATTCAAGTTCATTTTTGATTGAAAATTTGAATAATTAATTTTGAATAGAAATTTTAGAAAATAATTGAATTTTATTTCATTTTAAATTGAAAACTTGGTAAATAATTAAATTTTAAATTGAAAATTTTTGATAATTATTGGATTTTTAATTGATTTTGAATTAAAATTTCGGGAAATAATTGAATTTTAATTAAAATTTTTGATAAAAATTTAATTCAAGTTCATTTTTGATTGAAAATTTGAATAATTAATTTTGAATAGAAATTTTAGAAAATAATTGAATTTTATTTCATTTTAAATTGAAAACTTGGTAAATAATTAAATTTTAAATTGAAAATTTTGGATAATTAATGGTTTATAATTGATTTTGAATTAAAATTTTGGGAAATAATTGAATTTTAATTGAAATTTTGGATAATAATTTAATTTAAGTTCATTTTTGATTGATAATTTGAATAATTAATTTTGAATAGAAATTTTAGAAAATAATTGAATTTTATTTCATTTTAAATTGAAAACTTGGTAAATAATTAAATTTTAAATTGAAAATTTTTGACAATTATTGGATTTTTAATTGATTTTGAATTAAAATTTCGGGTAATAATTGAATTTTAGTTTATTTTGAATTGAAATTTTTAAAAATTAATTCAATTTTATTGTAATATTTTTTTTTAAATTATAAACAATTGTTAAATTTCATAAAAATTTTAATTGAAAAATAATTTTGATATAATTGAATTTGTGATGTATTTCATTAAAATTATTAAAAATAATTAATTTAGTAAAGAATCATTTTAGTTCAAAATTTGTTAAATAATTGAATTGAAGAAGATCTGAAGAAGATCTACATTTTATACTAATAAAAGGTATTTTATTTACATTTTTTTTCAAATGTAAAAAAATGTCGCATTTTATTAAAATAAGTCGATAAAAGTCGTATTTTTGAAAAAAGTCAGAAAAAGTCGTATAATTCGAGGCCTGTATAATTTTCATTATTATCATTTAATATGTAATAATATTCTAATAAATTAAATTATTATTGATAATATATTAATCTTTAATTTCTTTATAACAAACAATTAAATACTCAATTTGTCGCGCGTTTAATTTTGCTAGTAAATAATAATATCACTATTATTAAGTAATTTTTACGAAAGGGTTTATTTGAAACCAGTTTATGTTTGAAATAAATAAATAAATAAATAATAATTGTAATAATAATATAATATTGATAATAGTTTATAATAATTATAATAATAATTAATATATTGTAATAAAAAGTAAAATACAAACAAAAAGAATTGTAAAAATTCTTTTTCCTGATAAAAATAATAAAAATAATTAATTTATTATTTAAATTTAATTTAGTAATTTATTTTTCTATTTTTTTTTTTTTTTTTTTTTAATAATAAAAAACATAGAAAACACTCACTTGGAGGTGGTAAATAGCCGTAAAATAAAACATCGCCACATGATGATTGTGATAAATCTTCACAAAGCATTAATCTCTTAACAAGTGGAGTAATTCCATAATATTCGGCCTCATGTCTTAATGCGCGAATATCAATATTTTTCAAATCAATATCCTTTGTTCGAAGATAATTGAGTATAATTGAAAATACTTTTGGATCACGATCAATAAAAAGTGCTCCATTTTCATCGCGACGACTCGCGATCCTATTGCTCAACAGAGCAGTGAAAAATGAATCCGGAATCCATGACAATGTTTGACGTGATGTTGAAAATCTATCGGAGAAAAATATTTTAAAAAAAACAGAATCCTAACCTAACAAAAGTTATATTTGTTAAATAATTATAAACAAAAAATAAATAAAAACAAAAATTACAAAATATTTTCTCAATTATTTTTTATTTCGAAGGAAATTTCCTATTATATTTAAAAAAAAGAACAAATCCAGTAGTAAAAAAAAACAAAATTTGTTTTTTTGACATTTCATTTTTCGTCACAAAATTTTCTTTTTTTTTTTAATGATTCTAGTCTTTTTGATCCGATTTATTTAATTATTTCTCTTTTCCTTAAAACAAAATTTTGTGGAACAAAAAATTAAAAAAAACAGCTGTCATGTGAAAAATTGTGTTTATAATGTCAAAAGTTGGAGAAAAAAAAGATATATTAAAAGAACAAGTATTTAAAGTGAAATTTTGCATTAAGAGAAACGTTAAAATTAGAACAGTAATATTAAGTGGGGAAAAGAAAACTAATAAAATATTTAAAAAGGGTGTATATATAGAGGGGAAAAGTAATCGATGTGTGCGATTTATAAATTTTTTGCCTTTTTATACCTTGTTCCACCGACGTTCAAATGAACAATGTCACTCATGTTAAGTGTTTGGGTTATTGACATAATTACAAAAAATCACAGACACAATTTATAAATTTAAGCCAAACATATTGGGAGAAAACAATTTTTATGGAAATAAAAATAAATAAACAATGTCAAGAAGTAGACGACGACATGTTGTGTCGTCGTCGTATTTGTACTGAAGTTGCACTTTCACACTGTAGATGTCGCATGATTTTTTTTTAAATTATCGATTTTTTGTTATATTTTGCACTTTTTTTTTTTTTAGGTATATAATAGATATTAAATTTATTTATATAGAAATATTCTAAATTTCAGAATAATCAGAACTGTAAATTTGTTTTTTTTTCATAAATGTAAAAAGTATAACGTAACCTAAAAAAATATTCACACATTCGCAAACGCGGGAAATTTAAATAACCTCTTGTTTTAAATTTACAAAATAATAGATTTTCTCTAAAAATTCCTATTTAGAAGAAATATGTTTATTAAATTCAAATATTTTGCAAATTTCCTTTTTTCTATTATCAGCTATTATTTTAAAATAACTATTTTTATTCTACAAATTAGAAAAATTATTCAAATTTTCCGCCATTTAATTTATAAGCGACACCTAACGACATTGGTCAAAATAAAAATTAAAAGGAATATTTTTTGAAATTCTATTTTGTTTTTAATTAAAAAAAAAAAAAACATCTCAAAAGTGAACGAAAATAAAAAGAATTGTAATTTTATTGAAATTTTAATTGTCCTCTATACTCCTTACTAGAAATAAATATTAATTTTATAATATATAGATGTAGTAAGTTCATTTCCGGTTACCGGCATTTTCTCGTGCACGTGTTACATATAGTTCGTTCATTTCTTTTTTATTCTGAAAAAGAAATTCTCTGCTTTGTGATAAGCTCTCTCTTTTTCTTTTTTTTTGTGAAAAAATGTTGCCAAGAGGAAAGAAGAAAACATTATCGGAGGAGATTAATAATTTGATGACAATAGAGGAGACAAATTTCGATTCCGATGACGATGAATTAACAAAAGCAAAAACAGTCGAATGTGACGATAGTGAAATTTCCGATGATGATTATCGTTTATCTAATATTCGTACAAAAACTGCTCCACTTTTAGCAGATGAAGATGAGAGGTAAGAAAATTTTACAAAAAATTTTTTATTTAATTTTGCGCGGAAAAGTGAATTTTCGAAACATAACCTCACTTTTTTTTTTTGAACATAAATCGGAATAATTTTCTTATTTAATTTGTTTTGAGGGAAAAAATAATATTTTTCTTTTGTTTTTTTTTGTAGAAAATTAAGCAATTTTATTTATTATTATATATATTAATTACAGTGTAATTTACAAGTTACCATTCAATTTTTGCTGTTTTATTTCTCTTTTTAATTTCGTCCTTCATATTTTTTACGAATGTTTGTAAATTTTCGGATTTTCTTTTAAAATTATTATTACTTCGTTGAAGTGATATTACTTTGGAATCTAATTTTTCAATTAATTGTTTTGCTTCCATAAAATACATAATTTTCTGTTTATCCGGTAATTTAGTAAATGTTTCTTCATTAATTGTTCTCACTGTCATTCTTCGATAATTAAATTGTTGTTCCTCAATTATTTTTTTATCCTCGGATTCACTGTAAAAAATTTTAATTTCGTAAATTTAAAAATAAAACAATTTTTTATTTTACAACTAGAATTAAAAAGAGAAAAAAAGAAAAAATTATTTTTACAAAACCTGTATTCATCTGGACTGAATTCTTCGATATTTTCAAAATCAAATTCTTCTTTATTTTCTTCTTGTTCATCTTGATTCTTGTTATTAAATTCTTTTGTTAATGAATGAGCATTCTCAATGTTTGATTCAATATTTTCTATTGTTATTGTTTCATTTGATTCTTTATTATCAATTGTTTCGTCTTCTGTTTCTAATTCAATAAATTCTTCTAAACTTTTAATTGTTGGAATTGCCCCTTCAATTAAACGTGGTGTACCCGTATAAAAAGCGGGTTTAAAACATTTTTGTGAAAAATGAATTGAACAGAGTCGCGAACTTTTTGATAATTCACGATCAATTTCCATATTTTTTATCCAAATTTTCCTTAATTCTTCATTATTGGGAAATCTATTTATTTTTACGAAGAAAAAAAAAATAATTTATTTTTACGAAGAAAAAAAAATTTAGGTATTTTCATTTATTTCTTGAAATTTATTTAATAAATAAATTATAATAAAAATTTATTTTTCTACTTTTTAAATTGCGCAAAGTAAAAATTTTAAATCGCAATTATTTTTTTTTTTTGAGGTTATGTTCTTACTTGTGAAACATGAGTTCTGCCCTTCCTTCCGCTTTTCCCTTACAAACAATACAAGTAACTGTCATTATTTTTAAAATTATATTTATTAGATTGTATACACGTTTGTCTTTAAATTTGTTGATTAAATATAGTTTTAATTTTAATTTTCGTTCATTTGAATTGTAGAATAATCGGGAATCGTTTCTTTTTTTTTTTTTTTTTGGTATAGACGCTTACACATGTTTATATTTGCTCACACTTTCAAAATATTAGAAAATATATATGTACACAATATGATAACATTGGTTTCATCATTATCATGTTCCGTAGATAAAATTCATTTCTTTTTTATCGATATTCAAATTTTTGTTCGCAATTTTCGATTTTTATTTTCATGAAACTGTTGTTAATATTATTTTAATTAATTATTTGTAATAATAATAATAATAATAATAATTTAAAAATTGAGATTTTTTCGATTATTGAAAGTGAAAAATAAAAGAATAAAAGAAGAATAAAATTAAAAATAAAAGATATTCCAATTTTTTTTCGCAATTTTCAATTTTTATTTTCATGAAACTGTTGTTAATATTATTTTAATTAATTATTTGTAATAATAATAATAATAATAATAATAATAATAATAATTTAAAAATTGAGATTTTTTCGATTATTGAAAGTGAAAAATAAAAGAAAGGAAAAAATATTTAATATTAGTAATAATTATTATTAATAAATAAAAAAAAATAATAAATAATAATAATTTTTATTAGGTATTGAATTTATTATAATTATTATTATCCAAATAATAATAATTATTATTATTATTACGTTATAATATAATACTTTGTAATATTTGCTGTTAATTTTTTAAAAATATTTTTTTTGTATCTAATTATTATTTTTATAATATTTATAATAATTTAATTTTTTTTAAATTTATGTAAATTTTTTTGAAGAATTTGAATAATTTTTTGATTATCGATTGGGAGATTTGATAATTATAATTTCTTTTCTGAATAAATAATTTCATTTTAGTCGGTATTCAATTTTTTTTTCCAAAATTTTTAATTTTTTTTTATTCATAATTGTTATTAATATTATTTTAATTAATTAATAATATATTATTTATTAAATAAATAATTACACTGAAAAAAAATTTATTTGATTCAAATACTCGATTACTTGACTATTATCAAATAATTATTATTTGAGTCAATTAAATGGTATTTGTTTCAAGTACAGAAATTATTGGTTCAAATACAATTTATTTAATTCAAATAAAAATTATTTGGTTCAAATAAATATTTATTTGGTTCAAATAAATATTTATTTGGTTCAAATAAATATTTATTTGATAATACTCAAGTAATCGAGTATTTGAATCAAATAAATTTTTTTTTCAGTGTAATTATTTGTTTATTTATTTAATAATATATTATTAATTAATTTTATTTATTTTACTATATTTAATTTATTTAATATTTCCATTATTTATTATTATTATTATTTATATATTTTTTATTTATTTATACTTGTTTATGCATTATAATAATGCCTACAACAATTATTATTATTATTATTATTATTATTATTATTATTATTATTATTATTTTATTATTATTTATTATTTATTAACGAATAATTAATCAAATATCTAAATTTGTTATTCAAATTAAAATATATAAATTTTTCAATAAATTTTCTCGCATAATTTGAAAAAAGTTTAAAAAATGTTTCTGAAATTCTGAACGTTTAAATGAACAAAAAATTTGTTTATTACTTTTTTAATTGCAAATTTTATTTATAAAATATTGCTTTTTCTGTATGCAAAAATAAATTAAATTTTTTTTAAATGTATTTTATTAATTTTCATTACTGTAGTAATTTTTAATTCATTTATAGACCAAAAGAAAAAATTATTTTGTTTCACAACTTTAGGCACGAAAAAAAATTTTTTAAATCGAAAAAATAGTAAATAATCTGCAATAGATGATAAATTTTTCAAAATGAAATAAAATGATAATTTTTTTTTTTTTTTGTAGATATGCTGGCAAGAAAATATCAAGAAAAGCGGCATTCGGCAATCAATCAGATGACGATGATTCAAACGAAGAATTATCATCTGATGAAAATCAATTAATTTCCGAGGACGATAATTCGATTTCCGGTTCGAATAATGAAACATCTGATGAAAATGAAAATTCTCTATCTGATAATTTTGATAATGATAATGATTCAAATGAAAATTCTCAATCAGATTCGGAGGAAAATTTCGACGATGACGACGACGACGACGACGACGATAATTCATTTGAAGAAACAACAAAAGGAATAAAAATTATTTCCAATGCAAATAATAATTCTGAAATTGAAAAAGGAAAATGTGTGAAAAATCAATTGGAACGTTGGGAGAAATTATTGAAAACAAGAATTTTAATGCAAAAATCACTTGCAATTAGCAATGAAATGCCACAATATAATGTTTATAAAAATTACATGTCCAATTCTGATATTCAAGAAATAAAAATAAAAACAATTAATGAAACAACAAAATTATTGGATAATCTTTTAGAATTACAGAATCATTTTTTGAAAAATAATTCCGAAATAAAGAAATTTCAAACTAAAGGAAATAAACGAAATGCAAAAGAAGAAGAGGAAATTTTAACTGACGATTCAATGGACGAGGAAATAACATCCGATTCTGAAAATTCAGATGAAATTTCCGAAAATGATTCCAAAATTGAAGAGCAAAAACCAATGAAAAAAAGAAAACTCGAAGATTATGAAAAAATAATAGCAAAAAATCATCAAGAATTTCTTCAATATCGTAATTCGGTGATACAAAAATTTGATGATAAAACAAAAATATCAACGGGAAAAGCAAATAAAAATACAGGACAAAATCAATCGGTTTTGAAACAAATTGAATATGTTCTTAATGATCGTGAAAAATTATTAAAAAGAACACGTTTGAAACGTTCAAATTATAATACACTTGGTAAAGTAATTTTAAATGAAATGGATCAAGACGGAAGACATGTACAAGACTATGATGGTGAAATATTTGATGACGATGATTTTTATCAACAATTATTACGTGAGGTAATTGAATCAAAATGTGCGGAAAATACTGATCCAATGCAACTTAGTAGACAATGGGCACAATTGCAAAATATGAGAAATAAAATGAAGAGAAATATTGATACACGTGCAACGAAAGGAAGAAGAATTCGTTATGTTGTACATCAGAAATTGGTTAATTTTATGGCACCAATTACTTATAATGATTCATGGACGGATAGTGCAAAAAATGAATTGTATAATTCACTTTTTGGTAAGTCTGGCAATAATTAATTTTTTGAAAGTGTAGAGGGGATGAAAAATATTGCAAAAATTTAATTTGAGAAAAAAAAAATTATTGTTATTTTTTTTCTCATCGACATTATTTTTCTTTTTTCGACGTAATTTTGATGTTAATATTAAAGAAAAATTACAGCGATGTGATTTTAAAAAAGAAAATTCCTTTTTCCTGTTCATCTTTTTATAATATTTTTATTCAACTTCAGGAATTTTATGGATCAATTTTTTATTATAAAAATTTTGTTTTAGTTTAAAAGTAAAATTCTTTTTTTGAATTAAATAATTTTTAAATTATTTTAATGCAAATTCTTTACAAATTCAATTATTTTAAACTCGCTTTTTTTGAATTTTATAAAATTCAATTGTTTAAAATTGAAAAAAAAAACAGTAAATAAAATTTTACCAAAAATATTAATTCAAAATCATTTGAAATTCAATTATTTTAAACTACTTTTTTTGAATTTTATAAAATTCAATTGTTTAAAATTGAGAAAAAAAGCAGTAAATAAAATTTTACCAAAAATATTAATTCAAAATCATTTGAAATTTAATTATTTTTTAAAAATATCAATTTAAAACCTTCTTAAAATTTAATTATTTCTAAAATTTTCATTTAAAACTTTTTTGAAATTTAAAATCTACAATTTAGTTATTTTAAAAAAAAAATTAATTTCAAAATCTGTAATACTTAATTATTGTCAACAAATTTTTTTCGACCATTGAAATTAAAAATTGCCATAGTTTTAAATTCGAATAAATGTTCTTAAATCTGACTTCAAACAATTAAAAAAAACAAAAAATGAAACATTAAGAATTTTTTTTGGAAATTTGTCCTGTTTAATTAAAATTACGAAAATTTGTCTTAATTCGATTCTGAAATATTCGAATTATTTATAAAATTTAAATTTTTTGCTACGTAATTATTTATAATAATAAAAATTGATCAAAAAAAAATCCTGATATTTATGGAATATTAATTTTTATTTGGAGTATTTAGCGTTTTTTAATTTTAAAATATATTCACTTATATTCATTCTATTTGATTACTTATTATTACTGATTATTATTAATTATTACTGATTATTACTAATTATTACTGATTATTCATTGTCATTGCAAACAAATTATTTTTTACTTCATTACATTTTATAACTAAAATTATTAATGTATATTTCATTAAGAGTTAATTAATAATTAACTAATAGTTAATTAATTAATAATTATTAATAGTTCATTACTAGTTAATTAATAATTAACTAATAGTTATCTAATTAATACCTAATTAACTAATAGTTAACTAATCAATAATTAACTAATAGTTAACTAATTAATAATTAACTAATAGTTAACTAATCAATAATTAGCTAATAGTTAACTAATAGTTAACTAATTAATAATTAACTAATATTTAACTAATCAATAATTTACTAATAGTTAACTAATTAATAATTAACTAATAGTTAACTAATTAATAATTAACTAATAGTTAACTAATTAATAATTAACTAATAGTTAACTAACAGTTAACTAATTAATAATTAACTAATAGTTAACTAATCAATAATTAACTAATAGTTAACTAATTAATAATTAACTAATAGTTAACTAATCAATAATTAGCTAATAGTTAACTAATAGTTAACTAATTAATAATTAACTAATAGTTAACTAATTAATAATTATTATTAGTTCATTACTAGTTAATTAATTAATAGTTCATTTAATAGTTAATTCAAAAGATTACAGCTAAGTGAAGAAAACAAAATGATTTCATTTTTACTTAAATTATTAAAAAAAAATTTAAGTATCGCTAATTTAATTTATTTTCTTCTATATAATTTAAATTAATTTTTCACTTATAATAAATTTCAAAATCATTTCATTTTGGAAATGTTTTTGTTTAATTTTTTTTTTTTTTTTTGAAAAAGATTTCAAAAATTTTCAGCGAACAGCAATTAAAATGCTTTTAGTGATTGTGTGGTTCTTCTATTTCTTTTTTGTCTGTTTATAACAACAAAATGTTAGCTCTCTCTATTATATATAGATTAGAAGATGTTTTCTACGTAAATGACTTTGTAAATATTGTTGAATACTAGTAAAATATTTTATAAGACATAAATAAACAAATAAAATATAAATTTCGTTTTAATTTGTAACATACGTAACCAAATCACGTAAAATATGTGAAGTATGTTACTATATACATTCCCAACCTTGTTTAATGACAAATTCAGGGGATTCCCCGAAAGTTGGCAGTACTGCTCGTCAGGGTACGGTACGTAAAAACAGGTTGTTGTACTGTAAAATATAGGCGGAAAAATTCAAAAACAGTTTATTTTTTAAATAACTTTCTTTATATAAAATAAAAGTTAAATAAATTATTAAAAAAATAAATTTTAAAACCTAGAGCTTATATAATTCCGATACTTTATAAAATTATTATTTATATATATATATTATAAAAATTTTAATTATTTATTTATTTAAGAATTTTAAGGGGTATTAAATAATAAATATTAATATTAATAATTAAAATTAACAGTAATAAATAATAATTATTGTTGATTTAAATAATTAAAAAATTGAAATTATTGTTAATTTAAAAAATAAAAATTAATAATTACAGTTAATTTAAATAAATATTCTATATAATTACTGTTAATTTAAATAAATAATTTATATGTTAATTTAAATATAATAAAAATTATTATTTATAAATTAAAATTATTTTTGAATTTTTACACTTATTCAAAAAAAAAAATTAATTTTTAAATAATTTTACATAACTTTTTTTTAAGGTACAAAATATGATAAAAAAAAAAAAAAAATTTCAATCAATTTTCGAAAAGGAAGAAACAAGAAGTAATTATACCAATTTGATTTTCCGAGTAAATAGGTTCGAGCTAATGGGTCAAATGGTCAAGTGATGAAAATGAGAATCAAGTGTAAAAACAAGTGTACAGATGAATGACAGCTACATTAAATGATGTATTCAAAAAGATATTAAAACAGGTTCGTAATTTTTTTTTTTCTTTTCTTTTTTACGTTTCACCCAAATTTTTTTTCGAAAAATAATTTTCTTTCTTCTAGTATACAAAATTTAAAAAGCAAAAAAAAAATTTTAATTTTCCATTTATGAAATATAATTTTTTTTTTCTGGTCAAAAAAAATAATAATAATAATAAAATTAAAATTGAAAATTTTCGGGAAAACAATTTTTGAAAATTAATATTCTTGGGTGAAATTTTATTTTTCCTTATAAATCATAATTTTTTTTTTCGATAATAAAACCGAAAATTAAAATTTTTTGAAAAAAAATTCGAAAAACAATTTTTAAAAATTAAAATTCTTGGGAGAAATTTGATTAATTTTTCTTTTTTTCAGTCATAAAACCAAAATTGAAAATTTTCGGAAACCAATTTTTGAAAATTAAGATTCTTGGGTGAAATTTTATTTTTCCTTATGAATCATATTTTTTTTTCGATAATAAAACCAAAATTAAAAATTTTTTGAAAATTCTTGGGAGAAATTTGATTAATTTTTCTTTTTTTCAGTCATAAAACCAAAATTGAAAATTTTCGGAAACCAATTTTAAAAAATTTAAATTCTTGAGAGTTTATTTTTCCATATGAAACATAATTTATTTTTTTTTTGTCATAAAACCAAAATTTAAAATTTTTTGAAAAAAAATTCGGAAAACAATTTTTAAAAATTAAAATTCTTGTGAGAAATTTGATTAATTTTTCTTTTTTTCAGTCATAAAACCAAAATTGAAAATATTCGGAAACCAATTTTAAAAAATTTAAATTCTTGAGAGTTTATTTTTCCATATGAAACATAATTTATTTTTTTTGTCATAAAACCAAAATTGAAATTTTTCGGAAACCAATTTTTAAAAATTTTATGATTCTTTTGAGAAATTTTCGTTTTACTGTAAATATTTATTTAAAAAAAAGAAAATTAAATTATCTCTTCTTGAATTTTCAAAAATAAAAGAAAATATGGTTTCCTAGTGTAAATTAGTAAAATCAACAATCATCTCTATAAACTATCAGAAGCTGATTGACATTTGACCTATGTTACTGTCCTAAGTGCTTCGGTTCAGGGTTCGTCTCTCTCTCTCTCTTTCTCGCTTTGAACGATCTTATAATATCATTTAATGATTTATAATTGGTCTCGAGGAATTGAAATTGTCTCTCTATATAGACATATATTAAGTTATAAAGAGCATATAGAAATTTATTCTTATAGAGTGTGAGTCAGTTTCGCTTATGATTAAGACTTGTAATCATTATTATCGTATTAAAAAAAGAGAGAGAGAGAGAGAGAGAAAAAAAATTATTTTTTTCCCGTCTCTCCACTTATTATTATTTTTTTTATAATATTAATTATTGAAACTGTTTTGCTCGTCGTGGATCGAAGTCTGATTTATTTTCGTTCTTTACAAAACAGTTGTCAGGCTTTTAACTTGTGATCAAAAATTTATTTATTGTGTGATTAAATGAAAATTTATTTATTAAAACTGATTTTTGTGAATAACAAAAAAAAAATAGTAAATTTATTTTAATAATTTAATAATTTCAGTGATTGTGTGTCGAATGGAATTTGGAAAAAAAGAATTTTTCATACCGGAAATCAAGTGGTTTTTTTCTTCCACTAGTCGAGAAGGATTTATTGAAAAATTTGGTGAGATATATTTTTATTTTTTTTAGGATTTTCGTTTTTTTAATACAGTTGATAAATTTAAATCGATCGTTGTTTTTTTTTTCGTTCACTTTTTCTATTTGTTTCTTACTTTTTTAGATTCTTTTTTTTAATTGTTAATAGAAAAAGAAAATATTCTTTTTACAACGTATTTTTTGAATTTAAAAAAAAAAATTTATTTTATTAATTTATTTATTTATTATTTTCTTATTATTTTTTTTAGTTATTATTATTTTAGTTTTCATTTTTTTAGTTATTATTTTCTTATTATTTATTACTATTTTTTTAGTTATTATTATTTTAGTTTTCATTTTTTTTTTTTTTTTTTATTATATTTAAAATAAAAATAATAATTTAAATTTTGAATTATTTAATTATATAAAAATTGGATGACAAATTTTTTTGAAAATATAATTCTTTTTTTATGATATTTTTGACTTAAAAGTTATTTTTTATTTTTATATATTTTTTTTTGGAGTGCCTATCGTTCAACTTTGGCGGTCAGATCGTAGCGAAAAAATTAGAAACTGATTTTGTCAATATAATTCCTTTCAAGCTTATAAAATATCCTTTTGATTCTGAGCCGTTGACAAAGTGTCAGAAAAATAACAAGTTGCTTTTGATTTCTGATAATATCTCAATCAACTTTGTTTTCTCATGTTTTCCCACAAATTCGATCAATACATTTGCACTACATTTTATTTTGTTTTTTTTTTCATCTAAAATCACAATATTTTAATGTAATTTTTTTTCGTATTTATTCTATTTTTTGTATTTATTTTCTTATCTTTACTTTTGAATTTTTAATAGAAATTATTTTTATAATTTTTTTAATAGAAATTAATTCAAATTTTATTGGAAATTATTTTTATTTTTATTTTTATTGTAAATATTTTTAATTATAAATTATTTTAATTTTTACTATATATAAATTAAATTTTTGTTTAATTAAAAATTTTCTTGAAATTACATTTAATAATTTTTTATTTGATTCTATAATTAAAAAAATTATTGCCATTTTTTTTTCTCAATTCTAATTGAAAAAAAACATTTTTCCCTTTTTTTATTTTTTGTTATTTAATTTAAATTTTTGAAAATTGTATTTAAAAAATTACAATTGATTTTTTTTCAAAATTAATTAAAATATTTATTTTGGAAAAAATTATATTTTTTTTTCTTCTTTTTTTAAGTAATAATAATAATAATCGGAAAAAAAAGTAAATAACGGAAGTTTCAGTAATTTATCATTACAAGATTGTGTGTTTTGTCAGAAAATTATAGTTTTATATATTTAATCGATGTTTTGTATAAAACATTGATCGATAAAGTTTCTATTTGAATTTCAAGGTCATTTTGATAACGAGGATCCAGATAAGGGAGGAGATGTCGATTTATCAATAAATAGATGAATACTAATTACATTTCTCTCTCTCTCTCACACACACACACAATAAACTTTGTTGCTTTACTGTTTCTTCATAAGAGCAAGAAAAAAAAAATTATGCAAAATTAATCATAAAAATTTGAATTATTTATTATTATCATCGGATAATTATATCGATAATCGAATTAGTAAAAAATTTAAATTTTTTTTAATTAATAATTTTATAAAATTAATGTAAAAACATTTTAAATTAATAATTAAAAAAATTTTACGTAAAAAAAGTTTTACATAAAAAAAGTTTTTAATTAAAAAAAAATTTATTAATAGGTGAAAAAATAAATCTAAATTTTGTTTTATTCCTTTTAAATTGCTAAAAAAATGCAATATTTCAAAAAATTTGCAAAATTCAAGATTAAAAAGTTATGTCTGGTAATGATAACCTTTGTTAAAGTTATCTAAATCATCTTTTTTTTTTAGACATTATTTGTTAATTATTTTTTTTAAACTCTTGCTTTATTTACATTTTTACTCTAATTAGATTTTCTTTTTTTTTCGTCTATATTTTTATTTAATTTTAAAAATATATATATATATATATATATATATATATTATTAAATCATTAGCTAGTTATAATATTAAAATAATTAACAATAATATAAAAAATTGATAATACAATTAATAATAATAATAATATATATTATTTTTGAATTAAATTGGTTTTAATATAAAATTTTACGAAAGCTGCGCAAGCGCTTGATTTCAACTTTAAGAAAGCTTTTTCATCAAACATTCCAGTGTGTATCGTATTTTTGACCGCGAAAGTTTCTCAAGCTTTCATCTTTTAGTAAAAAAAAAAATAATAATAATAATAATAATAAAAAGTTAATTTCTTTTTGAAATTAATCAAAAAAAAAATCATTTTAAAAAATTATGCTTTTGGAAATAATTTCGTTTTTCAAGTAAAAGTTTCTCAAAAATTTATTTTAAATTAAAAAAAAACTATTTTGAAATTTAATAAAAATAAAAGCCATTTTTGAAAATTATTTTGCAAAATTTTAGAAATCGGACAAATTTTCTTTTCTTTAGTAAACCTCAAAATTTCAATTAGTCGAAATGAAAAAAAAAATAGTATTTTGTGAAATTAATTTTCAAAAATTAATTTTTTTTGCATATTATTTTTATTAAAATCAAAATGATTTTCGTTTTTTTTAAAGTTGTTTATAAATTGCAGTAAAATAAGAACAAAAATTTTTTTTTTAATTTTGTTTCCAAAAAAAAAACGATTTTAAAATTAATTTCTTAAAATTATTTTTTTCAAAGGTAATTTTTTAAATATAAATGTTTTAAAATAAATTCATTCATTAAAATGAAAAAGCAGAAAAAATAAAGTTTTTTTTTATAGTAAAAAATTCTAATCAATTTTTTTGTGGAATTTTTTTTTTTTTTTTTTTTTTTTTAATAATTGGAATTTTTTTAATAAGAAAATACTGATTTTTCGATTGAAAAGAAGTTATTTTTTTTCTATCTATTAAAAAAAAAAATTTATAATGAAATCATTTCGGTTTCAGAAAAGAAATTATTGTAAAGTGCACGATAGGGTCGATGACACAATGATTTAAAGGCTACTAATATCAACAGTGAAGGAAGTATTTATTTACTAAAAGCAATAACTCAACGTGATTTGAATCATTACAAGATTACCTCATTATTATGATTATATTAAAAAAGGTACTGTTTTTTAAAAAAATATTTTTCCAATTTTTTTTTTTTAATTCAATTTTTATTTTTTAACTAAAATTTTATTTTTGACAATAATTTTAATAAAGAATTTAATTTAAAAAATTCTTTTTAATCAAAAAAAAATTTTTTTTTAATTTTATAATTTTTCGAGAATAATTTTTTTTTTTTATTTATTATTTTCTCTTTATTACTGTTATAATGGATAAAATTTTCTATTTTATTTTACACGTACCAAAAAAAAAAAAACTACATTGTAGTTTTTTTTCATATAGATATATTTTGTGCAATTTTATTTAATGAACGGAATCCTTTATTGGTACTGTATTAATCTTTTTTTCTAACAAATACTTGCTTTCCTTGACCCACGTTGACTATCCGACTTGTTTCAATTTCTACAGTGTCGCACTTAATTATCTCGTAATTCAATGAGCAATTCAATTACACTTCTTCACGACATCCGATTCGAAAAGTAGAGAGATCATAATAAAAAAAAAGAAAAAAAAAAAAGAAATCCTTTGTAAAAAAAAATCTCCATATAATAATTAATATTTTCAAATAAGAAAGAAAATAATAATAATAAAAAAAATATTTTCTCCCATTTTTTTTCCAATAAAGAAATTAAATTTCCAATGAAAATTAAAAAAAAAAAAATTATTTGGTATTAAATAAACCAAAAATAAAAGTATTTAAAAATTTTTTAAATATTATTTTTTTGTATCACAAAAAAAAATTTTTTTTCTTTATTTCTCATTTCCAAAATTTGATCTAATATTTTTTTTTTTACTTTTGTATTAATTAATATTTTAAAAAGATTTTTTACTGTATATGAAAAAAAAATATTTTTTAATTATTTAAATCTATTTTCAAAGATATTTTATAATATAATTAAATAAACATGCAAAAATAATAATTGAAAACAATATTGCAGTAAACATAACAACAAATAAGTGATAAAAATAATTTGAAAATTGAAATTTTAGTGTAAATTAAATATTGAGTTTGAATTGGTAAAATTGCATTCGGAATGCAAGGAATTTTATCGAATTAATTTTCTATGGATTATTTCCGTATTTCATTTATATATATATATATATATATATATATATATATATATATATATATATATATATACGTCGAAATACAATCGAATCTTAAATAAACCATTCCAATTCAAATATTTACAATGAAAATGACACTCGTGACTATTGTACTTCGTAATCCGTTTATATTCGTTTAAGGAGCGACCTTGATACGTGCCAATTTTTTTTTTTTATTCACAAAAAAAGAGCCGAAAAAAAATTATCTTTCCTTTTTTTGCAAAAAAAAAAAATTCCTTTTTGATAAATTTGATAAATTATTTTTAGTTCTGTAAAATTTAATTATTGTCTGAAATTTAACATAATCTTTTGAAATTCAATTATTTCTAAAAATTTCAACTTTAACCCTTCGAAAAGGATTATTATTAAAAAAAAAATCTTTGAAAATTCAATTAAATTTAAAAAATGTTTTCCAAAAATTGTTTGATAAATTATTTTTATTTCTGTAAAATTTAATAATTGTTTGAAAATTAACAATATCTTTTGAAATTTAATTATTTCTAAAAATTTCAACTTTAACCCTTCGAAAAGAATTATTATTAAAAAAAAATTTTTGATTTAAAAATCTGTAAAATATTTTTGTTAAAATAAAAAACAAATCCACTTTTTTTTGGAATATAAATCGACCAAAACGACTTTTTGTGTCTTTAAGTTGATTCGAGGCCTGTGTTTTTATAATTAATATTTAATAGATATTCGTTGGCCCCTGGTACCTTAAAAATTAATTTTTATAAATAAATTTTTTTCAAATTACTATCTTGTACGAAATTTCCTGGCGCATCTTTTTTCTCATCATAAATTTTTTGTATTTGTATCCAATTTTTGAATCAATATACAGCTTTTAAAAAAATTTTGTTGATAAACGTTGTGTACTTCAGCTTCGTGAATTGAATTTTCGAATTTGGAATTTTAAAGAAACTTATTCCAAAATTTGGAAACACAATTATACAACTTTGGCAAAAATGAGAAAAAGAATTGTCAAAATTTGACACGTCATAAGATTACTATTGAAAAAAACACGTGAAATCAGAAAAGGCCAACTTCAAGTTAGGACAGAAGGACAGACCAAGCATTTTATTATTATATATAATATAATTTATTTATTTATTAATAAAAAAAACAGTTTTTTGATAATTATTTAATATACGGGACTAAAAATATTAATAAAATATTAATTTCAAAAAATTTTTTGACGAAAAATTTAGTTGTCACCTAATTGAAGAAGAAATAATTAATTTTAAAACAATAAAATAATTGATTATATTAATATTTTAATTTGCAGGTGATTTGAAGAAAAAAAAATGTCATTTATTGTGAATTTAAATGACGAAATGGAGATGAATTTAACGAATAGTATAAAATATTCAATGGAAATGGATCTTCCAATTGATATGCAATTTAATGATGGACATGTCGTTAGTATCATAACATATAGTGTACTTATGGTGATATCAGCAATAGGAAATTTAACAGTTTTAGTTCTTATTTGTCAAAGAAGAAGGACATCTAGAACAAGAATTAATACAATGTTGATGCATTTGGCAATTGCAGATTTATTGGTAAGAAATAATTTTTTTTTTTTAATTTATTTACTCATTTATTTAACACAATAAGTCCGTAGTCCATTCGGATTATAAATGGATAATTACAATTATGACAAAAATAAGTACAAAATTAAATACTAAGAAATTAATATAATTTCACTTTTTTTAAAAAAATAATTAATTTATTAATCAATAAAATTTGTTTAAATTAATTTACAAATTAATTTATTAATTAATTATTAAAGAAAATAGTGAATAAATTATTATAGATATAAATATATTTGTTAATTAGGTAACATTTTTGATGATGCCACTTGAAATTGGATGGGCGATTACTGTTTCATGGAAAGCAGGAGATGCAATGTGTAGAATTATGGCTTTTTTCCGAATGTTTGGCCTTTATTTATCGTCCTTTATTCTCGTTTGCATAAGTGTCGATAGGTAAATTAATTGTTGACTAACATTTTAGAAAAAAATTTTTTATTTTAACTAAATTTGAAAATAATTTTTAATTTTATCCAAAAATAAAAATTTTTTTAATTTCCTCGAAAAAATAAATAAGTTTTCATTTTATCTAAAATAAAAATAATTTTATATTTCAAATTAATTTTAATTTTATCTACAACTGAAAATTAGTTTTTAATTTTATTTAAAATTAATAAAAAAAAAATTCATAATGAAAATTTATTTTAGATATTATGCGGTATTAAAACCATTACAACTTGTTAATATTCAAAGAAGGGGAAAAATAATGCTTATCGGTGCTTGGATGGGTTCTGTCATTTGTTCGACGCCTCAGGTAATTCAAAAAAAAAAAAAATTGATTTAAATGTTTATTTTTTTTATCATAGTTATTTTAGAGTTCATATTAGGTAAAACAAAAAAAAAAATTTTCTTTTCTTTTTATCTACTTTAGATGATAGTATTTCATGTAGAAACTCATCCAAATATCACCTGGTATCAACAATGCATTACATTCAATACGTTTCCAAGTTTTACACATGAATTAACATATTCACTATTTGGAATGTTAATGATGTATTGGGTTCCATTGACGGTGATCATTTATGCGTACACCAGTATTTTAATTGAAATTTTTAAACGTTCCCGTGATTCTGACGCTGGTAAGAATAGATTAATTACACTCAGCTCGAAAGTAGACGATTTGTGTAAGTTTCAATATTAATTATTCGTTAATTGTTTATAATATAACAAATTTTTTTTTTTTATTTATTTACTATTTATTTTCTATTTATTTAACTATTCATTTATTATTTATTTACTATTTATTTTCTATTTATTTAACTATTCATTTATTATTTATTTATTATTTATTTTCTATTTTTTTTAATTATTTATTTATATTAATAATATATTTTTATATTATTAATTTCCTTCTTTCTTTTTTTTTACTTCTTTTTCGCTTTATCTATTGTTTTCCTACTTTATTTTTCTGTTTTTAATTTTTAGAATTAAAATTTTCTTTTTTTTTCCAAATATTTTTGTTCTTTTTGCCTTTTTTTCTTCTATTTTCCTTTTTTTGCCATTAATAAATTTTCCAAAATATTGGCATTACTTTGCCTTTTTTTTTTGTTTTTGAGTTAATTTTGGTTTATTATTATTATTATTATTATTATTATTATTATTATTATTATTATTATTATTTTGAAAAAGTTGATGTTAATTTATTATATAAAAAAAAACGAATACATTTTTCTATCGAAACTACAATATTATTATTGAACAAATTGGGAAAAAAAAATGTTCAAATTTTCCTTTTGTTTAAATTTTTCTTTATTTATTTATTTATTTTTATGTTTTTAAAAACTGTTTTCGTTTTAAACAGTTAAAAATGCTTATTTTTTGAATTTAAAATTTGAGAAATTTTTTTCTTTTTCCTCTGTTTTTCAGATAAAATTCGTCGATCATCATTGGGATTTCTTGGAAGGGCAAGAATTCGTACACTTAAAATGACAATAATTATTGTTCTTGTTTTTTTTGTTTGTTGGACACCATATTATGTCATGAGTTTATGGTAAATACAAATTTTTCATTTTTATCTCTAGACTACTTTAATTATTAATTTTATTTTAATTATTAATGAATTTTAATTTTTTTTAATTATTACATTAAAAATAAATAAATAAAAAAAAAATAATAATAAAATGAAAAATTGAAAGAAAATACACAAATTTTAAGAAATTAATAAGAAATATCAAAAAAACACAAAATATTTAAAATTATTAAATAAAAAATAAAACTCTTTTCGTCAATATTTTTTTATTAACAATAATTATTATTTGTTTTTTTTTAAATCCGTGTATAAATAAAATAAATAATATGACAATAATAATAATAATTCCTAAAGCCACAAAAAATTAAAAATTATACACAATCTACAAATTATAATAATAATAATAATAATAATAATAATAAAAATAAAAATAATAATAATATAAATAATAATAATAATAAAAATAATAATAATATAAATAATAATAATAATAATAATAATAATAAAATTACTAACAAAATAATTAATAATTACAAATTATTAATTATTTTTTAATGCTAAAATGATTAATAATAAAAATAAAATGAATAAATAGGTACGAAATTAATAAAAATGTAAATAATAATATTTTCAAGGTATTGGGTCGACAGAAGTTCTGCGATAAAAGTGGATCAAAAAATACAAAGGGCACTTTTTCTATTTGCTTGTACAAATTCTTGCATGAATCCAATTGTTTATGGAGTTTTCAACATTCGTAAGAAAAAAAAGGTAAATAATTTAATTATTATTATTGATTTTGTTTTCTTGTTTTCTAAATTGTTACGCAATTTTTTTTTTTTATAACTCCTTGAAATTTAGCGCAAAAATTAATTTATTATTAAGAAGCTTTCGCTTACGTGAAAAAAAATTCAAAAAAAAAAAAAAAAAAAATGTATTGAGAAATTTAAAAAAAAGGTATTTCTTATTTTTCAAAACAAAATTACTTGAATTTCAGTCTTTTCCAAAATTCTATAAATTTAATTTTTTCCGATTCCTTTTTTTTCTTGGTACTTATAATTAATAAATTCAATTATATTTTTCCATTTTTTTTTCCTGCGGGAAATTTTTGTTGAGTCAAAACAGAAAATAATATGTATTCCATTATTATTGATCCTTCAATGTTGTGTGTGTGTGTGTGTTTTTCCGCCTCTGGAAGATTGGCTTCTGGTTGTTTTTTTGGAATGAAGAGCCAAAAATATATCTAAATTGAAAAAAAAAAAAAAAAAAAAAATTCCTATTAAATTTATTATAGGCGCCGGTTCGAGCGGGCACCATAGAAACAAGGGCAACTCCACTTTCACTCTCTGTGAAACTTCTTGGCTGAAAGTCTCATATTTTTAAATATAAATATGTGTATATTGACAAGGAAAGCGATTTTTTTTTTAGTTTCATCGAAATTCTATTTTTGGAATTTTTGATGTCTTTGTTTAAAAAAAAAGAAAAAAAAAAAGAAAAATACTCAAAATGATCTCAGAAATATTTTATACTCTTTAAAAAAAAAAAATAGAAACAGTTGATTGCCTGATTTTATATTTTTTTTTTAAAATAATAGATAGCAATGTAATATAATATTATTTATATTATTTAACTAATTTAGTAAAAAAAAATAAATCTTATTTATTTTATTTCAATGTTATTTTAATAATATTTCCCATTTCTATTTTTTTTTATTTCTAATTTTTTAAAAACTCTTTTCTTTTGATTACTTTTTACCAAAAACTACCTTTAAAAAAATTTTTTTTTTTATGAAGTATTTTAAAAAATATTTTTTTGTTTGAAGTAATTTTTGATAGTATAATTTTTGAAAAACTATTTTTTTACAAGTACTGTTTGGAATATTTTTTAGTTTGTTTGTTTTTTTTTCATTATATATAGTAAAATTTCCTTTTAATTGAAGAATGAAGAAAAAAAAGAAATTGTGTATTTTTCTAATATTTTAAAAATTATTTTCATCTGTTTTGGAATTAATAAATTTATACAGGAAACAACGTCACAGAGAATAATGAGCACGGAGAAGAAAGCATTGCAAATTGATGTCCAACAGGAATCTTGGAAAGGAAAGAAAAGTGTCAATTTTAATAGCTATAAAAATTCATTGACCCAGAACAAAAATAATTCCACGGAAAAGATTAAATTAACCGAATTCGGAGTTGACATCTGCAACATCCAAAAGAGTAAGTCAATGCAAAATATATTTTTTTAATCTTACGAAAAATAAAAAAATTTTTTTTTAAGTAAAATAAAGTTTGCCAAGAAATTATTATGAATGTTTATTTAATTTTTTTTTGATAAAAGACGAGAAATACTTTTTTTTTAATTTGAAAAAAAAATTATTTTTCAAAAATGATTTTTTATATTTTAGAAAAGTATTTTTTTTACAAAAAAGTGTTTACTTAAAATAGAAAAAAAATTATTTAAAGAAAAAGTATTTTTTTTTATTTAGAAAAATATTTTTAAACAGAAATAAGTATTATTTTATATTGGAAATTAATTTTATTTATTTATTAATTATTTTTACATCGAAATTTCTTTAATAAAAATGTATTTTCTATCTCAAAAAATACTTTTATTAAAAGAAACTTAATTTTCTTTACAAAAAAATAATTTTACAAGAATTGTATAAAATTGTTAAATTGTCCTTTCAAAATTAATTTTGTTTCTCAAGAACAAAAATTGCTTTTCTGACACAAAAAATTTTTGGAAAAAACAAAAATTGCTTTTCTGACACAAAAAATTTTTGGAAAAAACAAAAATTGCTTTTCTGACACAAAAATTTTTTGGAAAAAACAAAAATTGCTTTTCTGACACAAAAAATTTTATGGAAAAAAAAAAAATTTTTCATTTTTAAAAATATATTTTTCTTCCCTCTAAAAAATTTTCTTTACAGCAGAAAATAATTACAATACAACCGTTCTCTAATGGAAGTCAAGAGAAATTTTGTTCTTCTTTCTTTTTTCTCAACGAATTTCAAGAATTTCATTATTATATTGAGGATATATAAATAAATATTCAAAAAAAAGAAGAAAATTGAATTTAACAATTTTGGAATTAACAAAAAAAAAGGATTTTCCACAATTTTCTGGATTTTTTATAACTTTTATAGTTGCAAACAAGATAAAAAAAAAAAAAAAAACACGAAAAATGTAAAAATCTTCAATACCAAAATTATTCATCGATGAAACTGAAAATTTCAGATCAGAAATTCTACAATTTCAAAGTGAGTACTTAATTTTTTTCTCAATATGTAAATTTGGTTTAAAAATTATTTTACAAATACGAAATTAATTCAAATTTAATTTTAAAAAACCTTTCTGATTAAAACAAAAATTATTTTTGTCAATAATTTCTTTTTCAATTTTTTTGCTTACAATTTCTTATAGGGGAAATTTTTTTTTCCTTTTTTTGCTAAAAATTTGTTTAGATATAATTTTTTTTTTTTTGTAAATTCTGTTTGTTTGTTTTTTTTTTGTAAATTTTGTTTGTTTGTTTTTTTTGCAAATATTTGTTTATATACAATTATTTTTGCTACAATTTTTTCATTTTTTGCAAAAAAAAATTTTTTTTTTTTTTATTTACAAAAGTAGATAAAATATGAAAGTTTTGCGAGATAAGAAAAAATATTTTTAATTTTCCATAATTAGCAATATTGCAAATTGATTGAGTAATGCGAGTAAAGCGCGTCAGGGGGATAAAATCGTGCGTGTAAAAAAAAGAAAAAAAAAGTGTTTGCTATACGATGCAGACAGGAAAGAAGAGAAGTTCTCTGATTCGAAAATACGAATTAAACATTTCGTAGGTGGAACTGCTTCCCACACAATTGAAACTGGTACATACGTTTACTGTTATACATGTTGCAAGGTCGTTTATGTGGAACAAGCCGCGCCTAAATTATTATTATTAAAAAAAAAATAAAAATAAATAAATAAATAAAAATTATTCACCGAATAACAATATTAAAAAGCTTCCATTTGGGAAATTTCAATTTATCATCGACTGATTCTCTTTCAGTGCAGCTTTCAATTATTTATTTCTATGCCTCTCGTTTTGCTCTAGACAATTTCAATTTCGTTAGAATATTTTCTTTACTAGCATTTATTTATTTTCATTTTTTTATTTTTATTTATTTATTTATTTTTATTTATATTCTATACTTTATATATTTTTTTCTTATACTTTTATATTTTTTCTCTTGTTTCTATTTTTTTAGTTATTTTTATTGTTGTTTATATTTTAATTAATTAATTATTAATTTTATTTAATTTAATTTTATTATTTTATCATTTTATTATAAATAATTTTCATTAGAAAATTTATTTATTTATTATCATATTTATTACATTTTTTTAATTTTGTCGATGTTTAAATTTTTGTTATTTATCACTTTATTTATTATTTGCTAATTATTATATCTATTATTTTAATCTTTTATTTTCTTTGAATGAAACTTTAGTTTCTTTATTTCATTCTCCATTGAGCGTTAAATTTTGAAAACCCCTATTTTTCTTTTACTTAAATTTCCGTGAAATTTTAAATTCCATGTCATTAATCATCTAATTATTATAATATTAACTTTTTTAAGTTCTCTTTAATAAAAAAAATAAAAAAAATAGGATTTAATTTAATATTTTCATTAATTTCATTGGGATTTACAGGAAATTGATAAAATTATTTTTGAAAGTATTTTAATGTTTCTTTTAATTTAATTTGTTTTTTTTTTTTTTTTTTTTTGAAAAAAATTTGCTTCGAAATTTCAATTTTTTATAAATTTTGTTTTATCTTAATTGAAATTAGCCTTCAAAGTCGGTTAAAAAGGAAAAACAAAAAAAAACATTATTCTGATTTCTTTTTTGTTTTTCCTCTTTTTTGTTCAATAATTGTTGTTTTTTTTTGTTTAAAAAGAAAATTTATTCAATAAACAAGCAAATTTACCAAAAATATTCTAATACGAAATTTAGAATTATGAAAATTTATTATTATTATTATTATTATTATTATTATTATTATTATTATTATTATACAAGTTTGTATCTATATTATAATAAGTACTATTGTACGAAAGGGCATGTCCCGTTAACTTAATAAATGAAATGAAATGAAATTATTACTATTATTATTAGTAGTAGTAGTAGTATTTTTATTAATATTTTTATTAGTATTTTTATTCGTATTTTTATTAGTATTTTTATTAGTAGTTTTTTGTTATTGTTTTATTAGTAGTTTTATTTGTACTTTTAATTGTAATTTTATTACTATTATAAATTATTTATTTATTCATATCTAATTAATAATTATCAGATTATTATTTTCGAATTAATTAATTTATCTAAGTAATTAAAAAAAAAAATTATTTAATTTTTATTTAAATATTTTTATAAACAAAAGGACAAATAGTTTTGTTATGGTGTGAAAACGAACTCAAAAAAAAAATTAAAAATACAACATCTTTCCCCGTATGTGAGATCTCAATATATATATATATATATATCTATAGATATAAATGAGAAATAAATTCTTATAGGAAACTCCGTGGGCGCCGTATAAAACGCCGTTGATTCGTTTCCGTTGTTCAGTGAGACCGGTGCTCCTGTGAATGGTCGTCTCGACCATTCTTATGTGTGCATCTTCATCTCTTTTTTTTTATTTTTCCAAAAACAAAAAAAAAATTTTCTTCTTTAAATTTAAGTTAAAATTAAAATAAAAATAAATTAATTTTCCTCTAATTGTAAATTTACGCGGTTTTTTTTTTTTAATTAATTAGTGTTGAAACTTTTAGTGATAGTGAAAATTGAAGGGGAAAAAAAAAACAAAAAGCAGTGTTTATGTGTTCTTCAAGTTGTGATTAATTTTTTTTTTTTTTTTTTTTTTTTTTTTTTATTAGTTTTATAATAGAAAAAGTTTTTTATTTTCCCAAAAAAAAAGGGGTTGTCGGGATGCACGGCGTCGCTACGTTCATCCTCTTGGGGATGATTATCACTCTTTCCGGTTCCAATATTGCGCCGGATGAAGGTACAAATTAATAGTTTCGGTTTTTTTTTTTAATTTGTAATTTTTTAAGTTTAGGAAAAAAAAAATTTCCCCTTTTTTTCAAGTTTGATTCCAATTTTTTTGCGAATGATAAAGGTAGAAATTAATGATTTAATTTTTTTTTCAATTTTAATTTAGGAACAAAAAAAATTTTTTTTGTATTTTAATCAGAAAAATTTTTTTGTTAATTTTTTGTTAATTTTAATCAAAAAAAAATTTCCCTTTTTTTCAAGTTTGATTCCAATATTTTGCGAAGGATAAAGGTAGAAATTAATGGTTTAATTTTTTTTCAATTTTAATTTAGGAACAAAAAAATTTTTTTTTTGTATTTTAATCAGAAAAATCTTTTTGTTAATTTTTTGTTTTTATTGTTTACGAAATTCATGAACGAGGAAATTTTATTATAAATGTGAAAAATTAACATAGAAAATTAATTTGAATGAATAATTACAAAAAAAAAAATGGTAATAATAAAAATAATAATAATAACAATTTTTTGTTTATCTAGTTTCGATAATCGTTCAAAAAAAAGGAAAATTGCTTTTATTGCTTGAAAATTTTTTGTTTTTTGTTTTTCTCTTTTTCCAATTTTCTACCTTTTACTGTTACAATTTGCTTTTTTTACATTATTTTTTCAATTTTACTGCCTAAGAAAATTATTTAACTTTAATTAGCAAAATTTTTTGTTTTTTTAAAATTTCCTTTACAAAATGTTTTTGTTTTTTAATTTACATTACAAAATTTCTTTCAAATTTTCTTTCCAAATTTAATTTTGTTATTCCGTTTACTCGTAAATAAATAAATTTTATTGGCCAAGATTATTTAAAAATTTATTTTTCAAAATGATTTTTCGTTTCCAAATTTTTTTTTAAAATTTACTTTCATTTTTTTAAATTTTCCTTTTGAAAATCTCTTTTTCCAACATTGTCTTTATTTTATTTTTAATTTATTTTTATTTTATTTTTGTTATTTTTATTTTATTCATATTTTATTAATTTTATTTCACTTTATTTATTTATATTGAATAAAAGAAAAAAAAAATTTTTTTTTTCCTCATTTTTCGAAATTGCTGTTTCGTATTTCTTGAAAAAAAAAAATTTCGTCTTTATTTATAGGAAGAGTTTCAATATAGGTGCTTTGAACTCTTTATTGCTTTCGGCACTATTGAAAACTGGAAGGAAAAAAAAATCACTGTTTAACCTCAATAAATTTTGAAAAAAATATATAAAAATAGAAACACGCTCCTTTTTCTAGTTCTCTCTCTCTCTCTTTTTAAATACGCCGTGCGCGGGTAAATGCCAAATATATTTTCTCTAGTCCTAATGTATGTATGTGATAAAAATTTATTTTTAATCATTTTTACTTGGAACTAAAAAAACTCTCCCCCAAATTATCTATTTTAAATTTTTGAGAGAACTAGCACAGTTTTTTTTTTTCATCTACGGTTCTTATGGCCTATTTACACAATTAAAAATAAGTCAATAATTGAGTTTAAAAATAATAATGTATATAGTTAAGTGAAAGTAGAAAAAATGGAATTTTCAAAACAATAAATAATAAAAAATAAATAAGAAATTAAAAATAATAAACTAGATAAATAAATAAAAAGAATAATAAAATTATAAATAATTAAAAATTTTTAAATAATAAAGAAGAAATAAATAATTCTTTTTGGTTTTTTTGTGTCAGCCCGTGTATTATTATAAATAAATAAATAAATAAATAAATTCAAAATAGTTATTTAAAAATTGAAAATAGGAAAATAAAAAAATAAAATAGATTCAAATAATTAAAACTATAAAATGTAAAACTAATCAAAAATATAAAAAACAATAAAGTAAAAAAAAAATTAATTCAAAATAAGAAATAATTATTTAAAAATAGAAAAATAAAATAAAAAAATAGAAATAAAATAGATTTAAATAATTTGTTAGCTTTGTTAGCCCGTTTAATAAAAAAAAATTAAATTAAAACTATAAATTGAAAATTTAATCAAAAATACAAAAAATAATAAAGTAGGTAGAAATAATAAAAAAAGAATAAGAAATAATTCTTTAAAAAATTAAAACTCTAATTTGTTTTTATTTATTTATTTATTTACACGGTTTTAATTTTCTTTTTCAATTTAAAAAGTAAAAATTAATTTGTCAGATATTTTCTTTTTTTTGTCAAAATTGTGAGAAAATATTTGAAATTCTTTGATCATGTTTGTAGTGCTGCGTATCTACTTTTTTTTTTTTTTTTTTTTTTATTTGTTTTGAAAAGTGTAAATATTGTACAATTGTAGAAATGCATGTCAAAACTGTTTGTCCATCACACGCGTCGATGCAAGATCGAACAGGACAGTTTTGCACACATTGCGACACGATTGCATTACTGAAACCTGTCTTGAGTTTCAGTAAAAACCCCGGTAGTTTCCAGAGCTGGACTTTGAGTTCAGTAAACTTTTATAAAAGATTTTTGTTTTATAAATATTTTTTTAATTATCATTTTTTTTTCTTTTACAATTTGAATAAAAAAAAACTGTACATTTAATAGATTATTAAAAAAAAATTATTTTAAATAATTAGAGTGAAATTTTTTTTTTTTGTATTAAATTTTTTTCATCGCATTAAAATATAGAGGGACATTTTTTAAATAAATAAATAATAATAAAAAATAAATAATAAATAAATAGTAAATTTATAATAAATAAAGTAGTATTGCCCGTGTAAATAAATAAATAAATAAATAAATAAATAATAGATAAATAATAAATAAATTGTAAATAAATAGTATTTAAATAGTAAATAAATAGAAAATAAATAAATAATAGATAAATTGTAAATAAATAAAAAAAAAAATAGTAAATAAAAAGTAGATAAGTAAAAAATAAATAAAAATCAAAGATGAGATTTATTATTTAATAAAATTATTATGATAATTATAAATTAATAAAAATTGTATTTATTTTTATTAACAAAATTCCAATTTAAAAAAAAAAAAAAAATGAAAAAAAAATTAATTTAGATAAATTTTTAAAAATTATTATTTTGCCACATGACATAAGATTAATAAATGTTGAAAGCAAAAGTCAATAAACTCATTAATTTGATCCTCGACATTCAACTAATACTATAATAAATAAATACACACACCCACGCGTTTTCAGTGTCATTCTCAGATAATGATCACACTCTTTCTCTCTCTCTCTCTATCTCTTTCATTTTTATTTATCTCTCTTTCCTTACGGTAAAGATCATTCTTATTGATTTGCAATAATAAAATTCAATTGTTTTAAAGAAATTTTCAAAAATTATTCATTTTTTTTTCACAATACTTAAGTTTCCTGAATATTTTTATTATTATTTTCCGATTATCTTATTAGATTTTTGTTAATTTTGTCATTGTTACTATTATTATTTTTTATTATTACATATTTTTTAATTATAATTTTTATTAGGAATTATTTTTCGAATTTTTTTTATATATATTTATTATTATTATTATTATTATTATTATTATTATTATTATTATTGTCGTTTTTATTATTATTAATTTATTTTAGTTATTATTTTACTAAATAATAAAATTTAATAAATAAATATTATTTTATTCTTATTTATTTTTACTTTTTTAATTTTCATTACTTGAAAAAAAAATAAATTCTTTTAAAACTAATAATCAGATGAATGAAACTATGACGTTTTTATTTTATTTTTTTTATTAGGAAATAAATTTTACGGATTTTAGTACTTTTATTGAGAGGGAACCGTGTCTAATATTATGAACTTTTTTTCTCATTAATTCAACGTCACCAGAAATGCAATATGCGATAATTCACGGATGTTAAAAAAAAAACTAAAAAATTATTAAACTTAATTATATTTATAATTATAGAAATTCATTATCTTCGCTTATTATATATAAAAAAAAATTATCTCTTTCCGCTTCGTTCTATGTATTAATTAAATTAAATTTACCGAAACAATATAGATAATTCTAATAATAATAAAAATTATTATTATTTTTTATTAGTAATAAAATTTATTTGTTTAACTTGTATATTTTTATATTTTTCAAATATGTATAAATATTAATATTTGTATATATTTTTTAATATTTCTGTATTTAATTTATTTTTTATATTATTACTCTATTGTAATTTTAAAAATAATTTATTTTATTTATTTATTTTTAAAATACAAAATTACAAATTACCTAATTAAAAAATTATTAATAATAATAATAATAATAATAATTTATTTATTTTATTTATTTTTAATTTTTTTTTTTGTAAATTCTTTTTACAAATTGTTTGTATAATGGAATAAATAGTCAAATTTTTTTGCGTGTTTATTTATTTATTTTTTTTTAATTTTGTTTGCAGTTCTTACAACACATTTGGAGAATGCACTGCAGGACGATAATTTTGCAATTTCTATAAATCACATTAGGCCTAAGAAAAAGCAAGTAGGTGGAGGAGACGAAATTTTACTCGCAGCTGAATTCTCCAAGTCTAGAAATAAATTTGTACTTATGCTTGACAGGCACACCAAAAGAGGTATGACACCATTTTTTTTATTTATTTATTTATTTATATTTTTCTTTTCTAAATTTGAAGAAAGTTCAAATTTATTTATATTAAAAATTAAATATTTTTAATTTTTTGAAAATAATTTTTCATTTAATAAATAAAAATAATTTTTTTTTTAATAAAAAAAAAAAATAATTTTTAATTGGAAAAATCTGTTTTTCTTTTTCAAAGTGATTCTTGAAACCGTGGAAAATGGTCGTCAACGATCGGAACATTTGATGATTGACACATTGGATGTAATTGAACCTGTCAAAAGTCTCGTTGTAATTGTTCGTCAAAATCATCCGGCGCATCTTGAAATTTACATTGATTGTCTTTATCAAGGAGAAATTCCCATTAAAAAAACCATTAAAGAAATGTCAGAACATGAGGATTCGTCCCAATTGCGAGTGGTGAGAATATTAAAATTATATAATTTTTTTATATCAATTTATTTTGTTCTTTTTTTCTCTTTTTTTTACAATTTTTCACATTTTTTTTTCATAATATTTATTTATAATTATAATAATAATTTATTCAAAAAAAAATAATAATTTCATATTTAAATTTAATCTGAGGGTTAATATTTTGAAAATTTAATTTTTAAATCCAGAAAAAATTTTGTTTAAATTGAAAATATTTATTTTTTATATTATTTATTTATATTATTTTTATTTATGAATTAAAAATATTTGACGGAAAAAAAAAATATTTCTCTATGACAAATGGGAAAAAAATTTCTTTTTATTAAAAGAAAATAATGTAATATTAATTTTATTAATACTGATTAATAATATTCGTATATATTAATAATAATTTCTTTTTATTTTTAAATTTCTTTTAAATTGCAATAAAATTTTAAATTAACGTGAATAAAATAATTATTGTATTCGTATATATTATTGCAAAATTCGCGATGATCGCAGGTATCACACGGAGAGACCGTGAAATTTTGAATTAATGTGACTCTCTTGATTTTATGGAATGCATGTGGGTTAAGTGCCCACACAACCCTTTATCTAGAACACACGGATTAAACCTACTTTCTGTTGCTATTTTTATTTTTTTTTTTATAATTACATTGTTTATTATTATTATTATTTTCACTGTAAACAAAATTTAAACAGCGAATTTTTTTTTTCATTTGAATTAAAAAAGAAATTTATTAACATATATGAGAATTATTTTCTTTCTGTTTGAAAAAAATAGTTTAATTTTTAATTTTGTCAAAATTAAATTAATAAATTAATATATTTTTAATTTTGTATTAAACCAAGTCCACTTCTGGGCCGAAAGGCTGAAGCTTAATTAATAAATAATAATTAATAAATAGTATAGAATAATTATAAAATAATATAGAAAAAAATTGGTTTATTAAAATTAAGTAAAAAAATATAATAAAAAATAATAATAATAATAATAATAATAATAATAATAAAATAGTATAATAATAATAGGTAATAATTAGCATAGAAAAAAAATTGTTTATTAAAATTGGGTAAAAAATAGTATAATTATAATAATAATTATAGAAAAAATTGATTTATTTAAAATCGAGTAAAATTTTAGATTAATTTTGCACTTCTTTTTTTTTTTTTATTTGTCGGATAAATAATTTAATTTTTATATTATAAAATACGATATAAATGTGAGGCTTTTTACTCGTGGGACGATGTCTAGCCAAATATGGAATGGCAATCATTACTATATAGTTATGTACTATATACAACGCGCACATACACCGCCTATAAGCACTTGCCTAACTCGCAATAACCGTGACCAGCATCCCGATACAAACTCGAAATTTATTCTTCTCTATATATTTCTATATCCTTTAACGATCTACATTTTCGCGAGGACTATTTATGGCGACACTCTCTTTCTCTCATTCTCATTAAAAAATTTTAAACAAACTATAAATTTTTAATTCTAGTAAAACAATAATTTTTTTTATAATTTACAATTCTGAATTTTTTTCTAAATTTCAATAAGAAAAAAAAAATTATTTATTTATATTGTTTATTTTTTTTTATTACAGTTTAAGGACCGAAGATGTAGAATAAAAATTCACAAATCAGGAAATGTGGAAAATATTTTGCGTGGTGAAAATTGTCCAACAAGTCTTGTTGATGTTTTTGATGATCTCAAAGAGCAAGAATCGACTCAAGTTGAACGAGTTCGAAGAGATCGAGGAGATATTCCCGCTCCTGTTTATATTAGCTCGTCAGGTACATATTATATTAAGTAATTACTATTTATATTAATTAATTTAATTGAATAATTTTATTAACTATTTTTTTTTTTTTTCCTTTTTTAGAATGTATTGGTCATGGAGAATTGGCTGATGTTATAAATCGTTTAGTGAAAAATGTCATTGCAATACGTGACGAACTCAAAATAAACGTGAGAAAATTATTATTTAAAATTTGTAATTTTGTGGTTTACAATTTTTTGTATTTCGTATTTTATCATTTTTTTATTTAAAAATTTGGAAATTATAATTTTTTTATTTGTAATTTTTTACTTCTAATTTTTTTTTGTAATTTGTATTTTTTTAATTTTTTAATTTTTTATTTTGTAATTTTTAATTTTATTATTTGTAATTTTCTATTTTGTAATGCGTAATTTTGTTATTTGTAATTTTCTATTTTGTAAGTTTTTTTTTTATAATTTTGTAATTTTTGTATTTTTTAATTCGGTAATTTGTAATTTGTAATTTGTATTTTCTAATTAGGTAATTTGTTATTTTGTATTTTTTAATTCGGTAATTTGTAATTTGTATTTTTTAATTCGGTAATTTGTTATTTTGTATTTTTTAATTCGGTAATTTGTAATTTGTATTTTTTAATTCGGTAATTTGTAATTTGTATTTTTTTTTATTTTTTAATTTTCTATTTTGTAATTCGTATTTTTATTATTTGTAATTCGTAATTTTCTATTTTGTAAGTTTTTTTTTATAATTTTGTAATTTTTGTATTTTTTAATTCGGTCATTTGTAATTTTGTATTTTGTAATTAGGTAATTTGTAATTTTGTATTTTTTAATTCGGTAATTTGTAATTTTGTGTTTTGTAATTAGGTAATTTGTAATTTTGTATTTTTTAAGTCGGTAATTTGTAATTTGAATTTTTTTATTTTTTAATTTTCTATTTTGTAATTCGTAATTTTGTTATTTGTAATTTTCTATTTTGTAAGTTTTTTTTTTATAATTTTGTAATTTTTGTATTTTTTAATTCGGTAATTTGTAATTTTGTATTTTTTAATTAGGTAATTTGTAATTTTGTATTTTTTATTAGGTAATTTGTAATTTTGTATTTTTTAATTAGGTCATTGGTAATTTTGTATTTTTTAATTCGATAATTATTGTAATTTTGTAATTTGTATTTTTTTAATTTGCAAAATTAATTTTATAATTTTGTAATTTGCAATTTTTTTATTTGTAAATTTGTATTTTACAATTTATAAATTTTTTTTTACAAAATTATCAAATCTAGGATTTGAAATTTGTAATTTGCAATTTTTTTTTTCACATATGTATTTATAAATTTGTATTTTTTTTTTTTATTTGCAAAATTATCAAAGCTACGGTTCGAAATTTGTAATTTTGTAATTTTCATTTTTTTTTTTTTCATTTATAATTTTGTTGTTTGTAATTTTAGATGGAAGAAACACGAGCTGTTCGAAATCTTTTGGATACTTGTCTTGCCTGCAAAGGTAATTATTGTCAAACTGATTTCAAAAAAAAAAAAAGGGGAATTAAATATTATGAATTTTTCATATTTTTCTCTTTTTTTATAGTTCCAGCGCAACCTATAATTGATCCCTGTACCAATTACTGTTATCCTGGTGTTCGTTGCTCCAAGAATCAATATGGTGAGCCACAATGCGGTCCATGTCCCGATAGATACAGTGGAGATGGACGAAGATGCGTCAGATTACCTTCATGTGCTGATAATCCTTGTTCTGATGTTGTTCAATGTTACGATGTACCCGAAGGATACAGGTAATATTTTTCATTTTTTTTTAAACTATTTTTGTACAAATGCGAATTTTCAGGATAAATTTCAAAATCAAGGTTTATTTTATTTTATTCTTTTTAAATTGTCGATATTAGAAAAAAGAAGAAATTTTTCGTACAAATAAATAATAAATAATAAGAATTCGAATTATCAAAAGGCTGAATTTTTAGAAATTCGAATTATCAGGAAATCAAATTTTCAAAAGTTCGAATTATCAGGAAATTAAATTTTCAAAAGTTCGAATTATCGAAAGATAAAATTTGTTAAAAATTCGATTATCAAATTGAACGAATTTTCAAATCTTCGAATTATCAAAAAAAATCAATTTTTAAACATTTGAATTGTCGAAAGTTTAAATTATCAGAAGAACGAATTTTTTTGAAATTTCAATTATCAAAAGATCGAATTACAAAAAGGTTTGAATTATTAAAAATTTGAATTACAAAAATAGAGAATTTTTAGAAAATAATCGACTCTCGATGAAATGAAAATTCGCAAAAAAAAATTGAGAGATTAAAAGGAAAAGAAAAAATAAAATTTTCTTTTGGTTAGATGTGGTCCATGTCCAAGAGGTTACACTGGTGATGGAAGACAATGTTCACGTGTTCGTACGGGCTGTGATTTAAAACCATGTTATTCATCGGTAAAATGCTATAACAGAGATTCATATCCATATTTCTCATGTGGCGCTTGTCCTCATCCTATGCATGGAAATGGAACTCATTGCTCTCTTGATCTTTGCGATCTTGAAAGACCCTGCTCATCATTGGCGTCATGTCACAATGTTGATTCCGGATTCAGGTAAATTTTTCATTTTTTGTTTCCCCCCCCTAAAATTTTAAAAATATTGAAAATTAATGTATTTGAAAGAATTTCAAATGCATTTAAAGAAAGAGAAAAGAAAAATTAAAGGAGAAATAAAACAAAGACAGGATAGAAATATATTTAAAAATTGAAAACTCCAATATTTCGAAATCTAAATGATTTTAGAAAAAAAAAAAATAAATTACTTAAATTAAATTAAATTAAATAATTAATAATAATAATAATAATAATAATAATTAATAATTTAATTAAATTACTTTAAATTAATTAAATTATATTAAATTAAATTAATAAATTAATATCAAAAAATAAATACATAATCATAAGGAAAAATAAATAAATATTAAATTAAATTAATAAATAATATTAATCAAAAGGAGAATAAAATTAGAATAAATATAATAAATAATAAATTAAAAAATAAATAAATAATTAAAAATTGAATTGAAAAAAATAAAATTAAAATATAACATAACGGAAGTTAAATCAATTTTTTAAGAATAATAAATTTATTTTAAATTTTAAATTCTAGTAATTTCAATTTAATTTAAAAACCAATTTTTTTAATCTATGGGACGCCAAAAATCTATGAAAAAAAAAAAAAAATTATAGATGCGGTCCATGTCCAGAGGGATATACAGGAAATCAACCACACGGTTCAAGTGTTGATGACGCGCGAAGAAATAAACAAATTTGCGAACGAATAACCGAGAGCTGTAACGATGGAAGAAATGGAGGCTGTGTACCAAATTCACGCTGCTATGACTCCGAGGTGAATTGTCCGTGATTTGTTCTCTTCTAAGGCCGGAACGAGTCAATCTTTCTACTTCTGGTCGATCACAACCTTAAATAATAATAATAATATTAATATTAAAATAATAATACTTAATATTAATAATAATCTTGCACAAAAAAAAAAACATTTTTTTTCCTTCGAAAATTATCCTTCTTGTATTATTGAGAATATACAAATAGTGCACGATACGAGAAAGCATGTTTACGTTTTCCTTCCTCCTTTCTCTTCCTTTACTTTTATCCTCGTGATAAAGTTTTACGCAAAATGGGAAAATTAAACAAAAAAAAAAAAAATTTTGATTTGAAAAAAAATTCAAAATAACGATTTAAAAAAAAATAAATTCACATATGGAAGATGTTATTTAACCAAAGGAACGTTTCAAAAAACTATTTTTCGCTTCATCTTTCACTATTTTCTGCTTTCTAAATTCTTTAAAAAAAAGAAAAATGGAATGTCTCTACAGCTTTATTTTAGTAAAAAGTAATCTTTAAAAATAGTCACTATTTCAAAATAATTACTATAATAATTGTTTTCAAAAATTTATTATTGTAATTGTTTTCAAAAATTAACTATAATAATTCTGTTCAAAAATTTACTATTTAAATATTACTATTTAAAATTACTAAATATTACTATTTAAATTTGTAAATATTTATTTATTTATCTAACAAGTTGGAGTTAATTTTCTTAGATGGAATGATCTTTTGATAAAATTTTCATTTTCCATTTTTTTTTCTCTACCCAATAAAAAAAAAAAATAATAAATAAAAATAAAAAGTGATTGATAAAAGAGAGGACGAAAAAGGAAGGAATTTGTTTTTAAGAAGGCGTGTAAAGGATTCTTTTCTCAGGGGTCAGTTAGATGCGGACCTTGCAGAGAAGGTTTCATTGGGAATCAAACTGTTGGATGTCATTTGGCAGCTGGATTGTGCGAAGACATGGTTACCAGATGTGACGGTCATGCCAAATGTGAATGTGTTGGCGTCAATCAATATATATGCAGGGTGAGTCATTTTTTTTAAAATTAATTTATTTTTTTCTCTTTAGCAAAAATTTTATTGTCATCTCAATTAGTGCCAGAAAAATATTGAATTTACAAACAATTAATTTATATTTATATATATATGCTACTAATTAGCAATAAAAATTCAATTTATTACTTGAATTTTATAAATTAAAAATTGTAAAAATTAATTTATTTTTTCTCTTTGGCAAAAAGTTTTTTTCTCACCTTCAATTAGTGCCAAAAATATTTAATTTATTTGAATTTTACTAAATTAAAAATTGAAAAAAATTAATTTTTTTCAGCAATGAAAATTTAATTTCTTATCTATAATTAAATTTTATAAATTAAAAATTGGAAAAAAAATAAATTAAATAAACTAATTATTATATAATAATAAAATGCTTGGTCTGTCCTTCTGTCCTAACTTGAAGTTGGCCTTTTCTGATTTCACGTGTTTTTTTGAATAGTAATTTTATGACGTGTCAAATTTTGACAATTCTTTTTCTCATTTTTGCCAAAGTTGTATAATTGAAGTACACAACGTTTACCAACGAAATTTTTTTTAAAGTTGTATATTGATTCAAAAATTGTATACAAATACAAAAAAATTTATGATGAGAAAAAAGATGCGTCAGGAAATTTCGTACAAGATAGTAATTTGAAAAAAATTTATTTTTAAAAATTAATTTTTAAGGTACCAGGGGCCAACGAATACCTATTAAATATTAATTATAAAAAAAACAGGCCTCGAATCAACTTAAAGACACAAAAAAGTCGTTTTAGTCGATTTATATTCCAAAAAAAGTGGATTTGTTTTTTATTTTAACAAAAATATTTTACAGATTTTTAAATGAAAAAAATTTTTTTTTTAATAATAATCCTTTTCGAAGGGTTAAAGTTGAAATTTTTAGAAATAATTAAATTTCAAAAGATATTGTTAATTTTCAAACAATTATTAAATTTTACAGAACTAAAAATAATTTATCAAACAATTTTTGGAAAAGATATTTTAAATTTAATTGAATTTTCAAAGATTTAAAATTGAGATTTTTGAAATTAATTGAAACTTTAAGTGTTTTGTAATTAAAATTTTAGATGATTTCACTAAAAATTTATTAGAAAATGCGGACAAAATACAATAATTTGAAAATCATTTTTAATTGAAAAATGGTTTCAGATAGTTGAATTTTCAAAGAATATTATTAAAATAGTTAAAAATAATTGAATTTCCTTAGAGTTATAATTGAAATTATTAAATTTCAAAAAAAAAATTTTCGATAGAAAATTTTAGAAATAATTAAATTTTAGATGCTTTTAAATTCAAATTATTGAAAATTCAATTAATTTTGAATTCAAATTTTTGAGAATAATTAAATTTTATTTGACTTTAAATTTGGAAAATAATTTAATTTTAGTTCATTTTGAATTGAAAATTTTGGGAAATAATTGAATTTTAATTGAAATTTTTGATAATAATTTAATTTAATTTCATTTTTTAATGAAAATTTAAATAATTAATTTTGAATAGAAATTTTAGAAAATAATTGAATTTTAATTCAAAATTTTCAAAATAAATAAATTTCCATTGAAATTTTTGAAAATAATTCAATTTTCATTGAAAATTTTCAAAATAAATGAAATTCAATTGAAATTTTTGAAAATAATTCAATTTTAATTCATTCAGAATTTAAAATTTTGAAAATAATTGAATTTTAATTAATTTGGATCTAAAAATTTTCAAAATAATTGAATTTTAATTCAAAATTTTCAAAATAAATAAATTTCTATTGAAATTTCTGAAAATAATTGAATTTTAATTGATTTTGAATTGAAAATTTTGAAAATATTTGAATTTTAATTGATTTTGATTTGAAATTTTTTGAAATAATTGAATTTCAAAAAATTGTAGAAATAATTAAATTTTAGAAGCTTTCAAATTGAAATTTTTGAAAATAATTGAATTATAATTAGAAATTTTGGATAATAATTTAATTTAAGTTCATTTTTGATTGAAAATTTAAATAATTAATTTTGAATAGAAATTTTAGAAAATAATTGAATTTTATTTCATTTTAAATTGAAAACTTGGTAAATAATTAAATTTTAAATTGAAAATTTTTGATAATTATTGAATTTTTAATTGATTTTGAATTAAAATTTCGGGTAATAATTGAATTTTATTTTATTTTGAATTGAAATTTTTAAAAAAATAATTCAATTTTATTGTGATATTTTTTTTTTTAAATTATAAACAATTGTTAAATTTCATAAAAATTTTAATTGAAAAATAATTTTGATATAATTGAATTTGTGATTTATTTCATTAAAATTATTAAAAATAATTAATTTAGTGAAGAATCATTTTAGTTCAAAATTTGTTAAATAATTGAATTGAAGAAGATCTGAAGAAGATCTACATTTTATACTAAAAAAATGTATTTTATTTACATTTTTTTTCAAATGTAAAAAAAAAATGTCGCATTTTATTAAAATAAGTCGATAAAAGTCGTATTTTTGAAAAAAATCGGAAAAAGTCGTATAATTCGAGGCCTGTAAACATATAATTTTCATTATTATCATTTAATATGTAATAATATTCTAATAAATTAAATTATTATTGATAATATTAATTTTTAATTTCTTTATAACAAATAATTAAATACTCAATTTGGCGCGCTTGCACGCGTTTAATTTTGCTAGTTAGCAATAAAAATTTAATTTATTACTTGAATTTTATAAATTAAAAATTGTAAAAATTAATTTATTTTTTCTCTTTGGCAAAAAGTTTTTTTTCTCACCTCCAATTAGTGCGAAAAATATTTAATTTATTTGAATTTTACTATAAATTAAAAATTGAAAAAAATTAATTTTTTTCAGCAATGAAAATTTAATTTCTTGTCTATATAATTAAATTTTATAAATTAAAAATTGGAAAAAAATAAACTAATTAATTAATAATATTTTTTAGCAATAAAAATTAAATTTATCATCTATATTTGTTATTTTATAAATTAAAAATTGTAAAAATTAATTAATTTTTTCTCTTTGGGAAAAATTTTTTTTTTCTACGCCTCAACAGTGCAACATTGGCTGGGCGGGAAATGGACACGTTTGCGGATTGGACACGGACAACGATGGATATCCAGATTATAATTTAGCGTGCAATGAAGAGAGATGTAGAGCCGATAATTGTCCGCTAACATCGAATAGTGGCCAAGAGGACGTGGATGAAGATGGTGAGGGTGACGCGTGCGACAGTGACGCCGATAATGATCAAATTGGAAATTTAGTCGATAATTGTCCACATCATGCAAATCCCGAACAAGAGGACAAGGACGGCGATGGAATTGGTGATATTTGCGATAATTGTCCATCGGTGCCAAATGCAAATCAAACGGACACTGATAACGATCGAAGAGGCGATGCCTGCGACGAGGACAGCGATAATGACGGTAATTATTTATTTATTACATTTTTTTAAACTCAAAATTTAATTCAAATTTGATTTTTATATTTTAATATCGCATTCCACGTGAGATTTTTCAATTTTTTTTGCTTTCGAATTGAATAATTTTTTTTTTTTTGAATTTTTTTTGCAAAAAATAACAAAATACGTGGTTTTTTCATTCTTTATTCTGCTAAATAAAAAATTTTGCCAAATAAAAATTCGACATCAAAAAATTCTATTAAGTAAAAATTTTACTAAATAAAAATTTGGTCAAATAAAAATTGGGTAACTAAAAAATTCTACTAAATAAAACTTTATCCAAATAAAAATTCGGTAACTAAAAATTTTTCCAAATAAAAATTCTGCTAAGTAAAAATTTTGTCAAATAAAAATTTGATAACTAAAAATTTTTCCAAATAAAAATTTAGCCAAGTAAAAATTTGTTAACTAAAAATTCTGCTGAATAAAAATTATGCCAAATAAAAATTCTGCTAATTAAAAATTTATCCAAATAAAAATTCGTTAAATAAAAATTTTGTCAAATAAAAATTCGATAACTAAAAATTTTTCCAAATAATAATTCTGCTAAATAAAAATTTTGTCAAATAAAAATTTGATAACTAAAAATTTTTTTCCAAACAAAAATTATGCTAAGTCAAAAAAATTGTTTAAAAAATAAATTTTCTTAACATATAAAAAAAAATCTTAATTCTTTTCACTTATATAAATAACAAACAAAAAAAAAAAAATGTCTCAGTACGGAAAAAAATTGATTTTTGATTAATTTTTTATTTTTGTAACAAATATATACATATATATGTAAATAATTAAATAGGAATTTTCGACGACGAGGACAATTGTCCGCGTGTGATGAATCGTGAACAAGAGGACAGTGACAACGATGGAATTGGCGATGCTTGTGATAATTGTATTGAATACGCTAATCCAAGTCAATTGGATTCGGATAACGATGGAGTGGGCGATATTTGCGATAATAATCGAGACGAGGATCAAGATGGTATTCAAGATGATTTAGATAATTGTCCACATGTTTCAAATTCAGATCAAAGGGATATTGATGACGATGGAATTGGCGATAGATGTGATGACGATATGGACGGCGATGGAATTCCAAATGGACGCGATAATTGTGTATTTGTCTATAATCCAAGTCAAAGGCGAACTCACAGTAAGTGAATTTATATTAATTTACAATTTTTTTTTTCAATTTTATAATTACAATTATAATTATTAAATTATAATTAAAGATATAAATTAAATTAAAGATTAAAAATTAATAATTAAAAATTAAAAATTAAAAATTATAAATTAAGAATTAATAATTAAAAATTATAAAAAAATTATATAATAATAAAATGCTTGGTCTGTCCTTCTGTCCTAACTTGAAGTTGGTCTTTTCTGATTTCACGTGTTTTTTTGAATAGTAATCTTATGACGTGTCAAATTTTGACAATTCTTTTTCTCATTTTTGCCAAAGTTGTATAATTGTGTTTCCAAATTTCGGAATAAGTTTCTTTAAAATTCCAAATTCGAAAATTCAATTCACGAAGCTGAAGTACACAACGTTTACCAACGAAATTTTTTTTAAACTTGTATATTCATTTAAAAATTGTATACAAATACAAAAAATTTGTGATGAGAAAAAAGATACGCCAGGAAATTTCGTACAAGATAGTAATTTGAAAAAAATTTATTTTTAAAAATTAATTTTTAAGGTACCAGGGGCCAACGAATACTTATTAAATATTAATTATAAAAACACAGGCCTCAAATCAACTTAGAGACACAAAAAAGTCGTTTTAGTCGATTTATATTCCAAAAAAAAGTGGATTTGTTTTTTATTTTAACAAAAATATTTTACAGATTTTTAAATAAAATTTTTTTTTTTTAATAATAATCCTTTTCGAAGGGTTAAAATTGAAATTTTTAGAAATAATTAAATTTCAAAAGAAATTGTTAATTTTCAAACAATTATTAAATTTTACAGAACTAAAAATAATTTATCAAATAATTTTTGGAAAACATTTTTTAAATTTAATTGAATTTTATTTATTTATTTATTTATTTATTTAATTTTCAAAGATTTTTTTTTTTAATAATAATCCTTTTCGAAGGGTTAAAGTTGAAATTTTTAGAAATAATTGAATGATTATGTCAAATTTCAGACAATAATTAAATTTTACAGAACTAAAAATAATTTATCAAATAATTTTAGATAACATATTTTAAATGTAATTAAATTTTCAAAGATTTACAATTGAGATTTTTGAAATTAATTGAACTTCAAGTCATTTTTAATTAAAAAATTTTTTTTTTTTTAACTAAAAAATTTATTAGAAACTGCAGACAAAAATACAATAATTTGAAAATCATTTTTAATTGAAAACTGGTTTCAGATAGTTGAATTTTCAAAGAATATTATAAAAATAGTTAAAAATAATTGAATTTCGTTAAAGTTATAATTGAAATAGTTAAATTTCAAAAAATTTTAGAAATAATTAAATTTTAAAAGCTTTTAAATTCAAATTTTTGAAAATAATTGAATTATAATTGAAATTTTTGATAATAATTCAATTTTAGTTGATTTCTGATTGAAAATTTTAATAATAAATAATTTTGAATTGAAATTTTGGATAATTATTGAACTTTAATTGATTTTGAATTGAAATTTTGGGTAATAATTGAATTTTATTTGATTTTAATTTGAAAATTTGGAAAATAATTAAATTTTAAAAGATTTTGAATTAAAATTTTGGTTAATAATTAAATTTTAGTTGATTTTGAATTAAAATTTTTGAAAATAATTAAATTTTATTTGATTTTGAATTAAAAATTTTTGGTAATTTTATTTGATATTTTTTTTAAATTATAAATAATTGTTAAATTTTATAAAAATTTAAATTCAAAAATAATTTGAAATAATTGAATTTGTGATGAATTTCATTAAAATTATTAAAAATGATTAATTTAGTGAAAAATTTTAGTTAAAAATTTGTTAAATAATTGAAATAAAGAAGATCTGAAGAAGATCTGAAGAAGATCTGCATTTTATACTAAAAAAATATATTTTATTTAAAAAACTTTTTTAAAAATGTAAAAAAAAGTCGAAATAGTCGCATTTTATTAAAATAAGTCAAAAAAAGTCGTATGTTTGAAAAAAAGACGGAAATAGTCGAAAAAGTCGTATAATCCGAGGCCTGGTTTCAGATAGTTGAATTTTCAAAGAATATTATTAAAATAATTAAAAATAATTGAATTTCCTTAGAGTTATAATTGAAATTATTAAATTTCAAAAAAAAAATTTTCGATGGAAAATTTTAGAAATAATTAAATTTTAGATGCTTTTAAATTCAAATTATTGAAAATTCAATTAATTTTGAATTCAAATTTTTGAGAATATTGAAATTTTATTTGATTTTAAATTTGGAAAATAATTGAATTTCAGTCGATTTTGAATTGAAAATTTTGGGAAATAATTGAATTTTAATTGAAATTTTGGATAATAATTTAATTTAAGTTCATTTTTGATTGAAAATTTGGATAATAAAATTTTGAATAGAAATTTTAGAAAATAATTGAATTTTATTTCATTTTAAATTGAAAACTTGGTAAATAATTTTAATTTTAAATTCAAAATTTTGGATAATTATTGGATTTTTAATTGATTTTGAATTAAAATTTTGGGTAATAATTGAATTTTAGTTTATTTTGAATTGAAATTTTTAAAAAATAATTCAATTTTATTGTGATATATTTTTTTTAAATTCTAAACAATTGTTAAATTTCATAAAAATTTTAATTAAAAAAATAATTTTGATATAATTGAATTTGTGATGTATTTCATTAAAATTATTAAACATAATTAATTTAGTGAAGAATCATTTTAGTTGAAAATTTGTTAAATAATTGAATTGAAGAAGATCTGAAGAAGATCTACATTTTATACTAAAAAAAATGTATTTTATTTACATTTTTTTTCAAATGTAAAAAAAAAATGTCGCATTTTATTAAAATAAGTCGATAAAAGTGGTATTTTTGAAAAAAAGTCGGAAAAAGTCGTATAATCCGAGGCCTGTAAACATATAATTTTCATTATTATCATTTAATATGTAATAATATTCTAATAAATTAAATTATTATTAATAATATTAATCTTTAATTTCTTTATAACAAACAATTAAATACTCAATTTGGTGCGCTTGCGCGCGTTTAATTTTTCTAGTATAATAATATAATATTTACATTGTAATAAATCGTTTTAATCGTTTTAGACGATGTTTATGGCGATGATTGCTGGAATGATAATGACAATGATACGGTAATTAACAGTATGGACAATTGTCCGAACAATAGTGCAATTTGGACAACAGATTTTCGACAATATACCAAAGTTGTATTGGATCCAGAAGGTGAATCACAAACGGATCCCAATTGGCAAATTCATCACAATGGCTCTGAAATTTTGCAAACTTTCAACAGTGATCCCGGTCTTGCTGTCGGTATGTAAATAAAAATTTATTTTTTTTTTTCATAAAAATAATAACAAAAAATTCAATTTTTTAATTTTTACAAAAAAGAAATAATAATGAAAAAAATAATAAAAATAAATAATAAATAAATAAAATAATAAATAAAATAAAATAATAGATAATAAATAAAATAAATAATAAATAATAATGAAACAAAAAATTTCACAGGTAAGGACAGATTTGACGGTGTTGATTTTGATGGTACATTCTTTATAAATACACCAATTGACGATGATTATGTGGGTTTTGTATTTTCCTATCAAAATTCACGTCGATTTTACACGGTAATGTGGAAAAAAGCATCGCAAACATATTGGGAACCAGTGCCATTTAGAGCAGTTGCCGAGCCGGGAATACAAATAAAATTAGTAAATTCAGAAACAGGACCAGGTAAAATGTTACGCAACAGTTTATGGAGAACTGGCGACACGGCAAATCAAGTGAAATTATTATGGAAAGATCCAAGAAATGTTGGATGGAAAGAACATACCGCCTATCGTTGGCGTTTAATTCATAGGCCAAAAATTGGTTTAATTCGTTTATGGATATATGAAGGCGATCGATTGGTGGCTGATTCGAAAAATATTTTCGATATGACACTAAAAGGTGGAAGTCTTGGTGTTTTATGTTTCTCACAGGAAATGATTATTTGGTCGAGTTTACATTACAAATGTCGAGGTAAATATTCTCTAATTAATTATTAATTAATTTATTAATTATTATTATTATTAATAATAATTTAATTAATATATTAATAATTCCATCAAATATTTATTTGTCATTTAATTCTTATTAATTTGATAATTCTTTAGTTTCTTTTGGAAAAAGAAAAAAAATTATTTTTTTTTATAAAAAGTTATTTTATTATTTGTTTAAAATAAAAATTAAATAATTTTTTTTTTATTAATAAAATGAAGGGAAAATTTTCATGATTTATACTTTTACAGAAGGAGTATCGGAGGAAGTGTATCGAGAACTTCCGGCGAGTGCACAAAAATTAATTCACAAAGATATTTATTCGGACGGCGCTGGATGGATGCAGCATTAAAAAAAAAAATTAATTTATAAATATTTTCTTTTTTTGCGGAATACTGAGGAAAAAAAATGACGTGAAGGAGAAATTTACCAGATTTCCTGTCTAGATTCTAGAAGCAGAAAAAAAAATCGTATTCTTTGCGGTAATTTTTAAGATTTTTTAAAACGAAATGTGCAAATCACGAAAAAAAATTGTATACTAAAAAAACAAAAATGCATTTAGATTGTAAATTTTAAATAAATATGAAGGGATAAAATTGAATATAATTTTCTTTTTTTCTTTGTAAAATAATTACAATTAATAACTAAAATAATAGAAAAATAGAAAAAAAAAAATTAAATCGCGAGCAATATTTAACAAAAAGTGCTTTGCATATTAAAAATACGTTAAATTCTTCTTTCAACAAATTTTTTTAATTTCATAATTATTCTGCTCTTTTTTTCCAATATTTAGTATTTAATTGGTATTTTTTTTTTCAAATTATTTTATTAATTACAATTTTCGCCGATTTTTCTAATTGTTAAAATTCGTCTTTTGAAATTAATTTCTGCAGTTTTGGATCCAAATCACGATAAATCTCATCCGAGACACTGTCTGCAAATGAATTGAAATAAACATAAATTAAATTAATTTGAAATAATTAATTAATTTTTGCAAATTTTATTAATTAATTAATTTTTTGATTTTTAATAGAAAAAAAAAAATTCTCACCTCGACATTTATATTGAATATTGGACCAAACAATATTTTCCTGTGAAAAACAATAGACACCAAGTTTTCCTCCCTTTAATGTATTATCATAAATATTTTGTGAATCGGCAATTAATTCAATTCCATTATAAAGTTTCAATCTTATTAATCCAATTGAAGGACGATGAATTAAATTCCAACGATATGAAACATATTCTTGCCATGGTGTTTTTTTTGGATCATGCCATAATAATTTTACTTCATTCACATGACCATTTGTATTCCATAAACTATTTCTCAACATTGGACCAGGTCCCGTTATTGAATTAACTAATTTTATTTGTATCCCAGGATCGCCATGTGCAACAAATGGCGATGCCATCCAATAGTCTTGTTGTCCTTTTTTCCACATGACAACGTAAAATTTTTTATTACTCTGATAGGAAAATATAAAACCAACAAAATCATCATCGCCCTTTGCATTATTTATGAAAAATGTCCCATCATAATCGATACCGCCAAAACTCACGTCTCCTATTTTTTTAATTGAAACGAAAAATAATTTATTTAATTATTTTTTTATTTTATTAATTTATTACCTATAATTATTATTTTAATATTTTATTTTTATTATTTTATTACTATTATCCTAATTTATAGTTTTTTATTTCTTGAATAAATAAATAAATAATAATAATAACTAATAATATTAAATAATCAAAATTAGTAATAATAATAATAATATTAAAAAGTGATAAAAATTAAATATTATAATTAAATAGGATATTAATTAACATTTTAAAATAAACAATAATTTAATAATTCGATAAAAAAAAATAGTTTACGAACCAACTCCAATTCCAGGATTACTATTAAGTGTTTGATGAATTTCTTTTCCTTCATTTTTAAATTCCCAATGGGGATTTTCTTGTCCAGAACCAACTGTTGGATCTAAATCGATAGTTTTAATTGCCCTGAGATCGGTTACCCAAATATCACTATTATTGGGACAATTATCCATGCTATTGATAACATGATCATTATCATTATCGTTCCAACATGCGTCTCCAATTTCAGTGTTTGCTGATGAAAAAAAAATAATTTATTTTTATAATATTATTATATTATTTATTTAATTTTTATTTGTGGAAATCTTTTTTTTTTGAATATTTTTTTTATTTGAATTTAGAATAAATTGGCGCGCAAATTTTTAAAATATGTAAATTTAATTTTAAATAAATTAAATAGTATTTCATTTATTTAATTAAATAATTTATTAAATTAATATTATTTATTAATTTATTATTTATTTTATTATTTATTAAATTATTATTTATTAATTTATTATTATTTAATTTGTTTATTAATTAAATAGTATTTAATTTAGATAATAAATATTATTATTTAAAATAAAAATAAAAAAAAAATGTTTTTATGATAGAATTGTGGGAATCCCCTGTAAACACTATTGGAGTGAGAGAGAAGGAAAGAGAAAATGCAGGGATGGTTAGTTGAATATCATTCGTTACTTAGGGTTCGTTTGCATTTACATTGTGAAATGTCCAAAATTTAAGCGGTAGTAAATTCCGAGAATTAATAAAAAAAAAAGCTTTTCGTTATAATTAATAGTAATTTATTTAAATATTAGTTTATAACATCATTTTCTTATTTTGTACTCAGTTTTAAAAAAAGTAATAACCAATCATACTTTGGAAACTACTTCGCGTGTATGTGCTTTGGAATAAATTGTCTATGGTACTCTAACCTCAAAAACCACGTGACTCGTACTAGCGTGGTGTGTGTGTGTGGCGTGGTGTTTTTAAAATGCAAAGTGCTTGCGATTTTCAATTGTTTTTTTTAAATTACAAAATTGGGGTAATTTCTTTAGTATTTTAAAAGTGAATTATTATTCAAATAGTGTTATTTAAACCGCGAGTGAATGTTTCTTTTTTTTATGCCTCCATAGCAGATTTCATCGCAGTTTTCGACTATCGATGATGTACTCGTAAGTTTTATTTTCTTAGTAATTAATTATTAAAATATAAATTAAATTAATTACTTTGGTAATTAGTAATTATTAGAGTAATAATTTAGCGAAATTAAAAATTAGTTTGTAAAAAATTAAAAGTTATAAGAATAATTTACTAAATATAAATAGTTTCTATAATTATTGAGGTTAGTTGAAAATTATAAAAAATTAAATATTTATAAATATTTTATATAAATAATATTAGAATTATTATAAATAAAAAAAATATTCAAAATGTTAATAAATATTATATTATAATATTATTTATTATTTTATTTGTTAATTTTCGTTTATTATTTTATTTATTAATTTTCGTTTATTATTTTCGTTTATTATTTTATTTATTAATTTTCGTTTATTATTTTCGTTTATTATTTTACTTATGAATTTTTATTTATTAATTTTCGTTTATTATTTTCGTTTATTATTTTAGTTATGAATTTTTATTTATTAATTTTCGTTTATTATTTTCGTTATGAATTTTCGTTTATTATTTTCGTTTATTAATTTTCGTTTATTATTTTATTTATTAATTTTCGTTTATTAATTTTCGTTTATTATTTTATTTATTAATTTTCGTTTATTAATTTTCGTTTATTATTTTATTTATAAAATTTTTATTCATTAACAATTTAATTAATAACATAAAAATTCCTTACCATGTGTTGCTGTTTGATCGGGATTATAAACAAATATACAATTATCAACATTATTTGGTATTCCATCGCCATCAATATCATCATCGCATTCATCGCCTACACCATCTTTATCAGTGTCTTTTTGATTGGCATTCGCTATTTTAGGACAATTATCATTTTTATCCTGAACTCCATCTAAATCAGTATCGATTCCAGTTTCACAAATATCGCCAACTCCATTATCATCCTTATCTTCTTGATTAGGATTTTTATCATTGGGACAATTATCGCATACATCACCCACTCCATCGCCATCCGTATCTTTTTGATCCTTATTACTCACTTTTGGACAATTATCCACAGGATTTAAAATTTCTACCCAAAAAAAAAAAAAAAAAATTATTCCTATTTAAAATTTCTTTTAAAAAAATTATTTATTCACATTAAAAATTTCTACCGAAAAAAATTGTTCTCTTTTAAAATTACTTATTTCTAATTTTGAAATTAAATAATTTTCAATTCTCTCTAAATAATTTTTTTTGTCAATAATCTTTTTTTGAATTTTTTTTTTTAATTTCCAAAATTGGACAATAATTTCAGAAATATTCCATGGAAATTATTAATTTCACCTTTTTGTTAATTATTATTATTATTAATCGATGGATTGTTATTATTTTAATTAATAATTATAATATTAATCATATAAATATTATTATTATTATTATTATTATTATTATTATTATTATTATTATTAATTATAATAGTAATTATCAATTAATTTATAATTGCTTCATTAAAAATTCAATAATTTTCATGGAATTTGCAGGCCTCGGATTATACGACTTTTTCGACTATTTCCGACTTTTTTTTCAAAAATACGACTTTTTATGGACTTATTTTAATAAAATGCGACTATTACGACTTTTTTTTTAACTTTTTAAACAAATTTTTTAAATAAAATATATTTTTTTTTAGTATAAAATGCAGATCTTCATCAGATCTTCTTTATTTCAATTATTTAACAAATTTTTAACTAAAATTCTTCACTAAATTAATTATTTTTAATAATTTTAATGAAATTCATCAGAAATTAAATTATTTCAAAATTATTTTTCAATTAAAATTTTTATGAAATTTAACAATTGTTTATAATTTAAAAAAAATATATCACAATAAAATTACCAAAAACTTTTAATTCAAAATCATAAATCAATAAAAAATCAAATAAAATTCAATTATTTTCAAATATTTTAATTCAAAATCAACTAAAATTTAATTATAATCCAAAATTTCAGTTCAAAATCTTTTAAAATTTAATTATTTTCCAAATTTTCAATTTAAAATCAAATAAAATTCAATTATTACACAAAATTTAAATTCAAAATCAATTAAAATTTAATAATTATTAAAAATTTCAATTCAAAATTAATTATTATCAAAATTTTTAATCAAAAATCAACTAAAATTAAATTATTATCCAATATTTCAATTAATATTCAATTATTTCCCAAAATTTTCAATTCAAAATGAACTGAAATTCAATTATTTTCAAATATTTGAATTCAAAATCTACTAAAATTCAATTATTTTGAAAATTTTCAATTTAAAATCAACTAAAATTCAATTATTTTCAAAAATTTCAATTCAAAATTAAATATTATGAAAATTTTTAATCAAAAATCAACTAAAATTGAATTATTATCCAAAATTTCAATTAAAATTAAATTATTTCCCAAAAATTTCAATTCAAAATCAAAGAAAATTCAATTATTTTCAAATATTTTAATTCAAAATCTATTAAAATTCAATTATTTTCAAAAAATTTAAATCTAAAATCAACTAAAATTCAATTATTTTCAAAAATTTCAATTCAAAATTAATTATTATCAAAATTTTCAATCAAAAATCAACTAAAATTAAATTATTATCCAATATTTTAATTTAAATTCAATTACTTCCCAAAATTTCAATTCAAAATCATAGAAAATTCAATTATTTTCAAATATTTCAATTCAAAATCTACTAATATTCAATTATTTTCCAAATTTTCAATTTAAAATCAAATAAAATTCAATTATTTTCAAAAATTTCAATTCAAAATTAAATATTATGAAAATTTTTAATCAAAAATCAACTAAAATTGAATTATTATCCAAAATTTCAATTAAAATTAAATTATTTTCAAAAATTTGAATTTTAAAGCTTCTAAAATTTTTCATTGAAAATTATTTGAAATTTAACAATTTAAATTATAACTCTAAGGAAATTCAATTATTTTTAACTATTTTTATAAATATTCTTTGAAAATTCAACTATCTGAAACTATTTTTCAATTAAAAATGATTTTCAAATTTTTGTATTTTTTGTTCAATTAATTTCAAAAATCTCAATTGTAAATCTTTGAAAATTCAATTACAATTAAAAGAATGTTATCTGTAATTATTTAATAAATTATTTTTAGTTCTGTAAAATTTAATTATTGTCGGAAAATTAACAAAAAATCTTTTAAAATTCAATTATTTCTAAAAATTTCAACTTTAACTATTCCAAAAGTATTATTATTTAAAAAAATTTTTATTTAAAAATCTGTAAAATATTTTTGTTAAAATAAAAAAAAATTGATTTTTTTTTGGAATATAAATCGATTAAAACGACTTTTTTTGTGTCTTTAAGTCGATCCGAGGCCGGATTTGTGTAAATTTTTAAAAAAGATATAATTTATTTTTTTACAGTCTGGAATTGTTTTTTTTTGGGGGGGGGGGGGTATTTAAAATTTGGAAAATAATTTTTTTTTTTACCATCGCCATCCATGTCATCATCGCAGACATCACCAATGCCATCTGAATCGATATCTTCCTGATAGGGATTTGGTATTAATGGACAATTATCGCAAACATCACCAATTTTATCTTTATCCTCATCTTTTTGATCGGGATTTTTAATTAGCCAACAATTATCGACAGAATTTTCTATTCCATCATTATCGGCATCTGGATCGCATGCATCGCCAATTCCATCGCCATCGGCGTCTTCCTGTCCGCTGTTTGCAATTTTTGGACAATTATCAGCTCTACATTCTGATGAACAACATTTTAATGCCTCATCTGGATAGCCATCGTTATCAGTATCTAATCCACATTTCCATCCATTTCCAGCATATCCAACTGTGCACTGAAATTTTTTTTCTTTTATTATTATTATTATTATTTATGGTTTTGAATTTTTTTTATCAAAAAAAATTTTAATATTTTATAATATTTATATGCTTTTTGAATTTTTTTTTTTAATAACAAAGGGAATTTAAATATTTTTTTTTTATCAAAAAACATTTAAATATTTATTTGCATTAATGGATTTTAATATTTTTTTTTACCAAAAGACATTTAAATATTTTTTTTGTAGATTTATGCCTTTTGAATTTTTTTGCCAAAAAAAATGTGATTATATTTTTATATTTGTGCGTTTTTTTGAGTTTTTTTTTACCAAAAGAAATTTAAATATTTTCTTTTATTTATGCTTTTGAATTTTTGTTATCAAAAGGCATTTAAATATTTTTTTATATGCTTTTGAAATTTTTTTTGTATTTTTTTACTATTTTTACCAAAAGTCATTTAAATATTTTCTTATTTATACGTTTATTTATTTATTTATTTATTTAATACAAACGGGCAATAACAACTTTGTTTTTTATTTTTTGTTTATGCTTTTGTATTTGTTTTTAATTGTTTAATAATTGAAAAAAAAAAATTTTATATCTACGAAAGTAATAAATTTTTTTTTAATTATTAAATAATTGATTAAAAAAAAAATTTATATCAACGAAAGCAGTAAAAATTCCTGTTGGGTGATATTTTGAAAAATTAATTAAAACTGATTTCTTTTCTGATAAAAAAAAAAAGAGACACTAAACACTTAGAGAAACTTGGATAAGCGTTTGATGATAATAATTTAAAATTTTGTATCGAGATTGTCTATCTACTTTCAATAACGCGCGATATATAAAATTTGATAAAAAACAATTTGTTCGTGATATTAATTGTGAGTAAATTGTATTCTGTTTTTTTTTTTTTTTTCTCCTCTTTGTAATACTTACCCTGCATAAATATTGATTAGCTACAATTGGTATACATTTGGCGTGATCGTCACATTTTCTAATCATTCCAGGACAAATATTTCCAGTTACATTATTTAAATACAAATCCGTTGTAAAACTTTCTGAAAATAGGCAAAATAGATAAAAAAAAAAAAAAAAAGAATTACGAAAATATTTTTTGTCGAAAAATACTAAAAATTGCAAATATTTTGAATTTATATATTTTATTTATTTATTTAATTACCAAATTTTGATAATATTCTTTTGCAAAAGAAAGAAAAAAATTATTATTTAAATTATTACAAATATTGAATTTATATTTTTGTTTAGTTATTTTTTTTTTTAATTAATTTTGATAATTTTCTTTTTTGTGAAAAGAAAGAAAAAAAATGATTATTTATTAATTACTTACTTTTGCACGAAGCACATTCTTTCAATAACTCAGGAATATTTAAAGCCTCAAATGACTGAGAAAATAAAAAAATTATTTATCTTAAAATTTTATATATTTAATTATAAATTAAAAATTATTGGAAAAAGATTAAAACAAACAAAAAAAAAAAAAATTCTATTTTCAACGTTTTTAAAATTTTTTTTTTTTCATAAACTTACGTCTATTTTTAATTTTACATCCAAATGTGCCAGATTATTTAATAATTGATCAAAATGATTACATTTTTTACAATCTGCAAAAATTTTTATAAGAAAGTAGTTTTTATTGAAAATTATATGAAAAAAATTAATTTAATAGTAAAATAGTTGTTTTTTTTCAAACACATAAACTGTAAAAACTTATTTTATATTAATTTTTAACTTTAATTTCAATAAAAAAAAATATTACAATTTTTTTTTATTTATTAATAATGACGATAATACATTCTAATAAATAAAATCAATAATAATAATGATAATAAACAAAAATGAATATAACTAAGGCAAATAATAACAATAGTAATAAAAAATTAATAAAAATAGAATAAATAATAGTAATAGTAGGTAATAAATAATTAATAATAATAATAAAAATTTTAAAAAAAATAATAATAATAATAAAAATTAAAAAAATAATAATAATATTATTATCATTATAATAATTATAATAATAATAATAAATGACAAATACCTGTGATTGGAGAATTATTAGAATATGATAGAGAAATAATTGTTGCAAATATTGCAAAAGTTACTATATTTTGCATTTTGGAAAAAATTTTCTTTTTTCCAAAAAAAAAAATGCGATAAATTATTTTTTAGAAACTTCAATAAACATTTTTTCGTGATTATTTGTCAAATAAGAAAACAGAATAAATTGAATGTCTATTTATATAGTAATTCTATAAGTGTTATCAATTAAATTATCTTTGATAAATCATATATAATATTTGAAAATAAAAACGATAAAGAAAGTGAATGTAATTGGTTTAGAAATTTGTTAGCGCGCGAACACTTTAGAAACTCTTAGAATTTTTTTTAAAAGTGTGATTCTTTTTTTTTTATCGCTGTTACATATTAAACTGTCGTTTGTATTATTATTTCAAGTTATTTTTTTGCCAGATAACGTGTCTTTTTTTTTATTAATGTTTTATTTTAATTTAATTTATTTTTAATTTTTTAATTTTTTTTTTATAAATTTTATTTTAAAATTTTTTATTTATCGAAATTTTATTTATTAAAAAATTTTTTTTTCCCCCATAAAACTCTCTTTTACAGTTAATATTAAAATAATTGAATATAATTTATGAAAATAAAAAAAAATCTAATGAAGAAATAAAAAAAAAACAAATTTTCAATTTTAAAATTTTCACCAGAATATAATATATTTACAATATTATTTGCGAACTATATTTATAGAAGGGAAAATCAATAAGATATTTTTCGAAAATAGTTGAAATAAAAGTTCAAGGTTGAGAAAGGCATAAGTTGAAGCAATATATATATATTTTTTTTTCTAGGAATATTGAAACGTTATCAATACTAAGTTTTTTTATGCCAAAAATTATTAAAGAAATTATTATTACTATTATTATTTACCTTAGAAATAATTTCATTTTTTATCTGATAAAAAAAAATTATAACTTCAATACTTTAGAAATTACAAGCAAACTAATAAAGAATTAATAAAAAATTTTTTTTGCAGAAATTCAAAAATTTCAAAAATTTTGATAAAAATAGTACAAAAAAATTTTATATTAATTTTAGAAAATTCAACTGAATTTAAAAATTATTTATTTATTCATTCATATAGACATAAATTTATTATTAAATTTTATTGTACTAGATTTTTTTATTTTTGGTGGTAAAAAAAATGCAAGGGACAAGGATTTATCGTTAATATTAAATATTCAATTTTTTTTATATTTTATAAATATAATTTATTATTATTATTTTATATGTAAATGTATAAAATGACAAATATGTTACAATAATAATAATTTATTATTGTTCCATATTTGTTTTTTAATTGTTTACGAACAAATATAAATTACATGAAATATAAAAATTCTTAAAAATTATAATATTACCTTATATTATAAATATTTAATTAAATTATTATTATCACATTTTTTTTTTCTTTACTTTTCTATAACTTTTTTGTTAAAAAGAAAAAAAAACCTTCATTCTTATGTTTCTTTTTCAACTTTTTTTCTTAATTTAGGATCCAGATCTCGATAAATTTCTTCACTCACAGTTTCTGGAAATTTTAATAAAAATCAATAAAAGGATTTAACACTAAAATTTAATTAATATTAGATAACAAAAAAAAAAATTAAATCCAACAAAAAGTAATTATATTCCTTTGTTTGAAAAAAAAAATAAATAATAATTTCCTCCCCCCAAAAAATAAAAGATATATTTAAATTCTCACCTCGACATTTGTAATTAATATTTGACCAAATAATATTTTCCTGTGAAAAACAATAGACACCAAGTTTTCCTCCCTTCAATGTATTATCATAAATATTCTTTGAATCGGCAATTAATTCATTGCCATTATAAAGTTTTAATCTAATTAAACCAATAATTGGACGATGTACAAGTTCCCATCGATATGATGTAAATGCTTTCCATGGAATTTTTTTTGGATCATGCCACAATAATTTTACTTCATTTTTATGTCCTTTTGTATTCCATAAACTATTTCTCAACATTGGACCAGGTCCAGTTTTTGAATCAACTAATTTTATTTGTATACCAGGATCGGCATAAGCTTTAAATGGTTTATTCACCCAATATTGTTGTTTTCCTTTTTTCCACATGACAACATAAAATTTTCTATTACTCTGATATGAGAATATAAATCCAATAAAATCATCGTCATTTTTTGTGTTTACATAAAATGTTCCCTCATAATCAATACCGTCGAATTTTTCTTTTCCTATTTGAAAAACAGAAAATTTTTTTTAATATTATTATTTTAATTTTTATCATTTCCGAATATGATTTGAAAAATATAATTTTTTTAATATTTGTTTTATTTTTATTATTATTATTATTGATATACTATTTTTAGAAGATGAAAAAAATTATTTTATTATTTTCAAAACAAGGTTTTCTATAAATTTTATATTTTTTAAATTACGTAAATTCGATTGAAAATAAAAATTTATCCAAAAATAAATTTTTAATAATTTTTTCTTTTTTACTGTAAATTCGATAAAATGGAAATTTTAAATGTAAATTTTGTTTAAAAAAAAAATTTTTGATAAAATGCACAATATTTAGCTAAGTTTCAAAATCGATGAAATAAAAATTAAATTAAATAATATATTTATTAAATATTAATTATTTATTATTTATTTATTAAATAGAAAATTTGATTAAATGAAAAAAAAAAATGAAAATTTTGAAAAATTACCAACCAATGCCAATGCCAGGATTACTGTTGAGTGTTTGAATAATTTCCTGACCGTGATTATTAATAATCCATTTAGGATTCGCTTGACCGGAACCAGTTGTTGGATCCAAATCGATAGTTTTAATTTTTCGAAAATCCGTCGAATAAATGTCACTATTATTTGGACAATTATCAACGCTATTAATTACATTGTCATTGTCATTGTCATTCCAGCACGCGTCTCCAATATCCGTATTTACTGAAATTAATTATATTATTTATTAAAAAAAAATTTTTTTTTTTTCAACACTTTTCAGTAACAATTTTAATTTTCTCCTAACTATAAAGAAATTATAATTAAATATGAAAATAATTAAATTTCAAAAAAAAAATTTTATACAAAATAATTAACTTTTATCTAAAGTAAATGAATTAATTATTCATTAATTTTTTTCTATTCTTTATTAATTTTTGTTTTTTATTTTATTTGTTAATTTTCGTTTATTTTTTATTAATTAATTAATTAATTTTTGTTCATTATTTTATATATTAATTTTTGTTTATTATTTTATTTATGTAATTTTTATTCATTAACAATTTAATTAATAATATAAAAATTCCTTACCATGCGTTGCTTTTTGATCGGGATTATAGACAAATATACAATTATCAATTTCATTTGGAATTCCATCGCCATCAATATCGTCATCGCATGCATCGCCTACACCATCATTATCAGTGTCCTTTTGATTGGCATTAGGAATTTTAGGACAATTATCAAAATCATCCTGAATACCATCGGAATCTTGATCCTTTCCTGTTTCGCAAGCATCGCCAACACCATTATCATCCTCATCTTCCTGATTTGGATTCTTGACAAATGGACAATTATCACAAGCATCACCCACTCCATCGCCATCCGTATCTTTTTGATCTTTATTACTCACTTTTGGACAATTATCCACAGGATTTAAAATTTCTACCAAAAAAAAAAAAAGAAAAATTATTCCTATATTTAAAATTTCTTTTAAAGAAATTATTCACATTTAAAATTTTTACCGAAAAAAATTGTTCTCTTTTAAAATTCCTTATTTCTAATTTTGAAATTAAATAATTTTCAATTCTCTCTAAATAATTTTTTTTTGCCAATAATCTTTTTTTGGAATTTTTTTTTTTTAATTTTCAAAATTGGACAATAATTTCAGAAATATTCCATGGAAATTATTAATTTCACCTTTTATTAATTATTATTATTATTAATGGATGGATTGTTATTATTTTTATTAATAATTATAATATTAATCATATAAATAATATTAATATTATTATTATTATTATCAATTATAATAGTAATTATCAATTAATTTATAATTGCTTCATTAAAAATTCAATAATTTTCGTGGAATTTGTAGGCCTCGGATTATACGACTTTTTCGACTATTTCCGACTTTTTTTTTCAAAAATACGACTTTTTATCGACTTATTTTAATAAAATGCGACTATTACGACTTTTTTTTTACCTTTTTAAACAAATTTTTTAAATTAAATTTTTTTTTTTAGTATAAAATGCAGATCTTCATCAGATTTTCTTTATTTCAATTATTTAACAAATTTTTAACTAAAATTCTTCAGTAAATTAATTATTTTTAATAATTTTAATGAAATTCATTACAAATTCAATTATTTCAAAATTATTTTTCAATTAAAATTTATATAAAATTTAACAATTGTTTATAATTTTTAAAAAAAATATCACAATAAAATTACCAAAAAAATTTTAATTGAAAATAATAAATCAATTCAAAATCAAATAAAATTTAATTATTTTCAAATATTTTAATTCAAAATCAACTAAAATTTAATTATTATCCAAAATTTCAATTCAAAATCTTTTAAAATTTAATTATTTTCCAAATTTTCAAATTAAAATCAAATAAAATTCAATTATTACCCAAAATTTCAATTCAAAATCAATTAAAATTTAATAATTATTAAAAATTTCAATTCAAAATTAATTATTATCAAAATTTTCAATCAAAAATCAACTAAAATTAAATTATTATCCAATATTTCAATTAAAATTCAATTATTTCCCAAAATTTCAATTCAAAATCAAAGAAAATTCAATTATTTTCCAAAATTTCAATTCAAAATAAATTAAAATTCAATAATTATTAAAAATTTCAATTCAATTATTTTCAAAATTTTCAATTTAAAATCAACTAAAATTCAATTCTTTTCAAAAATTTCAATTCGAAATTAATTATTATGAAAATTTTTAATCAAAAATCAACTAAAATTGAATTATTATCTAAAATTTCAATTAAAATTAAATTATTTTCAAAAATTTGAATTTTAAAGCTTCTAAAATTTTCCATCGAAAATTTTTTTAAATTTAACAATTTCAATTATAACTCTAAGGAAATTAATTTATTTTTAATTATTTTTATAATATTCTTTGAAAATTCAACTATCTGAAACTTTTTTTTCAATTAAAAATGGTTTTCAAATTATTGTATTTTTTGTTCAATTAGTTTCAAAAATCTCAACTGTAAATTTTTGAAAATTCAATTACATTTAAAAAATGTTATCTGTAATTATTTGATAAATTATTTTTAATTTTGTAAAATTTAATTATTGTCGGAAAATTAACAAAATCTTTTAAAATTCAATTATTACCTAAAATTTCAATTCAAAATCAATTAAAATTCAATAATTATTGAAAATTTCAATTCAAAATTAATTATTATAAAAATTTTCAATCAAAAATCAACTAAAATTAAATTATTATCCAATATTTCAATTAAAATTCAATTATTTTCAAAAATTTGAATTTAAAATCAAAGAAAATTCAATTATTTTCAAAAATTTTAATTCAAAATCAACTAAAATTTAATTATTATCCAACATTTAAATTCAAAATTAAATTATTTCCCAAAAATTTTAAATTTTAAACAATTTTAACAATTTTGTTCCCATTTAAAATTTCTTATTTCTATAATTTTGAAAAAATAATTTTCAATTCTCTCTAAGAGATACTTTTTCTTTCTTTAACAAATATTTTTTGGAATTTAAATTTCAAAAATTAGAATTACTTTTTTTTTATAAAAATATTTTCATGGAAAATATTAATTTCACCTTTCATTAATTATATAATTGATTAATTAAAAATTTCGATAATTTTCGTGGAATTTGTATGATTTTTTTTTGGGGAAAATATATGTTTTTAGTATTTGAATTTTTTTTTGGAATTTAAAATTTTTTTTGAAAATTAGGTAATAATTTTAATTTTTTTTTTTTTTTTACCATCTCCATCCATATCGTCATCGCAGACATCACCCACGCCATCATTATCCGTATCTTCTTGATCGGGATTTGCAATTGTTGGACAATTATCGCAAATATCACCAATTTGATCTTTATCCACGTCTTTTTGATCCGGATTTTTATTTAACCAACAATTATCGTGTGGATTTTCAATTCCATCATTGTCTGCATCTGGATCGCAAACATCGCCTATTCCATCGCCATCGGCGTCTTCTTGTCCGCTATTTGCAATATTTGGACAATTATCACCATGACATTCGGGCGAACAACAATCGAGTGCTTTATCGGGATAACCATCATTGTCTGAATCTAATCCACATTTAAATCCATTACCCGCCCATCCGACCATACACTAAAAATAGAAAATTATTTTTTTCATTTCCATTTTTGTTTTTTTTTTTTTTTTGAAATAAATTAAAATTTATATTTCCAATTATTTTCATTTTAATTCAATTTTTATTTTTTTGCAAAATTTTTTAAATTTATTTTCATTTATTTATTTTTATTTTTGTCAAAAATTTTTTTTCAATTCTTTGAAAAATATTTTCAATAAAATATTTTTAAAAAATTATTTCTGCAAAATTTTTCAATTTTTTTTTTTTTTTTGAAATTTATTTCAGAGAAATTATTAATCAATTTTTTATTTTTTTGCAAAAATTTTTCATTTGAAATATATTTCTAATTTACAAATGAAAAAAATTTAATAATAAAAATAGAAAAAAAATTATTTTCTTTAATTTTTTTTTTAACAAGGAAATAGTAATTTTCTATTTAAAAAAAAAAATTTATAATTTATTTTTATTTATTATTTTTTTTACTTCAAACTAATCAATGGCAAAAAAGACAGTTACTAATTAAAATTTAATTAAAATTTTTAGTAATTTTTAGTAATTTTTAGTTTTAATTAAAAAATTATTATAATTAAATAATAATTATTTAACAATAATAAAATTTATTTTCAAATATTTAAATAAGAACAATGAAAAAATTATAATAATAGAAATAAATAAATAATTGAAAAATTAATTACCCTGCATAAATACTGATTGAAACCAATTGAAATGCATTTGGCGTGCTCATCGCATTGTCGAAGCATTCCAGGGCAAATTTCTCCAGTTGCATTTTTCAAAGTATTAAAACCAAGATTCTCAATATTTATAATACCTAGTAAAATTATTAATTACATTTATGAAATTTTTTCAAATTCCAAAACATATTTTTTTACATTATGACGAATTATTATTATTATTATTATTATTTACATTAATGAATTTTTCTAGATTAGGAAAATAATTTTTTTTTTGATTAAAAAAAATATTTTCTTTTACATATTTTGATTTTTTTTTAAATTACCTAATTTTTTTCTTTTATTTTCTGAAAATTTTTTTTAAACTAAAATAAATTTTTTTTTACATCTTTTAAACCATAATATGTTAAACAATAAAAAAAAACCTGTTATTAATTTTTTATAAAGTGTAAAGTTTTTTCTATAAATATTTCTATAAATTCAAAATTTTTGTTTTATTGAAAATTTTATTTTTTTTCTTTATTGACAAAAATTGTTTTTTTTTTGTTTTTTATTAGGTTTGTCTTGCAAAAAAGAAGAATGTTTTAGTATTATAAATATATTTATATTTTTATTATTGAAATTTATTTTATATCGATAAAAAATTTTCAAATATATATATTTAATTGTTTTAATTTTTTGTAATTAATAATTTACTCACTTTGACAAAAAGCGCATTTTTTTAATAAGCTTCTGATATCTAAAATTTCGTATGTCTGGAATTTGAAAAAAAAACTAAAATTAAAATTAAAATTCGTAAATTATTATTTATTAATTAAGCTTCAGCCTTTCGGCCCAGAAGTGGACTTGGTTTAATACAAAATTAAAAAAATATAATTCGTAAATTAAATATTTTTTAAAATCTCAATTTTATTATTATTTTTTATTTTTTATCTCAATTTTTTTTTTAAATTTCTATCTTTTGGTATTATAAATTATTATTATTATTAATTTAGTATTAATTAGTAATTCTAATAAATAAAAATATTTAAACTCACATCTAATCCAAGTTTAATATCTAAAAAAGCCAAATTAGTTAAAAATGATTCGTACTGTAGACATTTAGTGCAATCTGTAAATAAAATAATAATAACAAAAAAAATTGAATTAAAATAAATAATTTTTATTCTATTTTGTAAATTCGTTTATAAATAAATAAATAAATAAAATTAATAAAAACAAAATTAGAAGTAAAATCCATTATTAAAATTTTAAACATACCTATATTATTTGAAGAAATATGAGAAATGAAAAAAGAAAATATTAAGACGCCAAACGTGGTGACGCCTTTCATTGTTTCTCTCTTTCTCTCTCTCAAAAAAAAAAAAAAACTAATAAAAATAAATTTTGAGCCAAAAATTTAAACGTAAAGTTCAAGTTTATTACCTCTAGTGACATAAGGAAACGAATTAACGTCTCTTTTTATATAGGAAGTAACAGTAACAATTTATTTTCTCTTATCGGATTAATATCTTCCGAGATCAAAGATTTTAATCCATAGACTACTGATAAAATGCAATAACTACTATTATTTATAGTGAAAAATAGTAAACAACGTTTTATTATTTATAAATTCTTATATATATTTATTTCAATGTCACGCCTTATACAGTCAGTTTTATTAGTTTTGACGATTCATTGTTTAAACTTAAATATAGAATTATGAAAATAAATCTTAATCAATGACAATATTGATTTTATTTAGTTTCGATCTAAAGCTTACGATAAGAAACAAAAAATTTTTCTCTTAACCACTCGTCTAATTGCAATATTATGTTTTTCGTTAATTAAGATAATAATTTCGCACACACATATATTTTTTTTTAAACGCTTCATGACCGAGATAATGAAAAATTAACCTTGGATATATTTCTCCGATATTTTTCCAGCAGAAACCTTGATTTTTGTTTCTGAATATCGTGTTTTTTCGAAAATAAAAAAAAATCCACTTTTTTTTAAATAACGTTTTTTTTCAAATATAAAACAAAAAAAAAGTATTTTTTATACATTTAAAAAAAATGTATTTCTTTAAAACAAAAATTCGGTTTCTTTTTTTTTCGTCTTCATTTACCATTGATTTTTTTTTCTCTCTATTGGCAATTCCTTCATAATTTCCAATAAAAGATGTACATGATTACGTGACAATTGTTCTAATTGTGATGAATTTTGAAATTTTTCAAAATTACACTGTATCAATGTTAAACATGCATCTTTTAATCTTCTTATTTTACAATCATCGGCAACAATTAATATATTAATAACATTTGAAAAATTTAATTTTCTTGCCAATTCATCAGTACAAATATCAATTAATTCATAAATTTCATAAAAATTTGCAATTTTCAATAAATCAATTGCATATTCATTTAATTTTTCAATTTTTCCCGTATACATAAATTCTAATACAATTAAAAATAAATCATAATTAATTATCTCAGCATTTATTTTCACTTTATCAATTGATTCATCTTTAATAAACATTTGATGAAAAACATTACTTTCCATTGATAATATTATTTTATGGGCAAAAATTTTTTTTCTCCCCAAATAAAGTGTTATATCGCTAAACATTTTATGATTAACAAAATTTATATTATTATTATCATTAATTTTTGTTGTTTCTTCAATTTTTATTTGATTTTCTGTTTTAATCTCGAGACAAACAAAATTACAATCCATTTCAAATTTAATAATAAGATCAGAATTAACGAGATTATTTAAAAGTTGTGTATGTTCAATTATTCCAATTTTATGCCATTTTGCTTCAATTTTTCCTGTATATCTATTTATTAATGATATTAATGGTTGATTTGTTGCATCCATTATTGATAAATTCATTGTGAATGTAAATAAATGTTCACTATCATATGTTTCAGTTGGTCGTGCTGATAAACGTAATATATTATCACATGTCCAATCAATATTTAAAAACCAACGTTTATGGGGATAATTTTGCATTGTAAATATTGGCGAACTTAACCAATTTACTTCTCTCATATTTATTTTATAATTTGGAATTATCCATTTGAATTGTGTTTTATTATTATCCATTATATTATCGATTGTCAAAAAAAAAAATTACACTGCGAAAAAAAAAATTTATTTTTAAATTTCTTTATCATTTCGTATTTTCTAACCTCAAAAATTTATTTTATCGCGCATTTATTATTCATAAATCGAAATTCATTACAAAATATAAAATTAATTGTACCCTTTTTTCAATATATATAACGATTGTTATAATTTAATAAAAAAAAAATTTAAAGAGAATTTTTGACAGTGCAAAATCGTATTTTTTTTAGGTTAGAAAGGCAACATTTAAAAAAACAAAAACTCTTTTTCTATAATTATATTTAGTAAATTAAATTACATAATTTCTAATGTTGTAATCTTTCTTTTGTTATTTATAATATTTGTAAACTTAACCTCAAAACAAATAGAACTTTTTTTTTTTTTTTTGACAAAAATAATACATTTAACTAACCTTTCGTATTTTTTGATTCGATAATTTTTTACTGAATATTTGAAGAAAATATCGATATTTTTTTTTTATTTTCTTTTTATTATTAATGAAATTTTGATAAAATTTTATACACGCAGTTAAAAAAAACAATTACTTATGTGTTTACATTCACAGGGATGGATAACTGCATTCGTAAATCGAAGAGAAAAAAAATCAGTGTGGCCACCCTAACAACCGTCAATTTTAGGGTACGTTTACAATATCAGAGGCTAATTATGAGAAAAAGGTTAGTAAATTCTCTTTTTTTTTTTAATGCTCATTTCTTTTTTTTATATTAAAAAACTTTTAGATATACATATATTTTATAATTTAAAGTAAAAATGTTAAAAATTGTATAATTAAAAAAAAAAATTGAAAAAAATATAAAATCGCGGAAATATTATTATTTTTTGTTATAGTTGAAATAAAATTCTTTTAGCTTTATTTGAGCATTTTATCAAATGAAATGAATCAATTTTGTCGAAACATCAAACTTGACCTCTGATAAATCAATAGATAAAGAAAAAAAATTTATTTTCTTGCAATTTTTGTTGCTATTAGCAACCAAGAAATAAACATTCAAGAAAAGAAATAGTCAGAATATAACTTGTGTAACAGTTTGTGTATAATAGTGTGAAACAATATAAGTATGAAAAATTAAAAATAATTATAAAATAATGAACAAAAAAAAAAAGGTTATGTTAATGGTGTTAACGAATTTTTCCATTTTTAATTAATAAAAGTTGCTACATTGGATTTAACAATTTCGCAGATTAAAAAGTGGTAAATTTTTTAGGTTATGTTATCTAATTTCTTATTAATCTGATTATTTTAATAACTATAAACGAAGCAATTTTTTTACGCAAGTTATAATTTTTTATTTGTTAAAATATACAAAATTTAGTAGACAACTTAAATTTTTACAAATAATATCTCATTTTGCTCTTTGAAAAATTTTCGACAATTATTTTTATTGAATTTTCCTAATATTTTGTTCAATTGTTATTAAACATAGCAAATTTTTAATCTTTTATATTTTTTAAACAAATTATTATTTAACTAAAATCTAACAAACAGAATTGTAAAAAATCTTTCAAAGAGAACAAAAAATAAATAAATTTGATTTTTGTATTTTAACAGATTTTCCCTCTTAAAATTTTGTTTAATTATTATAACTGGATATTTAAAAAAATATTAACGTAAAAAAAAATTAATAAAAATTAAATTAAAAATTACAATTTTTAAAATTTTATATTTATGTAATATTTTGATAATTATTTATAATTTTTGTAAATTATTTTTTCTAAATGTTAAATAAACGTTTTTAGTTTCTGATGAGGACGGTAGTAGCATCAAAAAATTAAACCGAAAAAATATATCTATTTTATTGTTTCACACTATTGGCTTGAACGATTGCTATCAACATCTTTCTTGCAAAAATTAATATTAATAAAAAATAAATTAAATTAAATAAAAAATTAATATTATAGTTTTATTTGATGATAAAATCGGATTTCTAAAATTCATGAAAATGTCATAGAATTATAAATTCGGATCATGAATTCGTAGAATTTTGCAAAGAAAAAAGTAGAAATCTTTGAAATTCTGTTTTGAAAATAAAAACCAAAAATGAAAATACAAAGTATTTTCCTCCTTTTCGTGCTTATAATTTTTGAAATTAGTCAAAAGAATTATGTGACAAAATCTGAAATGATCCAATTGCAAGAAAGACACCAATTCAAATGGTCTCAAAGAGTAATAAGAAAAATAAAAAAAGATCCAAAAATTTATCAAATCATATTGATAACCAACTGTGAAAATATGGATCATACAAGAATAATTCAAGATCTTCAGGAAAATGTACCGACCTTGTATTTCAATGACACCTATACAGAACGAGAAATTCAAAAACTTAAGAAAAGAAATTCTTTGAAAAATCCTCGAGATACAACATTGTTTCTGATTGTCGAATCTTCAATCAAAAACAACACGCAATGGATCGAAGAGATGATGGCATTTGTTAAAAAATTTTCAACCATTCGTATTCGACCAAAATGTTTCATTCTTCGATTTTTGAATTCTAATGAAACTTCGAATTATGGAAAATTTCTGCAAAAAATGTGGCAGAATTTATTTCTCGACGTCACTATTCTCGATGTTATTAAAGAACAAGCAACGATTCATCAGCTAAATCCATTTGTTTCGTACAAGACAAAACCATTTTTCAAAACAACACAATTGTTTCCTAATAAACTTCGAAATTTAAATGGATATCCAATAAAAGTTGCAATCATTAATCGACCACCGTTTGTAAAATTACAACGCAATTTGACAAATTATCCTGTTAATATTTCTGGACCAGATGCAGAAGTTGGAGAAATTTTCGCTAAAGTTTTAAAGTACAGACCAGTGTTTGTACCATCGAATGATGAATCTTTTGGTGATTTTGTTTGCAAAGTGGATAAATTAACTGGCTTTTATTCTGCTATTGAACAACATAAAATTCAATTTATTAGTGTAACGGCTACAATTACTAAAGGTTTATGCAAAAAAGAAATATTTGATAATACAATTTTTGCTCTAGATCACTATATTGCAATAATTCCCACATTGAAGACAAAGAATTATTCAATTATGATCGGAAAAACTTTTTACTATTCAATTCTGTTAACTGTCTTGATTATGATAACCTGCTGGATAATTAGAAAAGTTTTCAAATTTGAGAAAACAATTTGGAATTGGACGGTGATTATTCGAATTTTATTTGGACTCTCAGTTGAAAATCAGCCAACAAAATTGAAGGAACAAATTATTTTTGGTTGCATTTTGATTGTAAATTTTTATTACTCTTGTAATATATTAGCATCGCTGACTGATTTCAATTTTGCAATCGAAAAAGAAAAAGAGATAAATAGTCTAAGTGATTTAATAAAAAGTGGCCTTCAATTCAGTGCAGAAAGAAATGTATTATTATTTATGTCATACATCGTTAATCAAAATAATTTCACAGCTTATGTGAGAAATGGTATTGCAATTGATAATCCCGATAAATGTATTGAATTTCTTCTCGATTACAAGAATATAACTTGTATTATGAGATTGTCAAGAGCTGAATGGCATGCTGGATTTTATAGTGATCAAAATCTTGTAAAATTTGTTCCTGAATTTATTGCCTCTGTAGGAGTTGGATTTATTATTGAACCCGGATCACCGTATGTTGAGAAATTTCAACAAATTCACAGATCATTGATGGAATTTGCATTATTGAAAAAATGGAAACTGAAGAAATTACCGAACTCAAAAAGATATCGTCAATTAGATATTGTAACCGAGAAGAATTCACAGAAATTGGATGATGGTAGTGATGATTTGAAGATACGATCTTTGCTGACTGGAATATTAATTGCTGGTTATTTGGCATCGATTATTGTATTTTTAGTTGAGCTGATTCTTGACAAGTGGATGCGGAGACGTGGTCCTCATTGAATCCATAAAACACAAAATTAATTACATTTAGCGGATTTTTTTATTTAATAGAAATTTATTCTGTTGTTCATTTTATCAGTAACAAGAATCTTACCTATGACAAATCAATAGATAAAGAAAAAGTTAATTTTTTTATAATTGTCGTTGCTAAGCTACCAAGAAAGAAAACAGTCAACAAAGGAAATAGTCAGAACGCAACTTAAATAGTAAAGTTTAAGGAACAATGAAACACTAAGGCATGTGTAAAGAAAGTGCAACAAGAACTAAAAAATAAGGTAAATAATATCGTGAATAAATTTTATTTATTTATATACGAGACTTTAAAATAAAGTACCCTTTAAGTACAAATTGTATAATACATCTGTATAACGCTTCTATATAGAAAAGAAAGAAACTAATTACTAAATAATAGATTACGCAGTGCCTTACTAAATACTAAATTTTGCTTTAAAACAGAGAATGAAGCTACAAATTAAATTCCTCATTTTCATCGTTACGATGGTTTTTGAAATTAGCCAAAAGAATTATGTGACTAGAGCAAAAATTATCGAAAAAAATCAAAACAGATCGAAATGGTCTCGAAGAGTAATAAGAACAATAAAGAAAGATCCAAAAATTTATCAGATTGTATTGCTGACTAATTATGAAAATGTGGAGTATATCAAAGTAATCAAAGATCTGCAAGAAAATCTTCCGACCTTGTATTTCAATGATTCGTTTCTAAAACGAGAAACACATGTTGCGAGAAGGATTTCTTTGAGAAATCCTCGAGATACAACATTGTTCTTGATTGTTGAATCTTCAGCCAAAAATAACACTCAATGGATCGAAGAGATGATGGCATTCGTTAAAAAATTGTCAACCGTTCGTATTCGACCAAAATGTCTGATTCTTCGATTTTTCGATTCTAATGATACTTCAGATTATGGAAAATTTTTGCATAAAATGTGGCAAGATTTATTTCTAGACGTCACTATCCTCGATATTATTAAAGAACGAGCTACGATTCATCAGCTAAATCCGTTTGTTTTCTGCAAATCAAAACCGTTTACCAAAAAGACTCCATTATTTCCAAACAAGCTTCGAAATCTAAACGGATATCCAATAAAAATTGCAATGTTCAATCGACCACCTTTTATAAAATTAAAACGAAATTCGACAAATTATCCTGTTGATATTATAGGTCCAGATGCAGAGGTAGAAAAAATTTTTGCAGAAAAATTGAATTACAAACAAGTTCTGGTACATTCCAATCGAGAAGCATTTGGTACTATGTCTTGTGACATAAAAAAATTGACCGGTTTTCTTTCTGCGATTCAACGAAATGAAATTCAATTGATTATTGTAACAACAACATCTAATAAAGGTTTTTGCAGAAAAGAAGTATTTGAGAATGCAGTTTTTGCTCTGGATCACTATGTTGCAATTACACCTGTATTGAAGTCAAACAATTATTCGCTTATGATTGGCAATGACTTTTACTATTCAATTTTGTTAACTCTCTTCATTATAATAACCAGTTGGTTAATTGTGAAAATTTACAACTTTGAACAATCAATTTGGAATTGGCTAATGATTAATCAAATTCTATTTGGAATCTCTGTGGATAATGAACCGAGAAAAACAAAGGAACGAATCATTTTTGGAT